ACAGCCAGCAATGTGCCTCTTCCACATGTCCACAAGTTTGTTTCTAATCCAGAGCATCAAAAGTTAGAATTGTGAAGCTCCTCATCTTTCCCCCCTCATTATGGCTATGGGGGGGGGGGATTATTGGTCTGCTCTGAATCCTCAGTCAGCTTCTTTGGATGTTCCCAAGTTCTAGTGTTATGATAGGGAGAAAAACTTTTACTCTCTATCCCCTTTCTGCATTCCATGCATACTTTTATACATTTCTATCATGTTGCCTCTTACTTGCCTTTTCTCTAAACTAAAAAGCCACAAAGACTGCAAACTTTCCTTGTAGGGGAATCCTTCCACCCCCTTGATCATTCCAGTTGTCCTTTCCCAACACTACAGTACCCTTTTAGAGGTGAGGCAGCCAAAACCGTAGACACTATTCCAAAGTGAGTGCACCACACGTTTTCTGTGACAGCATTATGATATCAGCAGTTTATTTTCCATTCCTTTGCTAACAATCCCTGGCATGCAATATGCCTTTTTTACAGCTGTCACATGATGGGTAACATCTTCACTGAGCTATTCGTGACTCCAAGGACTCGCTCCTGGTCAGACACCACCAGCTCCAGCAACTGTGAGTCTATGATCACAGAATCTATGGAATTCTTCTGAAACTTTTAACAGCATGAATGCCAGCATTTCTATGTCGTAATGGGTATTTTGATTCATTTAAAACTTTGCATTTTACAGCATACATTTGTGTACCATGGGTTTTGAATATGTGGTGCAGCCTTTCCACTGAGCTGCAGGAGAAGAGAAGGAGGACTGCAGGGCCTCTCTATCAGTGCTGTGGAAAGACCAGCAACTTTTGGCACCTTCTTTTCTGGAAATCTTTTGGCTTTAGCTGCTCATTATCATAACTTTGTTAATTTAAAGAAACAGTGCCCAGATTTGGATTTTCCTCCTCCCTCCCCAACCCATTTTCCTTATGCGTCATGCTTTTTTAGACAATAAGCCTTGAGGCTAGAGACTGTGAGTGAGTATACATTGTGTGATAATGTGCATTCAAGGCTGCAGATAGGCATCTTTTTGGGATGCTGTACACACAATGCCATTCCCCATGTTGTCTCTGTTCCACTGTATTTGCCAATCCAAAGCACATTCTGCTGAAACGGTTTTAATCTGTTTTGTGCCGAGAATGCATTTCTCAAGCACTTCCTGCCTACATGTGCATTTGTGAATTATGCTTACAACTTCCACAAACTAAAATGAATTCATCAGCTCTCTGCTGATGCACTTTAAATAAGCTTTCCAAGCTGAGTTCAGCCTCTCCTCTCTACCCTCTCGGGTAAATTTAAGGACCTCCGTTGTAAGGTCTTCTTAGATGAAGGACTTCAATTTTTTTTTTTCAATTAGGGAATTGAAACCAGGATCTTTCATATGCACGCATATACTCCACCATGGAGCTTCACCCCACCTAATCCCCACAGATACTGCGAACAAGTCAGTTTCCCCATCTCTTTCTCTCTCTCTCTCTTGAACAATTTTTTAATGAGAAAAGGTTCCAGGACATTTGGTGTCACCTAAGTTTTGCTGATGCAGGGGAAAGCCTCCAACACCAACTAGATGAAGTAGGTGAGTAATTTTGGTGAAGCACACATGGGATTTCCTGGAGACATGCATGATCAGCAAGAGCGGAGAAGGGGGGGGAATCTGTGCCCCCAAAGGGGGCTAAGTCAGCAACAGGAGCAGCAGCTACCTATTGTCCTGCTACTGCTGCTGCTACTCAAAAGAAGGATCCCATCAGAGGAAGAACAAGGGAAGGCCTGAAGCTGGTAAAGGGAATAAAGACACTGTGGTGTAAAGCTGCCTCAGGAGCCTCCCCTGAATCCCTGCTCGAAGAACACCTCATTCATCACTTTTAAACAGAAGTGGCTCACTTGCCGGAGATGGGGGCGGGAGGACAAAAGGAGCAACAATGGTTGGCGCTTGCAGCCAGGCAGCCAGCCGCAAACTGACACATCGGCCTACTGTTCCAGCTCACTGGGGAAGAAAGGAATTTCTGTATAAATCACACCAACCATCAGGTTTCTCACTTCCTGTCCACAGGACTTCCCGGCTCTCAGAACGCAACAGCATGAAGGGACTCTCTCTCTATATATATTGGGGGGGAATGGGAGAAGTTAATTTTTTAAAAAATATATATAAAGAGAGTCTCTTTCAGCTAATAATGAAGCGAACAGTATATTAAGAAGGAAAACATTCAGCATTAACCTTGGAGGGGAAAGACAGAAAACCTTTTCATAATGCCCTGGCCACAAAACAACAACTGCCAGTTAAATCAGCTCCGTTCCCCAGCCACTGCCAACATAAACTCAGGGGCAGCCATAGGAGAACATTTGAACCAACATCTTCCCCTCTTCTCACTCCCCCCCCTCCCCAACCAGGAAATAAAAAATAATAACAACTCAGGAAGGCTGAAGGTGCCAGCCATAGGCTTCAGAGCAGCACTTCTGCTGGCGCCACAGAGCAAGCAGACTCTGCTTTGAGCTCCAGACATGGCAGTGGAACCATAAAGAGGAGGTTGCCCTGCTCCGCACTTTTTAATTTGCCTTTGCTACAGCCTGTCAGTCAGGCAGGATGAGAAGTCCTTGCTGTGAAAAGGCACCCATGCAATTCTGCTCAGGGGGTGGGGGTGGGGAACAGTAAGCGTGGAAGATGGATTTGAAAGATCCATTCAGAAGAATGACACCTCAATGCGGGGACTCTGGTTTCGGGTGAGGAAAGAACTCTTTCCCTCCCCGTGTTAAATTGGGCCACTGACGTATTCTGTTTAATCCCTTCCCCTGTATGGTTCAACTTGGCTCAGAATGAATAATTTCCAGAGTGTGAGCGTGTGTTACTCTGTTGCAGCAGAAACAAAGCATCTTAAAGACTAACCCTTAGAATTTTAGGGATAATTTTTATTATTATTATGGTATAAGCTTCCCTGGATGACAGGCTACCTTGCAAACACATGAAATGTTACCCCGCCACAAAATGTAGTGGTGGTCTTCTTGATGGCCGTTGGTGCTTCTGAAACTGAATCAGACAAATTCATGGAAGAGGAGGAAGACGAGATCTAGTAAATTAGTTGTACTTAACATTTACACAGACAGCACCTTCCAATCCTCAAAGTTCTCACAGGCATCTAGTTTTAATCCTCACAACCACACTTTAAAGTTAGGAATAAACATCCCCCATACTGCGGATGGAGGAAAGAGAGGCAGGGCAGACTGCCATGCAAGTCTGTTAATGGCCATAAGTCACACTGGCTAAAGGACGCACACACACCAGTTGCTGAGGGACACCTTTTATCCACTGCTTGTGGACTGGATGGCCTGATACACAGGGCTTCCTCTTAGATGCTAGATAGCGAAGAAAGTTAACAGGACTGTAGGAGTTACCAGCTTGTAAGCAGGGTGGCTGATCTCTGATAAGTCCTGCCATAGGGTGGAGGCAGGGATGCTAGGCTGCCAACTTGTTTTTTAATGCAGCATCAATAGTGACACAGTACAGGGCAGAGAGTATAAAATAAAGAGGCAGCCAAGTGAGAGGGAAATGGAAATTGTGCATGAATGCAGTGACGTATTTTGGTTTTATTTATTTATTTTCCATTTACTTCCAACAATTTGTATGCTGTTTAATGACAGCTATTTCTATGTGTTGCACAAGAGACCCAACACAATAAAGGCTAGAAAGCAGTTAAAACTGTAAAATCAGAATTCTATTTAAAAGTCTGCTGGAGTTTTTAAAAGAAGAATCCAGTAAGCACCAGAAGTTCAACATGGTTTGTGTGTGTGTGTGTGTGGCGCCTATGTGACCTCAAGTGGTCTGAGGACTTAAAGAACTAAGACAAGACCTTTCAAAAATAAAAGGAGGCAAGTTCTGAGTTCGATATATTGCAGCAAAAGGAGAACACATCACTGAGGTGCTCTGGGAGATTATTACAAGCAGAAAGGGGGAAATGGACAGAGTTATTTAAGACAACCTTGAACCTTTGTAGAACTGACAGTGGTGGAGTTAGATGAGAAAAGCTCGTAGGTTGTGTGTGTGTTTGGCTCAGATAGGGGAAGAGAGGTCTTTTGGCCTCTTTTTAGCCCTGAGGAGGAGCAGGAAGTGAGGCCCTTGGTGGAGCTACAAAACCACCCAGACCTCAAATTCTACATGGTGCAAAATGAAAGTGCGGTGCCTCAAAATAAAGTATACCATTAACTAATCAACCTGAAGCAGGAAAACCAAGGTAGACATATTCAGTTATGCCAAATCTGCACAATTCATTCCAATTAAGGGAGTTTTGACCAATATGCCCTGAAAAAAATGGGTGCCTGGATTTGAGTACAGAGAACCTGACTGAAATGAAGCAGGTGGGGGAAAGAGATAAAACTGATAGCTAAGGCAAGTTATCAAAGGATCTGCCGCCACCTGCTGGTTTATACAGTTCTTCAGAGCCACAGGATGGCTGCAACCCACTCGCCACCACAGCAGGAGGAGGGATCTGTTCGCTCAGCTTGCACACACAGCGATACATGCAAGGAAGGTTTATTATTCCTAGTAAAGTGCAGGAATGTAACATTGTCACAAAAAAAGCACCTGGCATAGTGAGTTATTTAGCAGGGATTTGAATACAATGCCCAAACAGTAAATTCACAATCAAGTAATCCAAATTCTGCACCAAGGAAACAGAACATCAATCTTAAAATAAGCTTCTTTTCTGCGGTGAAGAGAGGGTGTTCTATTGCCCTCCATTTCACCTGAGTGAGCCAGGCATATCCTCCAAACAAGTTCTCAAATCCACAGACACGATAGATAGGTTTTGTCTGGTAGGACATCGGTCGGAGCATCAACATTAAGAATCATATACAGAAATGCGATGATGATGCCTTGCTAGGCAGCAACACCGAAATTGGTTGCACTACCAAGGCAAATGGGGAACAGTGGCTTCCATCTACAGACACTCATCATCCACAATGAATGGACACCAGCCATGCTGACATTTTCAGCTCAGAAATGAGTTTTATTTTCTACAACTAGGAAAACAACATTTCTAACAATCTTCTCAGATAAGCAAAAACCATGGCCGCCTACTTTCACCAGCCTGAGTCCAGGGCAATGAGGGAAGTTAAGGAAAACTGATTTGTATCCAAACAGAGTAATCTGTTACCTGTGTTTGGCTAACAGGAGAAAGGAATTCCTTCAAAACAATGAGAGAATGCTGAGCAAATACCTTCTTTTCAAAAGAAGTCTCTTAGTAGACTTGACAGTAGAATGCCACTAGCAAAGTGTACATACAAATTGTGCTTTTATATATTAAACAACCATATAAACTTCTCAGCTCCAAGTACTCAGAATGAGGAAGGTCTTTTCCATATGGATTTTCAAAAACAAGAAGGCAGTTGTTGGTTGTACTGAAGTGGGATCCCTTCCCATTATAGAAAAGTTTCTTCCTTCTGCATAGATGGATTCTGAAATGACCAGCATATCATGACTCAAAAAACCCCATGCATTTCAGTTTGTCAGGACATGGTCGCTTTTAAAAAATGACAGCAATTATAACACAGTGACCTATACTGATAGTGAGCTATCAAGGGCCCAAGCCCTTGTATCATTGAAATGTAATGGCTAGAATGGTCAGAAATCTTAAAACAGGTACTAATTTTGAGATAGGAAACCAAGCGTTAACCTTTAAACCTTCACACCCAATGAGCTACAAACAAGTACCATACCCCAAATCTACACCTAATACATACCACAAAGGGCCACTGTTAACACATTTTCCTTTGCTCAGTAGTCTCCACCATTTTCAGCTCCCTGTATTTCCACTCCTCTCTTTCAATAGCTTCCATATTAGTATGGACCGACCTACATATATATATATCTGAAACTCCATGGGGGAAAGGCATGGCTTCCCCCTTCTCCAATCACTACTCCTCCATTCTCAGTCAATCTCCACCCCCCAACTGCTTTGCAGCCTAAAAAAGGGATGTTGGGGTGCATTTGCAGGTGGTAGCAAGTAACACCTAGATTGGTCCAGAGCCTCAGTTACTTGATTTGGCTCTTGTCCGTTGGGTTCCTGGCTGGCACAGCAACCTACAATTCTCTGTTTGGCAAGCCAAGTGTGTTGCTGCCTGTGGGTATGCATAAAGAAACAGATTGTGTAGCATTTAGGAACCTTGCTATAGCAAGTGACTGAAGTGCCATCATGTAACACCCAGCCAGCTTCACACCTCCTCTTGACACCACCCAGAAGTCACAAAGAAATCCCATTCAGAAGCAAACAAGAGTTCAGCCAAGAATCTTCTGTCATCCTCTTTGAATACACCATGTCTAAAGAAGTCTTTACACTGAGCTAATTAAAGAGAGAGAAGTAGGCAAGCTGAAACCCTTTAGCCATTCTGAGTAGCATTTGATCGCCTTGTCTCTTTCATTCCCACCCAGTGGCTACACAATCAAAAAGGAGGCTCGAGGGGCTGCACAGATAAGATGGGCTGGATCAGCTTCAAAGAAAGGATGCTCCTGCAGGTACCAGAACAGCAGGCAGCTACTAGGACATTCTGCTGAAAAAACATTTCCTGCTTTCGCCAACAAATCTGCATGAACAACTAACCTAATTACACTAGCAACCACGTTCCAAATTCAAATAATCTTATCCTTACCAACCCATTCTAAGATCACACACATACGTGTTTTTAAGTGAATTCCATCATTCTGCAACCCTAACCCACCTGTTCATAATAAAGTTGTTCAGCTTTTGCTCTAGCTGCTTTTAACAACCAAATATGAACACTGAACACTTATCCTATCACCTGCTAAAACAGTAACTAAAACAGAAAGCAGGCTCTGTTCACCTAGGGTAGCCAACCATGTAATCTGGAATGACAGTGAAAAATGCAGATGCTTTTTGTTGTAATACCATTATCTAAATCACTGTATTTTCAGAGATGGTTGTTGATAAATGAAAGTCACTTTTTATCCTGCATTGTTGAGTGGCACAATATAAGGGCTGCTACTGATAGGTAAATTTACATGATGTTACAGTCTTAAAAAGGGGTTCATGCCATCATTGGCAAGGATTCAAAAGACTATCTCATTTTAAGAGTGCAGAGGACTCTGTGCTTGTGTTGCTTGAACAGCACATGCAATGCAGCAAGCCGATTTTGAAGCTGTTGAGTATTTTTGCAGTGGAGCTGAGAAGCAGTTTGCAATAGTTCTAGGAAGAAAGGTCAGGGAGGCAGGGCTATTACTTAAGTTACCATCCACTTACAGACATTCTCATTTCAGGGCAGGGTGAGGGGACTAGCCAACCATGTATCCTGTTTACAGTGGAATTCTGCTATAATAAACCATGAGAATTGGCATTTTTATGTAGCAGGAACAGGCAGCTGCCCAAGACGTACCAAGATCTACCAAGAACAGTAACATAAAATAGCCTCCACAACCTGATGCCATCCCTGATGCTTTGGACTACAAATCTCATCAGCATCAGCAAATATGATTGTATGATGCTGGAGGTGATGGGAGTTGTCGTGCAAAATCTTTGGATGGCACCAGGCTGGCAACGGCTGCCCTAAAATTGGGCAGGGTGGTTAAGGGCTATGGAAGTAGTAGGAAGATGAGGTAGATACAGTGCATGGCAACAGAGTCATATTTCTGCTCAACATCCAAGGGGTGAAAAAAGCGAGAGAGTAGCAGAGGACATGTCCTGCCTCATAAGCCCTACAAAAATCTAGAGCAAGTTCCGAAGTGCAGTTGTCTCAGAGGACAACTCCCTTGGCACCTGCCTACCACTAAATGCCTTGCTGTTCATACATGCTCCTGCTACAATCTTCAGACAACACAAGGAGGGAGCTTAGCACCAAGATGAAACTGAGAAACAGAAGAGGCTCAGAGCCTGTTACCTTCAGGTCTTCTCCTGCTGAAGGAGAGTTGAGGGGGCCAAACATCTTGCAGCACATTTCCTTCTCCTTCAGCATGTAATTTCTGTAACAGCTGCAAAACAGGGCAAACTGGATGATCACAGGGTGTCCACCAGCCGAGTTTAAAAAACAGCAAGGTCTTGAAATTAAGCCTCCCCAGAACTCGAGTGCTTCCTCAGAATAGGAGGCAAACTGTTCCAGCACAAGCACAGCAGCTGCATCTGGCCACTTTTTGCCCTTGTTTCAATGCTCAAAACCCCCATCTCCTTCAGCATAGCTCACTGTGTACACAGCTTTGATGATGTCTGAAACAAAGGCTTCGCCAAACAAAAGTCAAACCCAGGATTTAGTCTCAACTGTAGAACATGGCCAATATGATTAAACTTAAGTTATAGTTATTCATGAACAGAGCAGCGCAGCAGCTGAGAGATCTTGCTTTATGCATGAAATTCCACAATACATTTTAGTAGTTTTTATACCTATGCAGAACACCCGCCAAGTATAGAAGCCAGATCTGCTCTTACTAGAACACTGCCAAAAATCCATGTGTTCAGGACAAGCAAGGCTCACAGATCTGCTGGCGATCTATTTCCAAGCATGTTTCAAGGGGGCAACTTTTGAGGACCAAGGAATTCCCCCTCATGGCCTGTGCACTTCCCAGCCCAGGGAAAGGAAGCACACAAATGAAGGAGCAGAGGGTCAGGTGCACTCGGCAAGCAGAGGTTTTGCCAGTCTTTTGCCGATGAAGAAAGCCATCTTAAGTGAAGGATAAACATGGCCTAAGCCTCTCCTAACAGAACAGGGAAAGGCTGCCTGTCAAAGGACAGGCAAGGCAAAGCCACAAAGGCTAGTTGCCTCCGTAAGGCGTTCATTCATTGCCTTGTTATCCCTTCCCAGTACTGCCATGGAAGGAGAACTCTATTCCCTCACACTCTACATACAGCACTGCCATGGTTTTGATAACCACACTTTTTTTCTGGATTAAACAGAACTCCTGAGGATGCTCCCAAAGGTGGAAAGAGGGTGGTACCCATGCACCTGAGGCTTACCCCACTGCAAGGACATTGACCAGTTTACAGAGTTTGGGATTCAGTACCCCTAAAAGCTTCCTGTGCTCCCACTTATTCCATCTGCTAGACAGTTTAAACACTATAAGAGTACAGAGGCTTCAACACCACAAGCAATAAATCTGGACAATTATATACAGAGAAAGCAGTTCACAGCTCACCGGTTATCCTAACTTCAGTAAAGAAATAGCTCCCTCACCTGGCCAGCTTTTTCAATTCATTGTTAATGCAGTGGTTGAAGGGCTGCTGTTTCTGAGCTTTCACCAAAAAATCCCGAGCTCTCTCATACTCTGCCAGAGAGAAACATGCCTAGTAGACAAAAGAATCATTATTATTTTTTAATTTGGTATGCTGTTCCTCAGGGGGGGTGGGGGTGGAAATCCCAGCATGGCCACAAAGTTAACAACTAGCAAAGAGAAAACTCACCAGTACTAGCAATGTACAGAAAGCCCAGGAAAGGAAAAGCTGTGCATGGTCAGATGTGCACCTGGAAACTTAAAACTTGTTGAATCAACGGCCCTAAAGAAATCCTGTCTGTCATCCCATAGATAGAATGATGCATGTAGAAGGGACCTCAAGTGGAATTTTGAGTGGGAGGTGTGCCTCAGTCTTATCCTGAAAGGGATACTGTGCTCAGCCTGGCAATGATAAAAAAATGTTCAAGGGAAGGAGTTACAGAGGTGTTTGAAAGTGGAAAAGATTTTGCCGCAGAAAGTGCTTGCAGAGGTTAGATGGCCACCTGCATCTCCTGCATTAGACTAAGTGGCCTCCAGGGTTTCTTCCAGGTTGAGGTGCTCTCATCCAGTGTTTTTATTGCCCCCCCCATCAGGCATTTGAAACTTGTCCACAGCTGCTCCTCCTCCTCACCTGAGCACACCTGAAGAGGGCTTTGGCATTCTTCTCATCCAGCTTCAAGGCCTTCTCTCCGTAAGCAAGGGCCCGAGCTGGCTGTTCCAGTTTCAGATAAGTAAAAGACAAGTTGAGGAAGACCAGAATCTTGGCAGCATCAACTTTGACTTGCTCAGCTTCGTCAGCATTCACACGGTGCAGCAGCGAAGCGGCCTAATCAGGGTTCAAAACAAGTGCTGTCATTTTATAGTCTGACACAAAACTTATATTGATTGTTGTACACACTGGGCTGTGTGGATACTGACTTAGGAGACAAACATTTCCACATAACAAAGCACTATCAAGCAAAAATATTCTCTCATTTGAGGGCCAGTTACATATTTACATTGTAAGGTAAAGGTAAAGGTACCCCTGCCTGTACGGGCCAGTCGTGACCGACTCTAGGGTTGCGCGCTCATCTCACTCAAGAGGCTGGGAGCCGGCGCCGTCTGAAGACACTTCCAGGTCACATGGCCAGCGTGACGAAGCTGCAACTGGCAAGCCAGCACCAGTGCCGCACACGGAAACGCCGTTTACCTTCCCGCTATAAAGCGGTACCTATTTATCTACTTGCACTTAGGGGTGCTTTCGAACTGCTAGGTAGGCAGGAGCTGGGACCGAACAACGGGAGCTCACCCTGCCGTGGGGATTCGAACCGCCGACCTTACGATCAGCAAGTCCTAGGCACTGAGTTTTTACCCACAGGGCCACCCGCGTCCCATTTACATTGTAGATTTTGACAAAAATATATGGGAAATACTGTATTTTTTCGTTTTGGAAACTAAAGCAACTCTCATGGGAAAGCATGAAATAAGATTAAAATGAACAATTAAGGTGGTTAAGTGACAATACAGTGCTTTTAAACTGTTCAATTAAACATTCTCTTCCATCAGATCACCCACGCCTTTCTCATTTTACATTTCAAAATAATTCCAGGAGGTGATCAATTCCCATCTCACACTTTGGGGGCAACACATTACAGCAGCCTTCATCAATCTGGCAGTCCTCCAGATGTTTTGAGCTACAACTCCCACCAGCACAGTCAGCACACTCTGTCTTGGGCAGCTAACAAAGGAAGCAGGGTGAAGGAGCGAGTAAATAAGTATAATATGCAAAGTTAAGTGTGCTGGCCAGGGCTGATGGGAGCTGTAGCCCAAAAGCTCTGGAGGGTACCAGACTGGGGAAGGCTGACCTAAAGAAGTTCTCTGACTTCTGGAGACCAGCCCTGCCCTTTGCTTGACCAGAAAAGACTACCAAGGTACAAATACTAGCATGATGGGGAATGGAAAATAATTGCAAAAGGCAAGTTACTTGTGACTCCCTTGCCCCCACCCTTCTCATTTGCTTTACTTACCCGTTTGTATCTTTCTCTGGCATCCATGAAGTGCTTCTGTCGGAAGAGGTAATTGCCAAATTCCCGCTCAGTTTCAGCCACCTTCAGCACTTTCTGCAGTGGAAACTGGGCCTGTTGCTCCTGTGAAGAAAAGCCACAATCTGGTCATGGAGGTTAGTATTGCTGCATGCCACCCCGATGTTGCACACTGTCCCAATCTCTGACTGCTGCAATATTCCAGGGATTCCAGGTTTCTTCAGAATGGACAGCTGAGAATGTGGTGTCTGTATGATATATGGTTTATTTATACATATATACAATCTGAGTCTACAATGGAGGGGTTCACAGCAATAACACCCTTGAAGTTTTGCTTCTCTCAGTCAGAGCCTTTGATTCAAATAGAAAGCAGGCATAGCTCCATCTCCCAGCTTGAAGCCTAGCTTCTAGCTCACTCCCCATTCTGGCCTTTGTCTTTCTAATCACCAGTGAGTTGTATGGTGCTTGATAGTATCTTTTAAAAACTGCTCGGTAACCATCTTTGGTGAAGAGTGATACAGAAGTCTCTTAATAAAACTAAAGAAAAACTAGCAAACTTACAGGAGTCAGATTAAAGAACTCGTCAGATTCTGCTGAGTCCAGAAAGTCCAGAAGCTCAATCTCAAACAAGACTGTGGCATTGGGAGGGATCAAAGGAGGGCAGCCCGCAGCTCCAAAAGCGTATCTTGGCTTGAACAAAAATCTTGCCAGCTCTCCTTTCTTCATTGTCAGCAGACCAATCTCCATTCCTCCAAGAGTGATGTCTGGGAAAGCAAAAAAGAGCAAGGTTTATTTCTCAAATGTATGTACTGCAGTACTAAGATCCTCCTTGATCTTGATTCAGATTGGGCCTGACCCAGGACAATTTGGCCCCAACTCAGGCCCCCAGAAAAATCAAATCTTTGGATGCATGAAATCTGGAGAGCTATCCTGGCCTCCCTCTTAAAGGATCCCAAATAGTTTGCTTACTATCATAGAAACTAGGCATGAATGCACCTAACAAGTCCAGTTTTTATATTTAAGCGCTACTGCACACACACTATTTTATTATGTCTTAGGAACACTTGGTAATTCTGGGCTTACCTTCACCAAGTTTCATGAGCCTATGATTTCTTCTGTAGCAGTTTGTGTCAAAGGGTCTGTCCATGTGTTCCAGGTAACCTGAAAATTTCACTGAAAAAGTTAAGTTAGAGGAGAGTAAATCAGTTTCAGTTAGGAAGGTTGAACATAGTTTCTATTTTTATCAATAACAGACATCAATAACATATGTGTGTATCTGAAGAAGTGTGAATGCACACGAAAGCTTATACCAAGAACAAACTTAGTTGGTCTCTAAGGTGCTACTGGACCATTTTTAAAAATGTTTAATATATATTTTGACTGCATCAGACCAACATGGCTACCTACCTGAATCTAGACAACTACTAGCAATCCTTGTTTCCAATAAACCATGCTGTATTGTCCCAGGAGCTTGCTGAGAGCACATAAATTTCATCCATTACGGAAAAATTGCAAAATTAGAATTATGGTGTAGCATTTGTTCATGCTTTTTCAGGTTCTGTAATAGTCATCAAACTACATTTTCCTGCATTCATTTAAAAATCTGAAGGCAAAAACCTAAAGGCTCCCCAGTAGCCTTAGAAGCTACTCACAGCAAAACAGTCTTTCCCAACTTGCTGCCTGGGTCCCATGGGACTGATAGGAATGGTAGTCCATAACACCTGAAGGGCAGCAAGCTGGGGAATATTACATTAAAGTCTAAAGGACCTGTATGACAAAAGAGTACCTGCTCACTTCCACCATACTCTTGGGTGCTAAAAAGCACAAAACAGCTTCAAACTGGGAGTTTGGGGTTGCTTATTAAATGGAAACCACAAACAAAATCTACAGTGTACATCCATGAGATTTTAGGTCATTGGCTAAACACTTAATCCATGCTTGGCTAAAGTACTAATACCACTCTTATTTAAATGTTAACATTCAGATTCAGAAAGCCACCCTCAACATTGCTAGAATTAGCTTGTGAGGGAAAGTGCACAGAGAATCCTTCCACATAGTCCATATTAAATCACACATTAAAGTGCTTCTTGGGGGGTTATAAAGGGAGTTAATGGAAATCAATAACTTGTGGTATAAACCACTTTTCAAATGGCAAACTTGATGGTGCAGATGTGAACTGAAAAGACAAGTTAACTTCTTAAAAGAACAAAATCCACTTTGAGTCAAGACCAAACTAGGCATGAACATGTCTAGTTTTTTTCCTCATTTAAACAGCAGAACTGTGGTGCAGAGTGCTCATCCTTTCCTCTTCATCAACATGGTCCTGATCCACATTCTCACACCCCAGCTCCTATTGGTCCCAAAAGTCAGCTTTTGGCAAGAGGAGGAATTAATATCCAGGCCACAGCAGGAAAGGGGAAAGTGGCTATTCAATGCAATACTATGCATTTAGAGGGGCTTAACCATTGCCTTGGTAAGCCTGCTTAACACCACAACCATAGACTTGTCAGCACAAGGTTCTTTTACCTAATATGGATGCATCAGGAGGCACCGTTTCACCAGAGCCAGCACGGATAATCTCTTTCAACACTCCATGGTCTCCAGTAACATCCTGCATCCGTTGACCCAGCCGGTGGTAAGGAGACTTTGGAAACAAGGGTATGGCAAAGCATAATGTTATTTATGGACTGCTTAATGCCAAGACAGGCTTCTGTTGTATTATTAGCATTAATGTTATATTATTAATATGGATTTCCTCAAATGTCTTTTTAAATCGGGTCAAAGCTCAGTGGCAGAGGACCTGCTTTGCTTGTAGAAGTTCCCAGGTTCAATCCCCAACAGGATCTTCCAGACAGGGTTGGGGAGTGACCTCCGAGTCTGAAACCCTGGAGAGGTAGTATCAACCAGCCTAGATAACACTTGGCAGTACTCTGACTCAGTACAAGGCAACTTCCTAATGAATGAAACTATTGCTTAAAGCCACAGCCTAGAATAAACAATGGAGCATTCTGACATATTCGATGGACTTATATAAAACAGAAAAATAATACACCCTCACAGTGTAAATCATGCACTACTCCTCTACAATTAGCTATAAAAATGTTTCCAGGACCAGATGGTTTGACTGCCAGATATTATAAAGCGTTGAAGGAATGGTTAGTACAACCACTGAAGGAAGTATGTAATGAAATTCTGGAGGGGAAAAAGGCACCAGAGTCGTGGAAAGAAGCCTTTATTTCACTTATACCGAAAACTGAGACTGAAAAGAACCAAGTTAAAAACTACCGCCCTATATCATTACTTAATGTGGATTACAAAATTTTTGCAGACATTATGGCAAAAAGACTGAAGAGAGTGTTGGTAGGGGAGATTCATAAGGACCAAACTGGCTTTCTTCCAGGGAGACATATGTCGGACAATGTGAGGAACATTATAGATATTTTGGAACTGTTAGAAGTGGACATCAATAGGAAGGCTGTTTTAATTTTTGTGGACGCGGAGAAAGCCTTTGATAATATTGGTTGGAGCTTTATGAAGAAGAACCTCCAAGGGATGGGGGTAGGTCAAGGGTTTGAAAACGGTATAGGTGCAATATATTCTAAACAAAAAGCAAAGTTAATTGTAAACAATGTGGTTACGGAAGAAATATCTATAGAAAAAGGTACACGACAGGGGTGCCCAATATCCCCTTTACTTTTATATTAGTCCTGGAGGTTTTGTTAAACATGATTAGAGGAGACCAGTTGGTTAAAGGAGTACAAGTCGGAGCTAGACATTACAAGCTAAGGGCATTTGCAGATGACCTGGTACTGACCTTGCAACAGCCAGATACTAGTACTAAAAGAGTATTAGAACTAATTGAGATATTTGGTCAAGTAGCAGGATTTAAACTGAACAAACAGAAAACGAAAGTGCTGGACAAAAATTTAACATTGGCTGAAAAAGAGAAGTTTCAGAATGAAACAGGTTTAGTGATAACGAAAAAAGTAAAGTATCTGGGGGTAAACTTAACATCTAAGAATATGAATTTATTTAAGGACAATTATGACAAATGTTGGACAGAGGTAAAGAAAGATCTAGAAATATGGTCAAGGTTGAAACTTTCTTTGTTAGGTCGAATTGCTGTTATCAAGATGAATGTATTGCCTAGAATGTTGTTTTTATTCCAGACATTGCAGATTTTGGACAAGATGGATTGTTTCAAGAAGTGGCAGAAAGATATATCTAAATTTGTCTGGCAGGGCAAAAAGCCCAGAATAAAATTTAAGATTTTAACTGATGCAAAAGATAGAGGGGGGTTTGCCCTGCCGGACTTAAGACTCTACTATGAATCGGCGGCTTTCTGCTGGTTGAAACATTGGCTACTTCTTGAGAATACAGACATTTTGGATCTAGAAGGGTTTGATAATAGATTTGGCTGGCATGCATATATATGGTATGATAAGGCAAAACTGCATAAAGGTTTCAAAAACCATATTGTTAGGAAAGCATTATATAATGTTTGGATGCGGTATAAAGATTTATTGGAAAGTAAAACTCCCAAGGTGGTTGTCACCAATGGAAGCCAAAGAGGTGAAAAAGCTTAATATGGAGTCTAAATGGCCAAAATATTGTGAAATTTTAGAACAAGATGGGGAAAAATTAAGATTACAGAGTTATGAGAAATTAAAGTCCAAAGTGCGAGATTGGCTTGCACTACCTTCAGATAAACGAGACATTTAAACAGGACAGGAAAATAGGTTTCCAGAAGGAGAGGTCAAAATTAGAAACAGAACTGTTAGAACCCAATACTAAGAATCTGTCGAGAATGTATAATCTGCTGTTGAAATGGAATACACAGGATGAAACGGTGAAATCAGCTATGATAAAATGGGCACAAGATATTGGTCATAACATTATGTTTGCTGACTGGGAACAGCTGTGGACCACAGGTACTTAATTTACGGCATGTAATGCCTTAAGAGAAAACATTATGAAAATGATGTATAGGTGGTACATGACCCCAGTCAAGCTTGCAAAAATTTATCATTTGCCCAATAATAAATGTTGGAAATGTAATGAGACTGAAGGTACATTCTTACCACCTTTGGTGGACCTGCCCGAAGATTAAAGCTTTCTGGGAAATGATCTATAATGAAATTAAGAAGGTTCTTAAATGGACCTTTCTAAAGAAACCTGAGGCTTTTCTCCTGGGCATAGTCGGCCAATTGGTGAGAAGGAAGGACAGGACGTTTTTATGTATGCGACTACAGCAGCAAGGATTCTTCTAGCAAAGTATTGGAAGACACAACAACTACCCACACTGGAAGAATGGCAGACGAAGGTGATCGACTACATGGGACTGGCGGAGTTGACTGGCAGAATCCGTGACCAGGGGAAAGAGACAGTGGAAGAAGATTGGAAGAAATTCAAAGTTTATCTTAGAACTTGTTGTAAAATTTAGGAATGTTAAAATGTCAAGGGGTTGTGAAACAGAGAATTGCAGCTGTAATTAACAATAATAGAAGAACTTAAAAGAAATTGAACTGAAAAATTAGTCGACTGAGGAGTTGCTGAAGAAATATAAAACAAGGATGCAGAAAAGGGGAGGTATGGGGAAGTCCGGAAAGTAAGGTTTATGAAAAAATGGTTATGAAATTGTACATGTTTATATGTTTGTATGTCGGTGTACTGTGTATTGTTTGTTTTCTCTTTGTTTTTTTTATTCTGTGTTTGGAAAATTAATAAAAACTTATTTTTAAAAAAAATACAATTAGCTATAAAAATGTTAAAAAATAAAACAGAAGAACCCATAAATCTCCCTATGATTTTGGAACTTGCCCACTGTTTTCCTCAGTTGCCAGAGACCATTACATATATGCCTGCAAATATGAGTCTGGCAGAAACTGGAGAATGTGAGTACAGTAAGTGCTCACAGTGCTCATATAAGTGACAGCCAATGGGAGACTCCTTGGCCTCACTTGTGTCACAGAATGTTATTAAACCTCCGATCCAAGAAAGCAGAGGGTATACATTGGAGACGGAAGGCTGTAGATCATTTCCTTAAATTTATGATGGATGCACAGACTTGCAAATACTGTATTATGTAAACTAGCTTTGGCTGTTTTGGACTCTTACATAAATTCAAATTTAGCCAAAACTGCCAAAGGCAAACCTATATATACAGCACACTATATATTAAGAGACTTGCCTAAAGATATATTTATTGTTCATAATTCTACTTGAACAGTAGCACAAGCTTTTTTGTGTGTTTTTTTTAAAGGAACACCTTGATTTGCACTGGCTTTGGCAATCCTTATGGTACTGATATTTTGCTGCATTGGTTTGTTTTGCTTTTTACTAGTCCTCTCTTTCACAGCAAAGCTGTGCTTTTCATTGAATCCTACAGCTGAAAGAGACTACCAAAGGTCATTGAGTCCAACCCCCTGCAATGCAGGTAACACCTATTGTTGTCGTTTCATTTCAGCAGGTGCCTCCCCTCTGAGCTGCTAAGGTTGGTTGAGGCAGTAAAAGAGGAATTTCCCTTTCTCTCTCTTTTCTTTTTGAGGGGAAAATGTACTCCTCGCATGCTCAGACTCAGCAATCAGTTGGGCTCTATCTTCGAAGGGGGAAGGCAGAAGCTGAAGGAAAGAGGTTCCATCCCTTTGTTGTTCTCCTCTCGGGTAGAGGGAGCGCCAGGAGGAACTCTACTCATGCCCAGAGACACCAACGCTCACCATGAAGCCCCCCGCGCCGCTCCCGTCCCCCGCCTGCCAGCTCTCCTCCTGGCCACCGCCTCTCGGCTTCATCCTGCAACGGCTGCTCTCGCCGTCGCCCTTTTTTATCCTCACAGCGAGGCCCAGCCTTCCCGCCCAAACCGCGCGGGCCAATCACGGTACGCCCCTCCCGACTACGCCCCCGCCAAGGCCTCGTGCCGCAAACCAGGCCACGCCCAGCCCCCGCACCAGAGCCAATTCTGTGCCCTCGGCAGCGTCCGTGGAGCGGGGGGGGGGGGAGCGAGCGTGGTGCATGATGGGGCAGTGGGTCCTCACCCTCAGTTTTTTTATTTACCGACACACCCGCTTTTCATCTAAAATGGGCTCCCGAAGCGGCTTTAAATGCGAGGAAGCTCGAGTTAATAATAACGGCATGGCGTTAATGCTAGATACCCTGTGGGTGTCGCTTTGTTTTTTTACTCCCAATTAACTTGCAAGAGTAAGCCCAAAGAAATTTAATGCGCCAAAGTTAGCCATGTCTTTTGAATCCTGCTCTAATGTGACTAAGACTGGATGCTACCCCTTGATTTAAATTTTCCTGTTCTATCTTTTAGAAAGTTTTCTCCATGACACAAAACCATGACAATTCTTAAACTTTGTTTATTTCATGCGTTTTGGTCCAGCAAGAGGGGCAGGGGAGCTTGAAATAGCTTACAAGCACACTGGTTTACATAATACAACATTTGTCATCATAAAAAAATTAGCCGCCAAAACAATAACAACAAAATCCAACAACATGTAAGGTAAAAGGGTAAAGGTGAAAAGTAAAGGACCCCTGGATGGTTAAGTCCAGTCAAAGGAGATTATAGTGTGTGGCACTTATCTCATCTTCCCACCACAGCGGTACCTATTTATCTATGGTCTGCTTTCGAACGACTAGGTTGGCAGGAACTGGGACACAGCAATGGGAGTTCACCCTGTGATGGGGATTCGAACTGCTGACCTTTGGATCAGCAACCCAAGTATAGCGTGAATGGATGGTGGTGCGTTCAGTGACTTCTTCCCACCTCGAGCACAAGCACAAGAACTGCAACTAGAAAGCAGACATTTCCAGCAGTGGAATTTGCTCCCTGTGAGATCCCTCACCATCTGGAAGGACCATGTGGTGGATACTCTTTGGGAGTTCGGGAGGCTGGCAATAACTCGGTATTTCTGAAGGATGAATAAAAATGGATTTCCCATTCTGCTACTGTATCAGGTTGCACCGTGGCTGCATCACAATAGTCTTTAATTGCAACAGGAATATTTGTTTACTCCTTCTACACTGCCTAGAGGCTGCAGAATTAGGTACATACAAAATTTTAAAAAGCCCTTGATCGAACATGTTACAAAAGCATGGGAAGCAAAGCTAGTATAAAAACAACTGGACAATTCAGCCACCTTGGGTAAACTTTTTGGGTGTCTACTAAACAAAGGAGGAAAATAAATCTGGATAACTTCATGTTTGCTGCTTGAAGCTCCTTGGATGGATGGATGGATGGATGGAACCACTGCTTCAATGGTCCTCTTCCATTTCTAGGCTCCTTTCCTTGTGTTCCTTTCAGCCTGCAGGTAAAGGTAAAGGTAAAGGGACCCCTGACCATTAGGTCCAGTTGTGACCGACTCTGGGGTTGCGGTGCTCATATCGCTTTATTGGCCGAGGGAGCCGGCATACAGCTTCCGGGTCATGTGGCCAGCATGACTAAGCTGCTTCTGGCACGGAAACGCCGTTTACCTTCCCGCCGGAGCGGTACCTATTTATCTACTTGCACTTTGACATGCTTTCGAACTGCTAGGTTGGCAGGAGCAGGGACCGAGCAATGGGAGCTCACCCCGTCGCAGGGATTCAAACTGCCAACCTTCAGATCAGCAAGTCCTAGGCTCTGTGGTTTAACCCACAGTGCCACCCGCGTCCCTTCAGCCTGCAGGTAGGGACTGTCAATTCTTAATCTTTCTAAAGCTCACTTTTTAGGTGCTCAAGGAAGTGGTAGAGAGGGAAGCTTCAGACTAAGGAGGATAGAACACTTAAGAACAGGCATGGGGAGTCCATGGGGCTGCCGTTGCTACTGAACTACAGCTTCCACCAGCCTCAGCAAGCTTGGCCAATGGCTGGAGAAGATGGGAGCTATGGTTTGGAAACACCTGGAAGGCTACAGCTTCTCCACCCCTGCTTAAGAGCAACCCATAACCAGCCTTCCCCAAACTAGTGCCATCAGTCCTGACCAGTATGTCTGTACTCCCATCAAAACTGGCATAGTAGAGCTGAGTTGGCTGTGGCGTTTTAGCCCAAGTAATCTTGAAGGCACAATGTTGGCAAAGTGTGCATTAAAACGGATTAAACATAATGCTCTGGTGCAAGCTCTAAAGTGCATTTGCGGCAGACCAAAGGGATGTCATGGGAAAGCATTTTCAAAGACATCGGTAGGACAGTTTCAGCCTTTAATCTTCCCCCCTTTTTAATGTGGCCCCATGGCATTGGCAAATGCAGGACGATTGTAGCAATGTGTCAGGAAGCTGTATGAAATCTAGCCTTTAAACTTCCTGGTGAGGAAGACTAAAAGGCAGAGAGGGAAGCAATGGGCCTTTGAAGTTTAAGCATCAATTAACTGGCATGTTTCCTAGAGGCAGCCCAGAGGCAAGGTGAGTTGGTTGAACAGATTCCATCAAGGACAGTTAGCAGAGAGAATGACTGAGCTGATCCATGGACCATGCCATCTAGAAAAAAGGAAGTTCTCCTCCTTGGGGGATCACTGGGTTTCTTCAAAGCAGGCACCCAAAGGTATTGAGCTGTCTCTCTCACTTGCTCTTGAGATGCTTAACTTGGCTCCTTGATTAACCAGCTATGTTCTGACTCCTTCAGCTGAGCTGAAGGCAAAAGGTTCTCAAACAGACCTCTGGAGCCCACCTTGTATATGTGAGGACTGTTCCCTTGTGAGAATACAAATCCAGTTACACCTTGATCAGGGTTTCTCTGGTCCAGATTGCCATGCTTTGGAGCAGAGCAGTCTGTGGCTGGTGCCTTTCTCCCCTGCAGTTGCAGCAACATGGCACTCACTCTGCAGCTCAGCAGGCAGGAACTGCCCACTTACAACTTGGTGGGCTCCTGGGCATTGAGCCCATCATCTTCTTGGACCTGCAGCATGGTGGGCGTGGGCAGGACAATGGGCAACGTGTTGGTGCCCCGTTCATGCCAACACATGTCCAGGATGGGGTACAGCTTGCCCTGGAACTCTGCTTGAAAGGTGTAAATTGGTACCAGTTCGTCAGGGCTGTCGGCATTGTAGAAGGTCAGCTCACCCTTCTCGTAGTGCAAGTAGACCCCGATGCGCTGGGGGCGGGCTGAGAGCGGCAGCACCACGCGTGGGTTGTTGAAGGCCTCATAGACCTTGCCCTCCTTCAGGCCGATCAGCCACACCCCATGCTCAGGGCTCTTGTTCAGCTTGCCCTTGCGGCTGACTGTGGCTTTGACGATGCCCAAACGCCAGTGGCTCTTGAGGCCCACAATCACCTCCCAGTAGTGCCTCCCCCAGGAGAAGCCCTTGTTACCCAGGATGCAGTTGCTGTAGTCGAAGCGGTCAGGGTTGCTGCCTCGCCTCTGGAAGAACACCCCACACTGGACCATGGTGTTTCCCTTGGACAGCTCCAGGATGGGGTGCGCACTCACTGGGTCCAGTTTCAGCATCTCTGGAGCTAAGAGAAGGGGTGAAAATCAGGAGGGATCCTGAGCAGGGGTCAATCCACCTTTTACAGGTAAATATAATTAATTTTACAATGACAAGGAGCCCACCCATCCCTTTACTCTTCACTAAAGCTACCTCTTCCCTTTTTACCTTGCCAAAGCCACCCACCTCCTCCCCTTAGACTCAACAAACCTTCACAGCTTACTTGGACCACCTGCCTGCTGCTCTGCTCTGCTCTGGGCTGCCCAACTGCCCACTTCCATCTTCATTTATGTCCTCCTCACCCTCTGATGCTGCTGTGATGGCCCAGCAGCTCTGAGAGCCCAGCTTGGTGTAACACTCTAGTTTGCAGTGTCACCTGTCTGGGGACAAGTGAACTGCCGTGTGATGACACTTACATTTACCGTATATTATGGTATATGTGCAGAAATATTGTGCACCGCTTAAAGCTGTTTAAAAACCTGTTTATAAATGCAATACAATGGCTCTGCGGAGTTGTTGTCCACAAAGCCTGGAGAGCACCAGGTTGAGGAAGGCTGCTTTAAGACCTCTGAGGAGCCTGTTGGCTTCCTCTCCAACAGCGGCTGTACCTGGGAGGACTTTGCGTAGTAGTCTCTTCCACACCATCATCTTGATGTCATCTTGGTGGAAGTCGGGCTTAAAGGAGACTGCGCTGAACATACCATCAGCCAGATGCTGGCGGGGGAGCTCAGACCTGGGGGAGCAGGGCAGAATATTGATTTTCATCATGATTTTCTCAAAATGAATACTTGAGTCTTAATCATCTGCTACAGCTTTCCAACTACCTGGCCCCAATTTAATTGTTGGAGTGATGCTGCTGAGGAAGCACTCTGACCTTGAAGATCTGCAGTGGCTCCCTCATATTTGCAGGAAAGTAGGAGGGCATAGCTCAGTGGTTGTGGACTACAATTCCCTTCAGCCCCAGACAGCACAGCTGGGAGTTGTAGTTCAGAGCAACAGGTGGGCACCAGGTTTGTGAAAGCTTCATTAAATAATTGCTCTGGGAGGAAGATAATGAATACGTGTTGCATCTTGGGGTGGGGGGAGGTTGGGGAGACTATGATTGACATGCATCTGATCCCTTGTTGCTTTTTGACCATGGGCCCATTCCATGGATCCCCTGAGAGATCATGGAGCATGGCCTGACTCCACAGTGCACACATACACACACTTTCTTTCTCTCTCTCTTCCCCTCCCCTTTCAACATACCTGGAGGGAAGAGATCTGTATTTCTGTAAAACAAGAGATGAAGAAAGCTTTAATGAGCTTATGCTGCTACAGCATCTATAACAGAACCTTAGGCTTAGAGGCAGGACACAGGGAAAGGTGTGGAAAATGTGGGCAAATTGAATTGGGGCTGTAGAGCACCCCTGCTTTTATGGACCCCACAGCTCCTATAGCCCTCCTCTATACCCCCAAACCCTCAAGTTGAACTTTCCCCTATGTGAATCACTGTGTGGTAGAGAGAAGGTGTTGTTGGCCATTTGATTTTCTGCCTCAGACAGCACCAGGCAGGCAGACATACCCTTATGAAATCCAACTGGCCTTCGTTGTTGAGTTTCTCCAGGGAATTCTCCAGCTCCTTCAGCTTCTGCAAGATGTCTGTCGTTTGATTCACCTGGACTTCGATGGAGGCGATAAGTTGGCCTGCCTCCCTCTCAATCCGCCCCAGGAACCTAGCCTTCTCCTCATCGATGTACCTGTGCAGTTCCTGGAACTGCTTCCGGACCACCCATTTGAAGACATCGGACTCATTCTGAGGGGGAAATCCAGAAACACAATTAACACTAGAATGAGGCGTGGCTTAATTTGAGTTGAGGTGTGCATGGGTTTAATTCTGGCAACTGTCTTCTGGGGCTGTTTCCAAGAGGCTACCTGCCACAGCGCTCTTTGGTAGGAGAAGCTGGTGGCAAAGCTTGCATTTCAAGTTGGCTTGACCCTGTGTCCTTGGCAGCAAGATTAAGAAGTTTGCATTTTAACATTCATCATTGAAGATTCTGTTGGATATAGGAGGTATCAAATTATATTTAAAATCATTCAGTAGTATGAGTTAAGGTTCAGATTTAAGGTTTTGTTTTATTTTTTAAATCTAATTTTGAAATGAAACCTGAACATTTTGGAAACTGGATGTTAACTTCCACAACTCAGTTCCCAGTGCTGAACGCAGTTAGCTCCCTGGACCCAACATATATTCTGATTCCCTGGACGCACCGCAATGCGCGTCTTGTTGTTCATCAGCCTGCTGACATGCTCATCCAAGCTCCCCTTCTGCTTCTGCACCTCTGTCATCCACGCAGAGAGCTTCTCCTGAGGAAACAGAAACAGCTTTAGTGGATCAGGCCAAGGGGAGTCCAGCTTGCCGTTACGTTTCCAACAGTGTCCAGCTGACGTAAAGGGGAACGGTTCTAGGTCAGTGGGGTCAAAACAGCTGCTTTGCATGCAGAAGCCCCTGGATCAAGCCCTGGCAACATCTCCTAGTAGGACTGGGAAATATTCCCTGGCTGAAACCCTGGAGAGCTGCTGCCAGTCAGTGTGTGCCAGGAGTGAGGAACCTCACCTGGGCCTTGGAACTCTTCCCAAGCCCCACCCCTTCTTCCTAGGCCATGTACCTCCTGGCTCTGCTTTGCACCTTGAGTGTTTTTGCCTGGCTGGAAATATGTCCTTGAACTCGACTAACACCTTTTGCTCATGGACAGAGGAGAGAGAGGGGCATGTGACTGCGTGTAGAAACATGGCTACAGTGCCAAGGTAACATTTACATTCATTGCCCGGCCCACTTTTGCCTCTGGCCCCACCCACCAACCTGGCCCCCTTGGTAGGTTGCCTGGAAGACTGAAAAAACCTCCCAGCCCTAGGGTGGGCAATACTAAACTTAGATCAATGCTCTGACTCTCAGAATAATGCAGCGTCCTATGTCTCTGTTTTAAGATGGAATTCTAGGCCATACACCCCCTACAACCATCTGGAGCCCCCACCCCAGGTACCAGGGAAAGAGAAACTCAGGTATGGAAAGGATACATGTAAGTTGCCTTCTGCTGGATCAGACCTTTGATCCACCTAGGCCAGAATCGCCTTCTTTGGCAAAAGAATCTCTTGGGGGTCTCCTCAGGCAGGGAAGAGGCTTTACACACACACACACACACACACACACACACACACACACACAACCTGTTCAGATATCTGGGAGGTGGAGTCAGGCCAGGGGTCAAGGTCAGGGCTTTCAATTCACAAGCTCATTGTTAGCATAGGCATATGCTAGCACTAGAGTCTGGCTCTGCTGGGAGTCAGACACACCCATTTGTGGGCAGGAGAGATTTGACCACTTCTGGCTTATCTCTGTCCTACCTAGTAACAGGCACACTCAAAGGAGCCGGGACAGCCTTGCTTTGCTTTTCCATTCCCATTTCCAAGGCTCTTTGTTTGCCTCAAGGCAAACCTTGTGGCTCATTGCTTCCTCTAGCTGCCCTTGATCACAGGCACCTGATCTACACGTGATTCCCCACACCCCCTTTTCAGAACACACTTGCGCCCAAAGCACAACACGAAGCACCAGGCTGGGGGAGGCTGCTCTAGACCCCCAAACAAATAGCAATGTTGCTGAAACCTTCAGCATGCAAGGCAGGGGCACTATGGCCCTTCCCCATATTACACCAGAGAAAATATGGAGCTACCTTTCACCAAGGAATGTAGATGCACTACTACTGAACTACAGCCCCTTCCCTTCCTTTTTTTTTAAATAACAAATTAAGACACTGAAAGCTGTCTTGCTGGATCAGACCAAGGTCCACCTAAATTGGCAACCAGCAGGCATTTGGTGGTCCACCAGGAATCTGTTCAGGATCCACCTTCTGCCTAAGCTCCCCACACCATCCAAGCACTTACCTTCATCCGGCTGTAGATGGTCGAGATGGGGGTGACCTTATGGTGCTGATGGGTGCCGATGGTGCCGCAGAGACCACAGATCACCTCTTGGTCTTGCTCACAGAAGAGGCTGAGGGGGTTGTGGTGGTTAGGGCAGGACTCCTCGTTGGGATCTGAGCTGCCTGCAGCATGCAGCGCCTCAATGATACGAGCCAGGTTGACGTTGGGTGGGGAACTGCTGCAGTCCACAGCCTTCCGGCACACCGGGCAAAGGAACTGGCTCTCCAGGCCAACTGAAAGCGCGACCACGCAGATCTTGCAGTATGAATGCCCACACTGGAGCATCAGGGGCTCTTTGAAGACTTCCAGGCAAATGGGGCAGAGCAGCTGGTCTTCCAGCTGGTCGATGCTCATCTTCCTGGCCATTTTGCCCACCAGTTTCTTTTCTTAACCTAGTCCTGGAAGCTCAGCACCCTGTCGTGGGAAACTCCAGTTGTGGGGGGCAAGGGGAAATGAGAGCAATTCTTGTTCCTCCTGATTAACAGACCTCCTGCAACAAACGAGAACCGATAAGATGACAAGTAAAGAAGCGATGCAATCTTAGGGAGAAGTAAGAGTGCCCCTGAGCACACGCAAAGCAAAATAACAAGGCTGGGACTGGGGGAAATGAATTTGCTCCTGAGTCGTGAAAACAGGAAGGGAGGAAGGAAGGTCAGCATCCAGGTAACTGTCATTCCATACTTACCAGGAGATCAACACCTGGCTCCTTTGCTCAAAGACATCAGAAGTGCTCTGCAGTCCCAGGGGCACCAGCCTTCAGGCAGCAATGCCTACAGGGCTCTCTGGCTCTTTTAAGGAGATGCAACAAATTTGCTTGGGAACGGCATTACAGAGCTGAGAGGGGAATAGTGTGTGTTTTCTTCAGTGGTGGAAGAGGGACAGTTAAAAGATGCTGAGGAAGCTAGAGTGACAGAGGAACTGTAACCCCCTTAAGTGCAGAGATGGTGAACCCGTGGTGGCCCTCCAGAGTTGGTTGGTCTCTGATGACTCCCATCAACCTTGGGGAAGGACCTTTGCTCAGTGGCAGAGTACCTGTCCCTGGTTCGATCCCCACTGGCATCTCCAGGTAGGACAGGGAGCAGCCCCATCTGAAGACCTGGCAAGTCATTGCTGCCAACCTGTGTTGACCAAGGAGAGCATCCTTACCTTCCACAGCTCAGTTGCCTTTTGCTTTCCGCCTTCCTTGCTCACTTGCCCTTCACCCGTAATCACAGGGCTTAGAAAACGCCAAGGCTTGGGATTCAGAGACCCTTCCTTTTGGGGAAATTCTCCTGTCTGCAAAGAGTCAACTACTTCTACCCCCTCAAATCAATCCATGTGTCTCCCAAGCGGGAACTCCGAGCCACACCACTTACTGTGAAAAATCAGAGGTCAGCAACACACCCACCCATTCATGCGTCTGCACATTTACCTTGAATGTTCACCTTGCAAAACGTTTGCTCTCCTCCCCACACACCATGGCCTGGCCACGCCTGGCACTCATTTATTTGTCCATCAGGTGCCAAAGACTTCTTTACGGTTACCTGCTAACTGGCAACAGATAAGACTTCTGGCTCAGACATTACTTTTTTCCAGCCTTATTGTTGCAGGGTAGACTTGAAGTCTCCAGTGTTGATGTTCATGAGAAGAGAAATAAAGTTGTACAAAAGTAGCCTTGCTGGCCTCTCGGGGTTCAGTGAACCAAAGTTTCCTTGATGGCCATCACAACTGCAAAAAGAAAATGAGAGAGTAATGGGAGGGGGAGCAAGAGGTGTTGGGCTGATCCCTGTTTGGTGGGAGCTAGCTAGGTCTCTGTCTCTGCTGGGCATTTTTCAAGGTGAAACTTGCCTCAAAAAGAGTTTCATCTCAGCTATCTGCTGAGGGTCCTGGTTGTGCTGACCCTTAGAAAGGAGGCCTTGTGCCAGGACCGGCTCTGCCTTTGACAGATGTCTGTGTAGTGGGGTCAGAGGACCTTAAGGAGAGCTGCTCCCTGTCAGCAATTCCCACCAAGGGGCAAGTTCCTTCCTGCAGGGGCTTGGGGGACTTCCAGTTGCTCAACCCTAAAATCTTGTTTGGGAGGGTCAGCCTGCTGCAACTTTGCCTGGATCATCCTGCTTCCCTAGGAAGGCAGCAGGGAATTTCAAGTCCCGTGCCTGGTTTTATTTGAGACTTTTTTTTTGTCACCGTTGGAATAGTTTTTAGTTTTTATACACAGAATTGTTCTCAATTGTTCTACCTATAGAACTGTTTATAATCGTTTTTGCACTTTTCTTGCTTTATGGTCCTGTCTTATAACTATGTGCGGCCTGATGGTAAAGGCGGGACACAGATAAGAAATCTGATTATATAATTGAGCCACTTATTGAGCCTTTTGAGGCTGAAAGCGGTATACTGTACAGTACAAGTATTTTCAGGCGGCAGCCCTACACATACTTCCCTGGGAGTAAGAGCCACTGAACTCAATGGAGCCCCGTTATTCCAAGTAGACACGTGCCATTGCGTTACACTGCGCATTGTTCAGAAAAAGAGTAGCGGTCTGCATTGGGATGTGGAGCTTGAAGCCGGCGTGCTGCCAAAGCCTTTGATTTCTCTCCAAGGATTTTTTTGGGAAGCGCTAGCGGCTGTGAAGAATGCCACATCGAACCCGGAAACTCGCCGAGCGACGAACGTCTAACATTCGCAGCTCTACGAGCATCTCCGCTAACCCACCCGCGAGCATGCGCGGCTCCCTTTCCCGGCGCATGCGCATTCAGAGCTTGGTGCCATGCGGGAACGCGGGCGGAAGAGTGGCTCCGCCGTGGGGCCCGGCTTGTACAGCGCGGCTGCCTCGGTTCTGGCCGGACTGGAGCGCCGGGAGGGTGCCCTCAAGACCCTGGTCTACGGGAGCCGATTCCAGGCGAGTAGAAATAAATATTTGCATGTATTTGCATAAATTGGAGTGACAAGCTTGGCGAAAGGAGGGGCCTCTACAGAACGGGGTCAGGCAGATTTATGACAGAGGCTGCTGCCGACTGCGATGGTGCAAATGGAATCGCCACCTGCGGGTGCTGTCTATCGTGGGATGTCAATAGCGAGTGGATGACGTCAGAGAAGGGGGCGTCACCCTCAGGCCCTGCATCAGATTGGCCACTGTGGGGAAGCAGCCTGATGAGGCAGGGGAATGGACCAACTTTGCTCTGGTCCAACAGGTGTATTTTATAGGAGGATATAAAGCCACTTTGTTATATCAAGCCAGGCCATTCCTGGAGTTAGAAGGGACCATAAGAGTCCCACAACCCTGAGATTAAGAATCCTATGCTCCACTAGCTCAGCTATCCAGGTGTTCATTGATGCACCTAACACAGTATTTTCTAGTCTACACTGGCAGCAGTGACTCTCCAGGGTTTTTCTGGCAGTCTTTTTAAATGCTCAGGTGAGTTGAACAGATAAAGAACAGCAAGCTTTAAAAAAAGGCAAATGGCATCTTAAAGCAATAAAATAAGAAAAAGCTGAGCTGCAGGGATTTTATAGTTTGAACTCATAGCCAAGAGAGATGATAGGAAAAGAGAGGGATCTCCTGAAGCTGACGCTGTGCTAAGCTGTTAAGGGGGGGGGCACCTGAGACCTTCCAGATGTTGCTGGACTCCAATTCCCATCAGCCTGTGCATCCAGTGGCAAGGGATGATAGGAGCTATAGTCCAACAACATACAGAAGGCCATGGGTTCCCTGGGGTAAAGTGCGGAGCCCAGCTGTCCATCAAATTATTATTTCAGGTGTGTGCTGGGGGGGGTGTGTCTTTCCAGACTTAAAAATAGAATTCCCTGTTAGTGCTTGTTACCTAAATCAAGTGCTCAAAGTGGTCATAGCAGCAAGTAAAGCAGCCCCACTCCCAAGTTGGCATTTTTCAAGTGTTTTGGACTGTGTTTTCCATCAGTACTAGCCAGCAGGGACTAAGGATGGCCATGGGGCTGATGGGAGGTGTAGTCCAAAGCACCTTGGAAGCAACAGCATGGGGGAGGTTGGAGTAAAGTGCCCACTTAGCTGTAAAACAAGGATAGTCTTTGCTCCATTAGCGACAATGATCCCTGCCACTCTTCCAGAACCCCCGGCTGCTCTGCGCCCTCGTTTCGGAGACCCTTCGCTATTCTCCTGTGCTGGACTCTATACTGGAGGCTGCTGGCTTGCTCCGTGCTGAGAAGAAGCTGCAGCCGCACCTGGCAAAGGTGAGTATGAGGGGCGGTTGCAGTCACAGCCCCTGGGCTCCCCGATGCCCAGAACAAGTACCCCGTGCTGTCGCCCACTGGTGCCCCTCTCCTTCCTTTTCAGGTGTTGGTGTATGACTTGCTCTTTGGCAAGGGCCTGCGTGGTGGCGGGCATGGCAAGGTCCTGGTGCTGAAGCATCGTGCCCGTCTGCAGGCCGAACTCGCCCGCTTGAAAGTCCAGAAGAAAGTGAGCCGCAATGAAGATCTGCTGCCACCGATGGCGGCAGGAGGGGCTGGCCAAGGTAGGTGGCTGGACGTGAGGTGCCTTGCCAATATCTAGGCTACTGCACTGGAAGAACCTATCTTAATATTTCATGGTTGCCAAAATGCATAGTCTCCGGAATCTCCCCAAACATAATGCTGTTCTTGGGAGGCAATGCACAGGCTCTGACTTGGGCTGACTCCCAGGGAAAGGTGCTTTGAAGTGGGGCAGAGAGACAGGGAAGCAGGCATTGGGAGTGAGCAGCTCTGCAGCCTGGATAAGTGCATATCCTGGTGGTGCAAAATTAGGCTCCTGGTCTATCAAGTTTTATTTACTTAGGAGAATTTTTAGACTGCAGACTCACTGCTGTCTCTGCACCTCAAGACCAGCTACAGGGGTGGAAGGGAGTGGGAGTCTTCATGGTTGATGATGAAGGAAGACCAGCATCTCAGTTTGAGAACTCAGTATCCCAAGTTCCTTCTTTGTTTCCAGCCCCTCGAGTGCCGCGATACGTCCGAGTGAACACCTTAAAGACGTGTGTGAGTGACGTTGTTGACTACTTCAAGCGCCAGGGCTACTCTTACCTGGGTAAAGCAGCCAGGTGAGCTTGACATTCCTACCCTTCTGCTCAGACCCTGCGTGATCTTGGGAGAGGCTGGTACTTTCAAGGTGTCTGCCTGCTAGCCAGCAATGGGCTCAAAACCGTGGCTAGATTTGCTTGCTGTTCCTACTCAGATCTCTTCCAGATAGTTGAAAGCCCTCCAATTGGAGGAGGGGGAAGAGCTTTTTCCCTTAGTGGGCAGATTCTCTCTGGCATGGATTCCCTGCCTTGGGAGGGCACAGCTAGCTGGCTCTGGGCTGTGTGGGTGTTGGGGACCTGGAATGAAACTTAATTCCACATCCCATTGTATTTCCCTTCAGCTTGGAGGATGTGAGCTCCTTGTCAGGGAAGAAATTCCTGCTGGATCCCCACCTTCCAGAGCTGCTCATCTTTGCTCCACAGACGGACCTCCATGAGAACCAGCTGTATGCAGCTGGACATATAATTCTTCAGGACAAGGTAAGGGTGGCGTTCTATCTGTGGCACAGGAAAGTGGGGGAGGGTCATTTTTGCCCCAGCAGCCTCCTACCTGTTGCCCCTGGAAGTGCTGCGTTCCTGAAACAGACTTCTGCTTTCTTCTAACTGTGGCTTCAGGGTTCCTTCAGGAATTGTGTTTCCATGGACATTGGACTCTGCCTTATACCAAATCAGATCACAAAAATGTTGGTTGCTAACTCTGTTTTCACCACATTGGTGGGGCTTCTGAAATCTGGTGAATGCAATGCAGCAAATGCTCGTCTTTGAGACAGATGTGCCCTTTAAAAGACAAGAATGTAAATGTACCCTTACTGGCTTTTGTCTACAAAGGAGACAACAGCTTTTGGGTGCTGTTCGGTCTGCCTGCTTGTCTCCCTAGGTGTGGGTGGGAATAGGCTGCCAGGGTTAACATGTGCTTGTGGGGTGCTGAGAACAGCCTGCTGAGGCCAGGGAGTGTTTGGAAGAGGCAGATCTCAAGTTCCGCTTTGACTTGGCTCCTCTTGTAGGCCAGCTGCCTGCCTGCTTTCCTCTTGAACCCCCTGCCGGGGTCCCACATCATCGATGCTTGTGCTGCCCCCGGCAACAAAACCAGTCAGCTTGCTGCTATCCTGAAGAACAAGGGGTAAGTACAGGGAAGCCAAGTAGGTCCTCAATGGTAAGAGCCAGCTGGGGCAATTGGCACTTGGGGGGAGAGATGCACCCTGTAGCCCAAGGCTACACTGCCCCATCTCACTCTAGGCTTAGACTTTAGTGAGTTTCAAGAGAGGCAGTTCTTGAATAGTTTTATTGCTTTATTGTTCGGCGTCCAGCACGCTTCCCCCTGCGAGCCTCTGCAGGTCATAAAGCAATTAGCAATTAGCAAAGTTGCACAGCGGTTGTGTGTCGAAAGAGCAGTAAATCAGTCCCAAACGTTTCTTCTGTCCTAATATCTCTTTATTGGAACAAAATAGCGTATTTACAATCTCCAACAGCCATCCGAGCTAAGCTGCATCTTCTCTCTCTGCTTGCGTCTGAACAGAATGCTTTCGATTCCCACTCAGCACACAGCATTCCAAGCTGCTTTCCTCACGTCCTGGCTTACTTCCCTTGTAAGCCCCACCTCCAGGCTCGAGGCATAGAAGGTTAACCCTTCACTACACCCAACAAGGTTTAGACTTTAGTGAGTTTCAAGAGAGGCAGTAAGTCCTGTGTGCCTGTCTCTCCTCTCCCCACCAACCTTCTAGCTCCCAGGGCCTGCCTTGCCCTTTATGGCCAATGGTGCCGTTTAGAGGACCTGGAGCAGGAGAGAGACTAGGCCCTGCTTCATTCAGTTTGACAGGTGTGGGTCCTGCTGGCCCTAGTGAGAGTTATGATTGGCTAAGCTCAGTCAGTGGGAGAGGGAGACTGGGCTGGGGTTTTCAGGGTGGTGGTGAGGAGTGTCAAATTCTCTGGAAGAGGACTCTGCCCTCCCTGACATGCTTGCTGTGTTTCTTCCGGGTTTCTCTCTCTTTCTGACTTTCTGACTGTGAACACTCACGGCGCTTTTCATACTCTCAATGTACAGGCAGATCTTTGCCTTTGACCTGGATGCCAAGCGCCTGGCCACAATGAGCACCATGCTGGTGAGGGCGGGGGCCACCTGCTACCAGCTGGCACACCAAGACTTCTTAGCCACAGACCCTGCTGATCCCAAGTACAGCTCTGTGAGATACATCCTCCTGGATCCCTCGTGCAGCGGCTCAGGTGAGCAGGGGAAGGGTCTTGGAGAGCAGATATTCCCATCCTGTGGAACTCCAGCTTTAGTCTTGCACAACTGCGAGCAAATGTGCCCTGGGGTGTCAGGGTTTTGCGTGCTGAGAGATCAGTGAGGCAGTAACTGCTCTGGGGTGGTCCTAAGTGCTTGGCTACTCAGTCTTGGTACCACAGAGGTGGCCTCTGAGCCCCAGGCAATCATCTGCTGCCCCTCTTAAGCCAGGAAGAGAAATTGGTGGATGTTGGCCAGGGAATTATGGTGCATTTGCTTTTATTTTTTTATTTTTAGTCTAGCTAAGGATACCTTTGGCCCTTCCTCTTCCCAATGGGGTGAGTGATGGTCTCTCCAGAGTTTGTGAAACCTGGTGGAGTTGACCAGGGTTCACTTTATGAATTTATACCAAAGGCTTCCTATGGAAACTTCCATAATACAGACTCTGGTGGGCCGAATAATCTCTGGACTCCTACGTTTTCTGCACTGTGAGCTCCAGCCCAACCCTATAGCAAAGGCTGCCTATTTTAGGGCAGGGCCTCCCCATTAGGTGTGCTCAGGACTGGGGGCCACTTGCTACCAGGCAGATCCCAGCCTGAAAGCTGAACTCCAGCTACCACCAACCTAACCTGCTGAGCCCCAACCCTGCAGCCTTGGTGCAGTTGTAGCCTATAGCACCAGGTTAGGGAAGGCTGGGTCCGTCTCATGTACCTTTGTTCCCAGGAATGGTCAGCCGGGTGCCAGTTGAGGAAGAGAATGCCAACCTCCCTGAGCGCCTGCAGGCGCTGTCCAGGTTCCAGCGGAAAATGCTGGCTCATGCACTGAAGTTCCCTGCTCTCCAGCGCCTGGTCTACTCTACCTGCTCAGTGCACCAGGAGGAGAATGAGGATGTGGTGCTGGATGTGCTGAAGCAATGGGAAAAGGAGTTCAGGTACTGGAGAGGAGGGGGTTGGGCAGAGGGTAATGGTGGCCGCAGGGCTCAAAACACAGGCAGGCTTGACAGAGCTGGCTTGGGGGCCAAGGCGGTTCAGCCTTATGCCACCTTCCTGGAGGGGTTTACCTAATACATTCGGACGTAGGAGTGAGGATGCAAGGTCAATAAAGGAGAGGCGGCCAGAAGGGCCAGTTAGTTAGTTAGTTAATCATTCATACCCCATTCACAGGTTATAGCATTAAAACACAATATAGGCAACTCCCAATTTACGTGGGGGTTCGTTCCAGGGCACTGCACGTTTAATTGAAATTGTGTATATTTGAAACACCATTGAGAAAGCCTGCAATTGCCCCTTTTTGTGACATTTTTGGGTCACTTCTGGTCGTGCACATATTGGATATACCTAAAACATTTGCTGCCTATATTAAAAACAAAACTTACCATCAAAATAAGGTGTGTTCTTAAAACAAACACCTCGAGCGTCAAAACCCAGGATAGAGTTTAGCCTCCTGCCTCAAGAACCTGTACTTCTTCCGTCCAGAATCATTTGGTGACTCCTGCTGCATCACTGTCCTCTCCGGACGCAGCCAAGCCCGGTACAACCTCCTGTATTTGTTACGAAGTTAAGGATAGGTGCCTCCCCAAGACTGAAAGTGGGTGGGGTGTTACCTGCTGCTTCCATTCCACTACCAGAGGGAGGCCACAAGGGAGCTTGCCACTCACAGGAGTCTTGCCTTTCCCCTTCTTGCAGGCTGGTGGAAGTCCTGCCTTCCTGGTCCCAGCGGGGCTTGGCCACTTGCGCCAAGGCAAAGTGCTTCCTGAGGGCTTCCCCAAAGGAAACACTGACAAACGGCTTCTTCGTGGCGGTCTTGGAGAGGCAGCCGGCGGGAGCCTCCGGGCCCAGGTGAGTGGGGCACTTGCTACCCTTTCTACTATGCTGGAGAAAGGACTGGAGGGGCATGATCCAGGCACAACACTCAAGAGGGGACGCAGTGGGATTTCTGGCTTCAAACCTCCAAAGCTACCTGGAGCTTCCCCACACCCTCCTGCAAACGCTGTGTGGGCTGATCTTTTTTATATCACATAGGAAAATGAGGGTACCTTTGTTTAAAAACTGAAATGACAAGTTAAATGTAATTATATATGCATTTGGTGCTGGGGCGCACATTATATACTGCTTTTTGTATAATTGAGTGAAAACAGCAACATATTTTTTTTTTGTGGGGAAACATAACACTAATCCAAAGTTTTGAGGATTCTAGTGTAGACACAGCCCTCCCTGTTCTCCTTTTATACTAAATCACATGCTCCTATTTAAGCAGCATGCAAAATAGGTCCGTGTAGCCTAACGGAAGGCGGCCAAGCAGGCCTTTGCAGGTTGCTTTGATCAGCCATGCTGATTCTTCCAGTTGTGTGAAGCAGGGCATACACAACCCTCCAGGCCTTTTTGATCCTCCGAAGGTCACACTCCACTCAGTCCTTCTGCTTGGCTGGAACTTGGTGATGCCTTTTGCTTACCCGGCTAGAGGTGGTGGGACTTGCAAGCCAGAGCCATGGAGCTTCAGGAAGAGGGAAGGCTTAGAGGAGCTGGGGATAGAGGGCTGCTTGTACCTTTGCTAACACCTGCCATTTTTGTGCCCCTAGCTCCCCACAAGAGTTCTCCCAGACTGTCAGTGAAGTAGGTGCAGACCCGTGCCTTCCTCTTAAGAAAAAGAGGAGGAAGAAGAAACCAGAGACTTAAGAAGCCTTGTAGGATTGACTTGTAAAGACAATCACGAGACAACACAGACTCTGCTATAGGAAGTCGGCACCAGAGAACTTTGCAGGCTCTGGAATAAAAGTTTGCACAGAAGTGTTATTCTCTCCTCTTCTCCAATTTATTCCAGAGTGTTGTGAATCATGGCAGGATGTTGGTAGATGAAGATAGTGGACTGGCCATTATTGGGGTGGTGGGTGCTGTAACTTAAAAGGCACCCACCCCGCACTGTTTAATTCTACTCTGGGAAGGAGCTGTCTTGAAACTACTGGTCTTTGCCACTTCTGTCTGCCCAGAACATGCAGTCTGCAGGTACAGACCCAACGTCACTGAAGCTAAGCAAGGTCAGTGGCCTATTACCTGCTTGGGTATGACATGTGTGTTGCCTTTGCTGGAGTATAAATAAGGAAATAATTTTGTGCTATGCAGATCCATCTGAAGTGGGCAGGCCTCCTCCATCATTCAGGAAAACCCAGGGGTGAGTTGGCTGCTGCTGCCTTTGGGAAATACCTCCCGCTAAAACAGAAAGACACTCTCCATCTCAAGCAGTTTTGTTTTATTTTAAATCAACATAAGCAAGGAAAAGAAATTGCACATTCACGCTAAAACCCTCAACAGGAATGATCCAAGTCTTCATTGCGACATTTTCTTTTTTTAAAAAAAGTCAATCATTCTCCCCATCCTCACAGACGTCATCCCACTCACACAGTTGACGCTGGCACTCTGCACACAATCAATGGAAAGGCTGCAGCCTGGGGTGGCGGGGAGGGTCCCAAGCTGTTTCCCTTAGCAAGCTCAGGATGTGGTGGCTACCTGGCTGGGCAGAGACGTGACTGAGGTAAAGGGAGAGAGGCAGCCCGAGCTCAGGAAGCACTTGTTGTCTCCACTTTCACAGAATTGGGTTTCTTTGGGGGGGGGGGGGAAGGGATACAAAGGGGGTTCTTAAAGACAGCACCATTCCCATAGCAAGGCACTGCTCCGCTTATTACCAGCATGCCAATGTCAGGCAGTGATCTGTGGAAGCCTCGTTCTTTTAGAAACCTCCCCCCACCCCACATCCAGGGGCTGGATGGAAGCTTTTGGCTACTGCCTCTCCAATAGCCCAGACAGAACGCTCACTCCCCATGCCAGGCACCCTCTAAATGTGCAAGAGCTCTCAAGCATTACAGGACAGACAAAGCCACATCCACATTATAAAACAAGAACATGGAATGGGATGGGGCGGGGGGAGGCAGACGAGGGGCTCCCAGCCTGAGACTGTTGCAGCCCGGCCACCTCCCGCTCCTCAGAGCTCCCCGCCCCAGCTAATTTCCTAATGAACAGCTTTGCACTTTCACACACTTCTATGAACCAAGCTTGAAGGAATTCAAAGGCAATTTAGCTTAAATACAAAAATAAAGTTTCATTTTGTTAAAAAATGTTTAAATATTTTTTTCTTAAATTTAGAATTAGGCAGGCTCACGCACACACTCTCACACCGTTGTCTCCACTGTATGAAAAAAGCTGGCAGACACTGGGCTTTCGCGCTTCAAGAGGGAGGCGGGGGGGGGGGGAGAGGAGCTGGGATGTTCTTTCCCAAAATGAAGGGAGCTCCTTAGAAGAGGAGGGGGTGCTCTTTTGCTTGCTGGAGCCTCTTGCAAGCAGTGCTGTGTAGTAGGGCAGCCAGCATTGTGCCATGGCAACCCTGGCAGACTGCAGAGCCCTTCCACATTGGAGCCTCTTCTCTCCCCCCGCCAATCCAGTGCAGGGAGTCAAAGGCGCTGGAGCTGTGCAGCCCTGCTAGGGAGGGCAGCCTTGCTTCACCTCCCTCTCCTCCTCCCAGATGATGCACACAGAGCCGCCCCCTGCTTAGCACTGCCAGCCTCCCAGTCTGAAAACTCCCGAGTGCTTGGCTCCACTCGGCACACGTAGCCACGCAGCAGCGATGCTGCTACCACCACCGTCCACACCCAATTCGGCGGGGTTCGTCTCCCTTGGAGACAAGACAGCCACCCCCCAAAAGAAATGTTTACAGCAAGTCCGGCATTACCAACATGCCGCCACACATACAATTAAATTCTTCCTCCAAACTCGATTCACAGAGCAATTGAGAAAAAAAAAAGGAAAGGGAAAGAAAGAACACATTCTGTGAGCAGAACAGACAGACGGATGATTGGGGGAGGGGAGATGGAAGAGGGCAGGGGCTCAAGTGAAGCAGCAGCAGCAGCAAGGGGGGGTGAGGTGGGGAGCTACCTCTTGGCTCCCACCCCAGCATCTCCCTGACTGCGGAGGGGGTCCCAGCCACGGAGGAACAGTGATTAGTGTTTCGGCGAAGGGCCCCCAGCACAGTGACTGCAACCATGGAGCCTCGGCAAGGTGGTTTTGCCAGCTGCAAAGGGGCTCTGAAGGTGGTGTGGGCCACAGCATCATCGGAAAAGGACCCCAAGCCCTTGGTGTGGGGGGCCTCTGCCCTGGATCAGGAGAACCTTCTGCCACTTGTCTCCAGGAAGAGGGGAGGGGGCTCCAGGTGGAAACTGGCACACCGCTGCTGGCCTCCTCCCGGCACACTGCCCTCCCTTGGCAGCCAGAAAAGGGAGCAGGTTGAGGTAAGGCAAGAAGGTGGATGGGAGGGAAGAGGGATCCACAGGGGGCTGCTCACATGGGGAAAGGGAAAGTAGCCGATATGTACAAAATTTAATCCAGACTCAGTCATGGACTGTTCAAGTAAAAAGGGCTTGGTTTCTCCTGTCCCGTTTGAGGGGGTAAAAATTGCTCTGGGTAACTTCCTGCGGACGTCAGAGACAACGTGGCCCCTAGGCCAGTCAGTCCTGCTGAGGGTGAGCTGTAGAAGCAGCAGCCTCCGTTGGGCAGGTGCTGTGCCCAGGCCAGTCTAGGCCCGACAGCAGGTTGGCCGGGAGCTGGAGCCCAGCCAGGAAGTCTCTCTTGGCTACTTCTTTCGGGTGTGCTGCCTCCGGGCTTGTAGCCGCTGGCGGGAGCCAGTCTTGGATCCTGCCCCGATGGAGAAGGTGGGGGCTGGGGGTCCTGCAGGGAAAGACAGAGAAGCAACAAGAAGCCCCCATATCAGTCTCGGCTACATAGACCAAGGTCGGAGGGCTCACAGCAACAGCCCCTTCTGCCACACAGGGCCGGCTGGATGGGGGGAAATGTATGCTGGGGGATCCCACAGCCCCCCACCATTCACCCAACCCCCTCAAGTTCATGGGAGCAAGGAAGCAGACAGAAATCCTGTCCCATAAAACTCTGCTACATCTTCCCAGACTCTTACCAAAAGGAGGTCCGGCACTTCCAAAGGTGGGGGTGATGGATGTTCCAAAGGAAAGGGTGCTGCCCCCCACTGTGCCCGCACCTGGTGCTGGCGAGCTCTGCCCAAATGTGGGTGGTGGAGCTCCTAGAAGACCAAAAGGTGGTGAAATGAGAGGCCGACCAGAGTAGGGACATGCATCCAAGGGGAAACAAAGCCAAGATGCTAGTCTCTGCGCTTTACTGCATGGGACTGGGAGTAAAAGAGCCAGTCCTTCTCTGCCTTTGCCCTCCTATGCAAGGCCAATTGGACAGAATGAGACAGGTCAGTCTGGACCCGCCTGTCTCCCAGCCCAGGGAGAAATGTCCCCCTCCTCTCTCAACATGCCTCAGTCTGTCACTGACATGGAGGACTGAAGCTTCATGCTCCAAAGCCCAGCAGAAAGGCAGAGCGAGTCCAGCAAAGAATAAAAACCTCGGCATCTGTGAACACCCAGAGACTTTGCATGATTTATTCTGCTGTCAAAATCCAGGCTTTGGGAAGATCTAAAACTTTAGACTAGGAGTGGAGGAAAAGGGATGGAAATAAGGAGGAGAGAGGAGCATGGACCTAAGACCTGGATTCAGGGGAGTGAGTGCACACAGAACCTCCATGTGGCAGGGAAAGCGTTTCTCTCCTCCCTTCCCCTACGTTTAACAGATTGTGCCTCACACTGTCTCACAAATTCTCAGGCTTTGCAAAGAGAAGAGGGTGAAGAATGGTGACAGTGGGCAAATGCAGTCGTATTTACAACCTGTTTTTTAAAGGCGGCCAACCCTGGAGAGAAAGGAGCTAGGGGCATGGCTGCAGCAGACCCACCCTGCCCTCCACCTCCCTTGCCCAGGACCCAGGTATGTGTGTCCATCCCAGGTTGGGGAACGACTCACCTCCAAAGGCTGGCTTGCTCTCTTGCGTGCCAGGGATGTTGAAAGCGAAACCAGAGCTCTGGCTCTGGGCCCCCAGAGGGTTTTGTGCCAAAGAAGATCCAAAGGGTGTTGCCGCTGCCGCTGCCCCTGCTGCCCCAATCTGTCCACTGCCAAAGCTAAAGCTCACGGGAGCCGCTCCGGGACCTGCAGTGCCAGCAGCAGCAGCTGCACCCATGCCAAAGGCATTGACTGCTCCAGGGGCCTGGTTGGCTGCTCCAAAGCTGAAGGGAGTGGGAGCTGAGCTCCCAAACACTGGGCCTCCTGCACTGCTGTTGCTGCTCGTGGTCTGAGTGTTGGACCCAAAGCCCGACGTGGTGGAGGTCGTGGCCGTCCCAAAGAAGACAGAGGTGGTGGCTCCAAACGCTGGCTGGGTGGTGCTTTTTGCACCAAAGGATGGTAGGGGCCCAGTCCCACTGAAGGGTGTCTGTGAGGGACTGCCAAAAGCTGGTTGGGCCGCTGGCTGGGAGAAGCTGAAATGAGATTCAAAGCTCACAGGCCCTGCAGATGGCTTGGTGGCTGCCTGCTGACTCTCGGCAACTGTTGTGTCCAAAGCCAGCTGGCTGGTGTCCGTTGGGTACGGAGGCGGTGGCTTGGAAGCCGTGCCAAAGCCCCCTGTGAATGCAGAGGCGCCGGACCCAAACATCAGGGGAGGCTGTGTTGTGGCCGAAGGGGTCGTTGTGGCGCTGCTGTTGCCGAAGAGGCTGAAGCCTGCTGTCGTGGTGGTGGTGCTGGGAGCCACCTCTGTGTTGCAGGAGGGTGCCTGGCTGAAGGCAGAGCTCACCAAGGGGCTGAGAGTGGGACCTGTGGGGGCAACCTGCTTGCCAAATTGGAAAAGGGGAGCAGTGCCGCTAGTGGATGGGGCCCCAAAGAGCGAGGGATGTTGGGATGATGCTGGTGCGGTGGCAGAGGTGCTGCTAGGTGCAGCTGTGGAGGCCGGCATGGTGGGCCCAAAGCCAAAGACTGCCTTGCTTGAGGAGACAGCTGTGGAGGAGAGCAGAGCTGCTGCAGTGGTGGTCACAGTGGCCTCCAGGGGAATGGGGAACCCAGGCGTGGCTGTGGTGGTGGAGCTGCTGGCGGGCAGGGTGGGCACGGGCGCCGGCTGGAAGGTGAACGGCGAGGCAGCTGCCACTGTTGCAGGAAGAGCTGAGGTGGCTGGTGGGGGCGGAGCCCCAAAGACGGGCTTGAAAGTGCTGCTGGAAGTGACAGGAGGAGCAGCCAAGGAGGAGGGCAGAGTCCCAGTAGCTGGGGCAGGCCCAGTCGTGGTGGTGCTACTCAAGGAGAAACCCAGCCCCTCGCTCTTCACCAGGCTGCCAAAGACGGGCTTGAACATGGGTGCTGCCTCAGGTGCAGGAGAGGCAGTCGTTGTTGTTGACACAGGGGCTGCAGGAGGGCTAGTAAGAATCCCAAAGAGGGTGCTGGGCTTCGGGGCAGAGGCAGGCCGTGCTGGAGTCTGCCCCAGCTCAGAAGAGGAGGCAGCCATTGGGCTGCAGGTGCTGCTGGCAGGCTGGGCAGCACTGGAGGAAGAAGACAGTGCTGTAGTAGCCAGGGGCGCTGGGACACCAAGCGACAACAGTGGGGCCTTGGTCACCTCAGGGGAGCTCATGGGCATGGAAGAGCCCAAATCCAGGGAAGGAGAAGGAGCTGACAGCGGAGGGGTCTCTGCAGCAGAGCCAGGACCTGGAATAGCAGGGGAGGAAGAGCATTGTCACTATACCAGAGAGGAAATGCTGCTCAACAGGGAAAGCTCATTAACAACAGTTCTCTGTTTTGCATCAGACAACCACTATTTTTTCTCAATGCCCACCCAGCCTCCTCCTTCATCAGATATCACAGTCTTCAGCTTGCCTTTAAGATGCAGTGTCAAATGTTAAATCCTGCAACTTGTATATTCTCCTTCAGCCACCCCAGCTGTGATTACATACAGGGAGGTTGAAGAGGGCCGAGACTGACCGTACTTTTCTCTCTATAACACGCAGATTTTTTCTCCAAAAAAGTAAGGGGAAATGTCTGTGCGTGTTATTGAGCGAATGTGTGGTCCCTGGAGCCAACTGGACCGAGTGTAGGGGCAAAAATCAGGCAAAAATTAGATCGCGCAGTCAAGGGAGGAGGGAAGCCAGAAAAGAGGAAGCTATGCTTCCTGCATTCTGCCTCAGGGTCTTACTGCCCACCCGCTTCAGTTTCGGTTCCTGTGTTTGCTCAAACGGAACAAAGAGCAGGGAAATCCCCTGCCCTCCAGGCAAGCAGAGGGGAAAGGAAAGGATCACGTCCTTCCTTCCAATTCCTCTCTGTGCTCCGGTGCTGCGTCCAGGGAAGCATTCTAGGAACATGCAGGGGGGGGGGGGAGAGAGAGAGAGAGAGAGGGGCTGGCTTGGGTGGGGGGGAACTTTTGCCTTCCTTTCCTCCCTCCCGTTAAACCCCTCTCCTGCATTCTTAGCCAGCTGCTTCTCTGCACACCCCTCTCGTGCTCCTTGTCCCTTCTGTGTTTTTCCTTCCCTCCCCACTTAAAACGTGGTTACAAAGCATGGATCCACATGGATCCTCAGGATCTTTGCATTGGGTCACCCCAAATTCACCATCAGATCACATGTCTGTGGCCACAGCATGAAGCACAAAAATGATACATCCACTGTTTCATTCAGAATCCCCCCCTTGTTTTCCTCCTCTAAAAACGATGTGCGTGTTATGGTCAGGTGCGTGTTATAGAGCGGAAAATACGGTAACTCATCTGTCTTGACAGAAACTAACATCTGCACACGGCAAAGAAACAAATTGTGGGGGAGGGGAGTCTGTGCCCTCAAGAAACTTGTCAGGAATTCCAGAATACTGTGCCAACCTCTCTCTCCCCACCTCCTCTGATGTAGTTGTTGTCCATTAATCCCTGGAAAGTGGCTTAGAGTAACCAGCTGGTTTTGACCTGAGACTTAAGGTCTCCCTGATCTTAACAAGACTGGACATTCCTCAAGGAAGACTCTTCATGAAGCTACAAGCAAGTCTATCGCACATAGGAGCGGGGATTCCACAGACCACGTTAAGAACAGCCACCTGCAACTGAAACTCCCACCAGCTGTGGGCTAACACTGTTCAGCTTCCTCCAGTCCCAACATTATACAGCACTGCTGGCTGTGGCTGATAGGAACCGCAATCTCAGAAAGGGAAACATGCCTTATAGAGCACACAGACGTAGAGCAGGGGCAGCCAAGTAGGCGCCCTCTCCCCACATGTGGTTGGACTACAGCTCCCATCATGCCTAGTGACTGGCTGTGGTTGGCTGGGGTAGGTGGTAGAAATCAACATCAGGCTGGCAACCCTGGAAGAGGTTCTCCTGCAAAAAGGCTCTCCAAATTAGAGAAGCTCCCAAGGTAGGAAATTCTGACTCCTTGAAAGGAAGTGTCACCCAAGCTATTTTTTGTGCCCCCTTGAGAAACTGCAATTGATCAGCTTTTAATGGTATGATGCCTTAAAGAAACCAAGTATAAAAACCCCTCTGGAATCTCCCTCCCTCCCACACCCCTTTCCAAACCAGCATGGCTAGGTTTCTGCAGCAGGAAGGCCCTTGGGAAGAGCTGCACCCTCAATCACATCATAGCCAAGCTACTATCATCCCCCAAGGCCTCCCCAAACCACTCACCAGCTTGCCCTGAGGAGCTCTGCCCATCTTGCATCTTCTTCAGGCTCTCCAGGAGGGGGTTGGTGCTGGCAGCTGTGACAGCCAGCGACACAGCGGTGGACTTGTTAGGTATTGTCCCGAAAGACAGGGTGCTGGGTGGTGAGGTCATCGGCACTGAGAGTCTGGGAGTGGAATCTGTTGGGGAGGACCAGCATGCAAGGAGCAGAGTGCTTAGGGCTTAAAAAAAATGTATTAAGCAGGATATAAATGCAGAATAAACCCAGGGGCACCCAAACACAACAACCAAGGAGGCAACCAAATGTACTAAGCCAATTGATAGACCTGCTATTCCTGAGAGCCACTAAAGGGACCTTCTTGAGGAGATCCAAAATTCCCTGTTTTCTGTTTTATTTTACTCTGCAAGCCCCTTATTCCAATGCCCTCCCCTCCCTAAACTTGAGGCAGTTCATACACAGAGGGAAGAGGGTGCTCCTACCAGTCTTGTCCTCCAGGACTCTGTTGAACCACTGCAGAGCAGCCTTCTTTTCTGCATCCAGGTCAGCAGCAGTGACAGAATAGCCCAGCTGAGGCGGAAAAGGCTGTGGAGAGAAGAGGAGGGACATTGCTTGCTTCAGGTGAGCATGGCAGTCCAGTGGGCCCCCAGAGGAAGGAGGGAAAGCCCTCCAAGGGGCAGCAGAGGCAGCAGCCTGACACCAAGACAGTCTACCTGGCTCAGCCTTGTTTACACCAGGGGCAGTCAAAGCGGTCAGCAACCTTTGACTCAGTCAAGGCAAAAGGCAGTGAGTCAAGAGCTTGGCACTCACTCATTCTCACTCACTCCAAGCTTGTCCTCAAGGCCAACTAAGTCCAGAAAAAAGAACAGAAGGAGCGTACCATGGTGAAATTATCTTCCCGCCGAGTGGAGAGCAACTGGATCTTCCGCTTGCGCTTGCCAGTGCTGCCTGATGAAGGTGGCGACACTGGTGAGTTGTGCCTGCTCCGCAGGGGCATCTCTGCTGCTGCAAGAAGAAGAGGCCAGAGTTGGTAAGCCTGCGGTTTTATGCATGAGGCCCTGCCCAGCCAAAGGAGGCTTGGGATTCTGCAGCACTGGTGGCCTGTTTCTAAATACTGTCACTTTAAGCTTCTAATAAATCCCAGGTGGACATAATGTGAACATGGGAAGTGAGAGGAAAAACCTTCTAAAATGGGGTGGTTGAGACGTGTAGCATCCAGCACTCCAAACGCTGCTGACAACTCCCCTCACTCCTGACAGCCAGTGTGGCTGAAGGCCAGGGATAGCGGAAGCTCCAGGGAGATCTGGATTGCTACACGTTAAGATACACCCCCTGCCTCCGGCCATTCTAAAGTCTTCCCAACTAGCCTGTATTGAGATAAACATTCTGCCCACCCGCCCGCTCCACCCACCAAGAGTTTTGCGTTTGTTCTTTTTTTGCTTTAAGATCATCACAACAGTATCAATGCCGCATCTGGTTCCTGCTCCAGGTATGTCCACCTTTTTATTAGCAAAGCATCCCTGCCCCCCTCCACCTGCCTACTCACACTCATTCTTCTCTGCTGGCGCCTCCTTGTCTGTCCTCACAGGTGTGGAGTTGATAGACTGGTGAGACTCATCATCCCTGGAGCAAAAGGAGAAAGCCAGTGAGACCTGACTCTTGAGGACTCATTGCTCTCAAGACTCTGGCAGGTGAAGGGGTGTAGCTATGGAAACAGATGCCTTGGAGGACCCTTGCTATAAAATGTACCTTGTGCTGTCCGAAAACACCCACATTAAGGAGTCAGCTTTCCCATTTCACAGAATCCTTCTACCTATTCAAAGGCAAAGTTGGTCTTGTACAAGACCTCTAATGCTTTCACTCAGAAACAGCACTCTTTTCCAGAGGGCGCATCAACATAGGAAAACGGTGGCAATGTGAAAGGAAAGGGAGGTGTTGCTCTGGATGCGAACCATGGGGAAGGGGGGAGTCCTTGAACCACCCCCCCGGCCGGCCTCTTGGCCCTTCCTGGCCTTGGTCCCACGCTGCCACAAGCAGGGAGGGAGAAGATGCACTCACGTGAGGCTGGCATTGGGGTATCTTGCTTTTTTGTTCGGCCTCTCAGGTGTCTGAGAACGGGAGGATGCTGGGCTGGAGAGAGGAGAGGTGCTTGGGCCGCTCCTCTTCCACACCTGGAGGAGGGAAGGAAAGAGGACAGCAGAGGCAGAGTGAGATGGCAGCATCACACATCTCTTAGCTGGAGCTCTAGTGAAACCACTTAGCACAGCCTCATCCAACCTGAGGCCCTTCAGATGTTGCTGGGCTACAGTGCCCATCAGCTCCAGCCAGCAGATTTAATCCAAGAATGGAGAACCTATGGCAGCATTCGAGGCATTGCTGACTGGAACCCCCATCACCCTGACCATTAGTTGTCCTGCCTGGATGGGCTGCTGGACTCTAACAGCATCTGGAGGGCACCACAGATGCCCCCTGTCTTAACAGATATAAAATGAATGAAATCCTGGAACACAGCAAAAGTCACAGCAAGATCAGAGTAATGCAATTATTAAATCTTGCCTTCTATGTTAGCCAACAGATGAAGTAACATACTTTGTAAGCACGTTCACACCCTGCTGTTCTCTCATATAATTCAAGATGGAAGTGCTTTCTTGGGGGCTTCCAATTCAAGCACTGACCAAATCCAGACTGGCTTCATGTCCGCCAGGTAGCTGGGTGAAGGGCCAACAGGCCAACCCAGAGAATTAGAAGATAAAATAAGATGAAGTACGATGATACAAGAAGTCAGGACACGGAGCAACAATGTTCCTAGGAGATGAAAATATTTTTGGAACTCTGAGAGGCCTTTCATGTTCCATGTCCTAAAGGCATTTCATTTCAGGGATAACTTTCAAAGATTAACTAAAGCTATATGCTGTCAGCTGGGCCTTCTACAAGTGGGAACTCTTAGGGGCATCTCAGTTGTCCAGTGTGGCTTTGCCATCCCCATGTTCAATTTTATCTAGAACTAGGGCAGCCTTCTGCAAACTGGGCTCCAGATGTTTTGGACTATGACTCATCAGTTGCAGTCAACACGCCATGAATTATACCAGTTGAAAATGTATAATCTCTAACAGTGGGGGGGGGGGGGACGGGACCTAAGCATGACTTCTCAGGTATAAACTTTTGGTTTTTTAAATATGAGAAAAACAATTAAAACATTTCTGTTGAAGTTGAGACTTAAGATGATGAAGACCATTGAAAAGTAAGTACTGTAACACTGGATTTAGAACTACTGATTTTCTTATTAATTTACACAAAGGGATTGCCGCTCAGTTAATATATTATGACTTGTGATGCTAAATATCTCCAGCCTCCCTGACCATGGGGAAAAGAAGTCAAGGGACCGGCACGTACCTGTGAGAGGCCCCGGGTGGAACTGTAGGAGCTGGCGATGGCATTGCGGATGGAGCTAGGGATCCCCCCTACAGGCAGGCTGTTGATGGAGCTGAGGGAGGAGGTACGCGACCTCTTGGAGGAGCCTTCTTCCAGGCAGTGGGACAGGAGGAGACAGCGCTTCAGGGAGCCAGGCCTAGGGGCAAGAGGCAGAGATGGCAGTAGCACGGTGAGCCACCTTCGACAGGGCTCTCCTTCTGTCAAAGCCTTGCTGGGAAGATGGCCTTTTACAGAAATCACCTCACAATTCATATCCAGAAGAGCATGGAGAGATTTGCCAAACCTCGAACTTCTCTCCACGCATATGAACAATGGCCTCAATCTGCCTCTCCTAGCACAACCATGTGCACAGCAGCATTTCAGCGCCAAAGGACACACGATGAAGCAGATCCAATTGTGGTTTCTCTCTTTTTAAAAATACTTTAAAGCAGGCGAGGGGAGGGGAGAGGATGGAGGTCAGGCCTCTTAACTTGATTGGTGTAACAAGTACTGCTCCCCTACACTCCACCATTATTTGTTAATACTATTAGGAGGAAGCCTTTTTCCAGGCAAAGCTCTCAGTACTTACTTGGGGACCAAAGATGCTGGGGCGCCGTTGGCCACCAAGGGCTCAAAGGCAGACTGTCCACTCCCGCTGCTATCATGGCGCCTGGAAGGGGGGAGAGAAAAGGGAAAAAAGGTCTTCAGAAAACGTAAGAGGGTAGCCGCCACAAGCATGGATCCAACTCATTTACGATACTGAGCAAGGCCAACTCAGCTCTCAGCCTGGCAAGGCAAGGGATGGCATAGTGGCGGATGCCAACAAGCTTGGAAGACCCCAGTTTAAATCTTTGTGCAACTTAGCAGGTGATGCAAGGGGCTGGTGGTTTACCATTTCATTCATTTTTTGAAGGGGGCTATTCAGAAATTAGTCAAATGGTTTTGAGAGAGGGGTCTTGCTCTTTTAGATTTTTCAGCTAATTGAAACTGAAGCCCATCTCAGCAGCCTCTCACCCTCACAAAGCCACATTGCAACAGTGCCATGGTCCAGTTTGGAAGCAAAGCGAAGCCAAACCGTAACTGAGCATGAGGCTGAGAATGTGTGGGTGTAGAGTGAGAACCATGATTGCCACACTCCTCCTCCTGGCTGTGCAACCTGTATGACATAGCAATACGGGCTTGGGATTTGTCTCCCCCATGCAACCACAAGCCCAGTTGGAGGCCCAGGAAGGAGGAAAAGCACCTACAATTTCAGCTGCAAGCACCTGAATACTCAAGCACTTGTACACAGGTCCCTTAAACAACAGTGTAGTTCACTCACTTAAGAGACTTGGGGGATATAGAGAGTTCCAACAACATGTAGGAACCTGAGGCTCACTATGTCACCAAGAACCCACTCCTGCCTTGATAGGGGCAAGGTACGACTTGGGTTGTTTCTGCCTTTTCTCAGTGATTAAGCATCAATGGTTCTGAGGCCGACATCTTCAGTCCCAGGATCTCAGCCCCTTTGTGCCCTAACGGATGCTGCTGGCAACCAGACAGGCCACTGCTGACTGTTACCTCCTCTTGCTCTCCTGGCCACCTGGGACATTCCGGTCCTCCTCTCCCTCCTCCTCCTCCTCCACGGCCCTCTTTCGGCTCTCCCTGAGAGCGCTCAAGACCGTCTCTTTGGCGCATGGGTCCAGGGTACTGTTGGGCGTTGCAGAGAAAGCCACGGGGGAAGCCAGCTGCTCCAACCTGTGAATAGGAAGAAACAGTAGTCATAAGGAATCGGAGCTCTCCTGCATCCCAACAATATGCTCTCACCCAGGAGGCAAGGTGTCCCCACCCGCCTGAATCCAGTGAGATATTGTTGGCAAGAGTTATGGCTGCAAGGAGTCTCTCTGCACATCAGCCTGAGGGCTGGCTCATGACCTCACAAAGCTCTTCTAGGGCAACAAGCTGATGCTGATTAAGAAGTCATTCTAGGGCCATCAGCTGAAGAGGAGGAAGAGAGGGTTGGCCGCTCACACCAACCAATCAGGACATGGCCTAATGAGGCAACAGGGCCAAGTGAGATTTAGGCTGTGTACACACCTAAAATCAAAATCAAAATCCACCAGAAGGGATCTCCCCAATTTCTCCTAGCTCTACCCAGCCATTTTAAACATTTATTGGAATTGTGTTTTAGTTTGATTTTTTAAAAAATGTTTTGGCTTTTTGTTTTGTCTTGTTGCATTTTGTTCTGCTTATTGTTTGTTGCTTTTGTTAATCTTTTGATTATTAAAATATAAAAAATATACCCATGAAGGAATTGCTTGGCTTGGGACAGATCCTAGCCAGAGACTTACAGTGGGGAACGGCAGAGGCTGCTGTCTGGCCGAGCAATCTTCACCGTCACAGGGCTCCGGGCCAGGCTGGAGTTGTGGACAGACAGCCTGTTTTTACGCCGATATCCATCCCAGCAGATTGAGGGCAGGGTCCCCAGAGAGGCGTACTGTGCCTGCTGGATGGGGTAGCGCCGCCGAGGGGACAGCATAAAATGAGGTGATGCAGAGAGGTGGTCCCTGAAGAGAGAAAAGAACACGGTCAGTCAAGACAGAGGGAAAGAAGATGTTCAAAGAACGGCTGGCCTTTCCTCAAAAAGTACCAGCTGGAAAAGGAAACCCTCAAAGTGAACAGACAAGTTCTCTTCTTGGCCCCTACAAGGGGTTTCTTTTCACAACCATGATCCACTTTGTAAGAAGAACCTGGGGGAAACTACACACGTTCAAAAGCTGAGCACTGATGGCGCTCTGAGTGTCGATAACCTCAGCCACAAATAGCAAGACACATGATCCACCAGTTTATACTGCCGGTTGCTTTACTGCCCTGGCAAAATACTTGGCAGACACTGTCCTCACTACACCAACCTGAACACTAGTGCAGCAGTGGCTGGATTCAAGTGTGGAAGGCTTCTGTTATTCATCTGAAAGATATACATCAAGCAATCTCCATCTAATTGTTAAAATCACTGCTGAGCTGTTAAGTTCACCTAACCTAACAAACACACATGGAGGCTGTGAAGCTCAGATATATCACATCAAATGTATGGCATTCTATTGAACACCCACATGAGCTCATGGAAGGAGAGAGGGGCTCCTCTAACAGTTTAAAGTTGGCTGATTCATGTTCAAAGAAATGAGGTGCCGAAATGGGCTCCCCACCTACTTCATAAGGAAAAGTCCTGCCCCAGCAGCCTCTCAAGACAGGAGAGGGATATGCTGGAATGCTTTCCTCAATTCCTTAATGCAAGGCAAGCGCATCAACATTCAGGCCTATGACTTCAGGGATGCCTTTATGTAAGGCAATTTCCTGCAGAAGACAAAAAGGTATTTCTCTCTTCACAGCACACATTTCCTGGACTTGCCATCTCTGAACTCATCACAATGCAGAAAGTTTTGGACAAGCCACTTCCACACAAGGGACTGGAATGAAGATGCTGAGAATCCAATCCTCTGTGAGGAAACAAGCAGATCACACTGCAGCTACAAGAATCACCACACCCTGCATCCTGATGCTTCTCACATTAGCCATCCTGGTGCCTCTGGGAAGCCCCCAAGCTGGGGGGAAGGGGCAGCAACCCTTCCCAGCATCTGATTCTGCCCCTGAAGATGTCTGAAGGTTCCATTCAGCCATCAACAACCCTCCCCCTCCTCTGAACATGCCATCTAAGCCAGGGGCCAACGCTACAGCTTGCAGTAAGCAAGCCCCATGGATTAATCCTGCCTATAGAAGCATTTTCTTGTCTACTGACAATCAAAGTAATCAGCCACCTGAGGTTCCAGTCTTATGGTGGAAGGAAGTCTCTATATAATCTCACCATTTCCTATATGCCATGTGTAATTTGATAAACATCTATCTAGTCCCTACCTTAGTAGTGTTATTTGCTGCTAAACAAAAAAGCCTCCAATACATTAGCCTTTTAGAACACAAGAAGCTGTCCTACACAGAGCTTGGACCAAACTGGTCCACCTAGCTTAGTACTGTCTGTATTGATTGGCAGAGGCTCTCCAGGGTCTTCAGCAGGGGACACTCTCAGCCCTTCCTGGAGATTCTGTCTAGGTTTCTGTCCTACCACTGGGACACAGCCCTACCCCTCACAGGAAAGCTACTGCCAGCAAAAGGACACATGCCTGAGTTGGGTCTTTTTCTTTATTGTTTAGACCATTTACACACCTAACTATTCTGGCTGAAACCAACATCACTCAAAGTGTCTAACCTGCCCTTTTTAAAATACAATGGTAAAGCTGATAAAGAACAAACAACAGAATCTCTCTCAACACAGTCTGGCAACAAGCACAACTGTTGATCCCAAACTGGCACATTCAGCCTTGAGAAAAAAGCCTGGCTGGTCTCTAGGCAGTGATGGGGCTCCCTCAGGACATTCAGCACCCACTGCTTTCAACTAAAGCACCTGGATTAGCACCACACAGCAGGGTGATTAAATGTTCCAAGGCTTTGAATGAAAGTGAAACAGGAGGGAGGGGAAAGGAAACCTGAGCTTTTCTGTGTTGGAAGCCCCAAGAGGAATATGACAGGAGCTCTAGAAGAAGAGCAGCAATGGATGGGGAACTTGGAAGGGTAAAGAAGTCCAGGATCTGATACTAAAATAATTTAATGAGAAGGGAGTAAAAAGACAAAAGCTGAATGACACTCCAGTGCACTGTCAAATGACAAGCATGGCCAGGCAAGTTATTGTGACTAACTGCAACCAGGGCCAAGAGTGGGAAATGATGCAGAGCAGAAAGAGCAACCGGAAGTGGGAGGAATGCAGTGAGGTGGGCAGGAGAGGTTGCAGCCCACATGCTCCTCCAGGCCATGCTGGGGGAAAGGTCTTGCCCGAAACCTAGTGTCCTAATCTGCCCTAAGCTCCCTTGGTCCCCCACAAGACCTTTACCAAGGGCCCCCCAGAGACCCCTCTAGCAAAATCACTCTCTTCTTCCAAAGTTATCCTGGAACCATCATAGCTACAGAAGCTGCCTCAATACAAAAGGCTAAACCCTGGGGAACAAAAACTGCACTTTTAGGCAGGAGCTCAACAGCAGGCAGGAGGAGTGCCTTGCCCCACATGCAAGTGAGAGGGGTGTGTGTTGGAGAAGGAAGGAAGGCTGGGTTCAAGGTGTGGGAGGCGAACATGTGGATGGTTGAGGGAGCTTTATTTTGCACATCCACGTGCCCAAAGATGGAGAAGGAGCTCCCTAGACAAGCTGAAGACAACCAGTGGAGCAGGAAGAATAATGGACAAGGTCAGCTTCTCTTCGGTTTGCTTTCCCATCACCAATAAATGGGCATGTGCTCTGCTGGAGGCCCTGCACAAGCAGCAGGCGTCTTTCCTCACCACAACCCCGCATGTACAGAGTGCAAAAGAGCGCTCCTCTCTTCCCCCGAGCATGGGTGGAAGTTGTGGAGAGAGGAGTGTGACAAGCTTCTGCCCCCTAAACATGTGCAGAGTGCAGAAGGGCGCTCCTTTCTTCCGAGCGTTCTTGGGTGGGGGGCGTGGAGAGAGGACTACCCGTCGCCCTCTTCTTACCCGCAGCTCCCTCTTTGATGCTGCTGCTGCAACTGCCGCCGCTTCCTTTCGGGCAGGACCGGGGCCGGTGAGGCGTAGCAGCATCCGCCCCCCATGGCAGGGCCCCCGTTGGCCAAGGCGGGGGAGAAGGCGCGGTGGGGCAGCGACGGCGGCCCCTTCATCTCCTTCCCGAAGCCGCCGCCTCCCGCCGAGGACGAGGCGGCCGCCCAGGCTCCCCCGGCCGCCGCCGCCACGACCAGCGAGAGCGCCGCCCCGGACAGGCCCAGCAGCAGCACCAGCAGCGACAGCGACGCCGCGGCCGCTGCCGCCGCGGCCGCAGGGAAGGCCCAAGCCCGGCCGCCCTCAGACGACCCTCCGCCTCTCCGCCGGCCCCGCTGCTGCTGCTCTCGTTCGCGAGGATTCCGCCGCCGCGACGGAGGCCACCAGCCCCAGCCGGGCCCCGACGCGCCGCCGCCCCGAGACATCGAGGCCCCGACGCGCCGCAGCCGCCACAGCCACTCGCGCTCTTCCCTTTCCCGTGCCCGGCATGCACCGCGCGCCCGCGCGCGCCCGAGGAACAAGGGGGCGTGGTCCGTGGAGCTCAACGGCACGGGGGAGGAGGAGGGAGGGAATAGGCGTGGCCTGGAGAGAACGCGAGGCCTCTTTCTGCGAGGCGGAGGGGAGGGAAGGAAGGCGGGAAGGAAGGCAAGTGGGGCGGGGCGCCTGAAGCGCGGAGGTGAATCTGAGTCGCTTTCTCTCTCTCTCCCCCCAGCCTGGGTTGACCCCTGGGCAGGCGGGGATTCAAAATGGTCTCCCTCGCAAGTGTCCCCGAATTGGCCATGAGGAGAAGAGGAGCCCGGCTAACAGGTCATAGAAAATGTCTGGCCACAGAAGGAGCTGAGGAGATGTTCAACAGTGGTTACAGTCACAAAAAGGGGGAAACAAAAAGCACGAATTACGCGAATAAATAAGAATAAAGTAGAAACAGTAATAGAAATAAATTACTAACACGTATCAGTAAGAAAAACAACGCACACGGGGGCAACAATCCCCTCATGGAGGTAGACTGCGATGGTGCTTGGAGGTTCTGAGTGCATCCAAGCAAGTCCTCCCAGTTGGAATGAATTCACCAATGATTATGTTATTCATTTCAGTGGGTCCACTCAGAGTAGGACTAAGTAAATTAAAATCCTTCGATCAGCTGCCCTGGATTAAGATCCAAGGTGAAAGGGGAAAGGCAGTGCTGGTAGACTCAGCACCTGTCCTGCACCTCAGCCATGAGTAGCCAACATGGCACTTTTAGCATGTTGCTACAAGACTCCCAACTGCCTTCAGCCCTAGCCAACATTGCCAATGTCAAAGGTTGATGGGAGCAGGAGTCCAGCAACACCTGAGCTCCCCACATATGTCCTCCACCTCTAGTTAGAGCAGCCTACTCTGATGTGGCCCAGTAACCATGTATATTGGATTGCAGCCTTAAACCAGTTTAAGGATTATCCTTCCTCTTCAGGAAAAACTAGTTCTGTGAAGGGGAGCTCTCCAGATGCAGCAAAACACAGCTTGAAAATAGATCTATTTTTTACCCTTTTAAAAGAAGAGGGTTAAATGTGGGGTACTTCTTTGGCTATATATAAACCATCACCACGCTCTGGCATAGCACCCATTATCAACCATCACCTGGGTGCAACCATCCAATGAAGGCTAGATGGGAAGCAGAGATGCTGCTCCGGTTCAAGCAGACCAACAACTCTCAGCTCCTTTTCTTCCACAATGGTTTCCATCACATTTGGTTCTAATGAGAACTCTGTAGCCAATAGGAATTAGTGCCAGTTTGCTGTTTTTTCCTCCTTTTTCCTTTAAGGGCTTTTAGATTATGACTTGTAGCATGAGGCTTGTATCATTATTTATCTTTGTATGTCACTTTAGGAAGCTATCGCCTATCAAGTCAGGGCATAGATCCAGCAACCTTAGTATTTGCTGAGTGGCAGCAGTTTGGAAAATGCTGGGAATTGAAACTGGGAGCTTCTGCATGCACAGTGGATGGTCTGCTATTGAGCTTCAGTCCTTCCCCAAAGGACTTTGGTTGCCTTTTCCACTGAAGTGCAGAGTAAAAACAAAGGTTTTAAGTACAATTGCCCAGGGTAGGGAAATCAGGTCCTTGCTCCTTAAGCAGCGCCTTACAGAAATAAAACAGCATTTTTCATTTGCTCAGGTGAGACACCCCCCAATGAGGACTGTTGTACAAAAGGCCAAGGGCCATTATAGCACAGGGTTTACCGAACAGAACTCCTGAAGGGTGTCAGAAGCTCTTCTACATTTGACAGCTGGGACTTTCATAAGAAATTAAGTACCAGAAGGCTGGGCTAGAAGAAAAGATCCAATGAGTGAATTTCACTGAGACCCAACCCAGCCGGCACTCTGCAAGCTGCTTTGAGCAACTCCCTTGTGGAGGGAGAAAGCAGGGTATAAATGTTTAAAACAATGAACGATGGTGTGGACAAAGGTGCAGGAATGAATGTGGTGATACGAAGTGCTTCAAGGGGTTATCAGGGTGTTGAAAGCTGGGATCTGATGCTTAACCTTGAGCTCGATGCAGCTTCTAACAGCTCTATGTACTTCATATTGAGTCATTCCAAAAGCTCTGGCCCTGTTCTCCCTAACCATTACCCTTCTCTCTGTGTCATGGCCTAAGGGGGCCATTGTTAAATTCTAGCCTTCCACAATGGCACAGAATGAGAAGTCAGACATGCATATTTTTGTGTTATTCTGACCCCAAAGGCAGGACGACGGTCAGCATGCTACTCTCTCCCTGCCTTTAGCCCAACCCAGCACCCCACATATTATTTTGAACTACAACTCTCATCAGCCCCAAGCTGGAGGGCACTGGGTTGAGGAAGGCTGCTATAGGTCAACCAACTCTACTTTGGGTGCTGGTCTGGCTAGATTGTTGGGTTCACCTGATCACATACAGAGTAAGCTGGAAAAGTAAGTCTGCCAAAGGGAACACTGTGAGTCCTGGATCTCCCTCTTACAAATGACAAAGCCAACAGAACCGGGTTGAAATATTTATTTAAAAATTGAAAACACACATTCAACATATCATACAAAGGGGGGGGGATCTTGTATTTAATACAATAATTAAAAAGAGAGCTGGCACCTGGGTCAACTGGTAACCTGGCCCCAGACCTGTGGTGAGTGATTTTAGTCACTTAAGGGAAACTGCTCTAATGGAAGTTTTTGTTTGACACCCCTCACCCCAATTTAGGAAAAGTTTAAAAAATAGAGGAGAAAGAGCGAGCACTGAGGAAGTCACTTTACTAGTGAGACAAAATGGCCTTTCTGCCAGGCTCAAGACATCACCCTGGCAGGCAGTCTTCTTCTGTTTTGTCCCCAACATGGGTGGCCCATCAGCCTGAAAACCTGAGGTAGTTGGGGGGGAGGGGACGGAGGGCAGAAGGGGTTGCGTAAGGGTAGTTCAGTGCCATATGGAGCCCCTTCTCCTATCATGTGCTGTGGCAGCAAGGCTGTTCCTGCTGCTTTGGAGAGAGAGGCAGGCAGCTGAGTGGCCTCATTCAAGCTGGCGGTGGGAAGAGAGGGCTATTTGGTTCTTGGGCTGCTGCCACCCAGATGGCAGGAAGGCCGGGGGCATTAACAGGCACCAGTTGGAGAGGCTGTTGGTCTAAGCAACGACTTCTTCAGAAGAACTGGAGAGGGGTAGGCAAGTCAGAGTAACTCCCAACAGGGAGAGCAAGAAACCCTGGCTCCTCTGTGGGTCCCTCCAGCCCCTGCACCCCAATGGCAGTGTGCGAAAGACAGACTGATCTTGAGTGACTTGAGGGCAAGGAGGAGGGTCTTGAACGGGCTCAGGGACACTGTGGGACACAGCGCCACAAGTCAGACTCACAAATTTCCGTTTTGCCTTTCAAAGGCTGATCCTGGGCCCAGTCCAAGCACCCACTCCATTGTTATAGCTTCCAAAGTTCCCAGACTCTTTGGCAGCCCTTGGGGCCTTTTCAGATGACCCAGGAAGAATGTTACATGATGGTCACCTTTGTTTGGATTGTAGCTTGAACCCTCCCACCCTCAAGTTGAAACAGGCTGGCCTGCCGGCAAATACCAGGCACAGGGCAGTCCCACCCGATGCAGCAGGGAGGTTCTCTGCTTCCGAGTGATTGCCCCAGTTGGAGCGAGGAGCAGGCACACATTGGATTGCCCCCAGTGGCAGGTTTTAATCTAGGGTGTACAGGTGTATCCATGCTTGTGTGTATGTGTGTTTGTTTGTGTGTGTGTGTTTGAGAGAGAGAGAGAGAGAGCACCCCCCCATCATGAACGAGGACAGTGCAGGGTTGCTGCCCAGATGTTTCCACTGCTGTATGGCTAATGACTCACAGTGATCACAAGGTGCCTGAGGCAGCCAGTCATGGAAGGCAGCGTCAGTTGGGTGGGGGAGAAGCCAAGTCTACAACAGGATCCACATCGTCTTGCGTTGCTGGCTATTTCAGTCTCTGTTCGGTCCAGAGAGGGCTGACGGGTTGTGCTAATGGACTCCGTGTGAGAAAAGGGCAACTGGCCAGGTCTACGTATGAGCAGGTGGAGTCCCTCACAGAGCCCAACATGAAAGCAGCTGCTCTGGCCCCATCAGACCCTCGCCAGCTCTTCCCGCTCTGAGATTCTCAGCTGTTTATTGCTGGCTCAACACACAGTGGGCTGCTCTGAAGCAGCAGAAAGGCCTGCTTTGTTGGAGCGGGCAGCGGAGCCAGAGAAGAGAGGGGCTGTAAGGCCAAGAAGTGTTTCCTGCCTGTTACGGGATGGCCTGTGAGAAGATGGCTGCCACCCATCTCCGGGATGGACCTAATCCATCCCTTCTATGGGCACCATGGTCTGTTTGTACTGAAGGCCCTCCAACCCTGTCATCGCAGGGTGGTCAAGTGTACACACACACACACACACACACACACACACACACCAGTTTCAGCAGGTCCTGCCACCCTCTTGGTTCTGAGGACAAGAGGTGGCAGACAAAAAGAAGCAGCATGAGCAGAGAGATGTCACCACGGGCCCTGGTGTGGGTCGAAGGCCAAGGCTGGCAGCTCGGAAGTTGTGCAAATAAGGAAGTGAACTGAAGGTGGTGGAGGAGAGAGAGATGGAGTACGACTTTTGCAGAGAGGCTGCAAAGCTAGAACAATGCCCATGAGGCCAGTGTGGGCTTTGTGGGCTATGGCAGGCAGTGCATATGGATGCTGCTACTGTTGCTGCTATGGTGCTGGGGAGGCTCCTCACCTCCTCTCCCTGTGCCCCCTCTGCCATGGCTGCTACTATCTTCTTGACCAGCAGGGCACCCTGGCTGGCCCAAGAGAGAGAGAGGAATGTCTTTGTGGTGAGCACAGGCTTTGCGGTATGTTCCAAAGGAGTTTATAATTTGTGTTTGGAAGGAGCTGCACCAATGGATAGTGCCTCTTCTCCAGCTGTCTCCTCAGGGGGCTAGATTAGCACCTGGGCAGAGAGAGAGAGAGAGAGAGAGAGAGAGAGAAAGCTCTTTGTCAGGTATAGGCAACTAGGGAAGTCAAGGTATTGGTGTATGTGTGTGAATACAACCCATAACTAACCTGCTTTTGGAATAAATCTTTCAAGCACAGTTTGGATTCAAACCTCAGCTATGGCTCCAGCTGGGGTTGCAAAGGAAGGAACAACAAAATAATTGGGAGCTCACTCAAGAGCATGCTTCCATTTCTTCCTTTGATGTTTGACACCTGGTGGTAGGTGATTGACAGGTAGGCAGCTCCGCTTACCTTCCAAATGTGGCCTATCAGAGGAGGGTGGGCTATTTCCTTACCACTGCTATAAGGTAAGGCTTTCCTTGACCCAAGATTATTATTATTTTTGGCAGGGGTGCTCCACAAATGTAATTTTGCCCTTTCTGTGGTTGCAGCACTAACTCAAGGTGTTGGGAATTGAGATGAAAGGGCCTTCAACTGTGGTTCCTTTCCCTTTGCTGGTCCTCAGTGTCTTAGCAGGAAGGAGGCTACAGGCCCAAGTTGGGAGAATTGTGGCTAGGCCAGCAAACCCAGAACCTGCTGTGGCCCAAAGGCCAGCATAGAAGCCAACAGGCCACCAGACTCACCATTCTCATCCCAGCCCTCAGCCACCCCTGCCAGTTCGTAGTGCTTCTTCCGCAGCTCTCCCAGGCGCTGGCGTTCTTTCTGCAACTGGTTCTCCAGCTCCAGGACTCGCACCTAGGAGGGAGGAGAAAGGCTTCTGGAGTGCAAGTGACCAGGCTGCAATGCATCCCCCTTCTGCTCTGCTTGGCATTCTTTACTCTCTTTTCTCCCTCCCTCCCCCAAATACCTGGGAATCCATTTCTTGACGCTTGATCTGTGTTAGCGTTATGGCGGAGAAGTCCATGCTGTCTGCAGGGGGAGAACACATAAGTTTACTCTCATTAATGGTAGCATGGAAGTGCAGGACTCATCCCTTCCCACATTGTGCTGAGAACTGCCTGGCATCTGGTGAGCCCAGCTGTGCTTCCTGTGGGACTCAAGCAGCCAGATGAATAAGTCAAAAAAGAAAGAGAGGCTGTAACTGAACTGAATGAAAAACAGAGACAGCTACCCCTCTGTCTTAGAGAAACAGGTGCCTACAGGAGGTGCCTACCTAGAAGCATCTTAAAAAGCAGAGACATCACCTTGCCAACAAAGGTCTGTATAGTTAAAGCTATGGTTTTCCCAATAGTGATGTATGGAAGCGAGAGCTGGACCATAAAGAATGCTGATCGCCGAAGAATTGATGCTTTTGAATTATGGTGCTGGAGGAGACTCTTGAGAGTCCCATGGACTGCAAGAAGATCAAACCTATCCATTCTTAAGGAAATCAGCCCTGACTGCTCACAGGAAGGACAGATCCTGAAGCTGAGGCTCCAATACTTTGGCCACCTCATAAGAGAAGACTCCCTGGAAAAGACCCTGATGTTGGGAAAGATTGAGGGCACAAGGAGAAGGGGACGACAGAGGACGAGATGGTTGGACAGTGTTCTCGAAGCTACCAGCATGAGTTTGACCAAATTGCGGGAGGCAGTGGAAGACAGGAGTGCCTGGCGTGCTCTGGTCCATGGGGTCATGAAGAATCGGACACGACTAAACAACAACAACAGGAGGGAAAAGGGATCTCCAACTTCAGTTTCAGAAACTGACCTGTCTCCTGAATTTGCGACATTCCTGACTTGGTGGTAGCCACCACCCTGGCTGTCGCCTGGTTGACTCCCCGGGAGGCGGTCTGGAGCTTGCTGAGGTTTGCGCTGTCTTTATCTGCTTTCACCTGGCAGATCAAAGAGGAGAATCAGTGGCTTCTTTGCAGGTGGGAGAAAAAGATTCTACGTGCCACATGTGGTGGACAAAGCAAGTGATCTGCAACGTGCTGCTCCAGATGTTACAAAAAAGAAAGGGCAGATCCCCTGCTGGTTGGGAAGAGAGCAAGCAAAGGCCCCCAGCGCAACTCTATGCCATCCTAGAAGAAAAGCTCAAACACCAGGCACCATGGGTGGTCCTAGACTATATCCTCAGGAGCAAAACACTCATGAAATGCACTCTTGCCCACCCAAAGCCCCCTACTGGTTTCTTCTCCCCACTTTTAGAAACTCTTATGGAAGTGGGATCCTGAGACATTAAACTGGCTTTTCCAGAAAAGCCTTTGGATGATTGTCTATGCAGGAGGAGCACCCAAAGCGGGAAGCTTTAACAATTGATTTGTGATGGGGTTCCAGCTGCAGCTGTACTTAAGATGGAAGGAAGCCATGGATCATTTTGGTGAGGAAACATCACCACGCCACAAATGGGTCCTACTGGCTCAGTTGCTTTGCCACTGACAGCAGATGAGAAAGAAAGCGCTGGTGGCAAATGGAGCAGGACACTGCCAGTCAAACGGCTGTTGGCATCCTGACTGCCCAGGAAAGCCTATTAAGCCTATTCATTCCTTGTATGACTGGCTGTTGGCTACTTGCTCGGGGACTCAGCTCAACATTCCTGCAGCAGGGGGTTGGACTAGATGACCCTTTGGACCTCTTCCAACTCTATGGTTCTAAGGAGGTATCACAAGGCAGTCCCTACCTTTGATGCAGCAACTAGTTGGGCTGTGCTTGCTGCAATTTCATGCGAGCAGACCATGAGCTCCTCAAACTTCCCCTTGCCTTGAACCACGAGGTCAGCAGCATCTCTAGGGAAAGATGCGAAAGGGATGTTAGAGCGCCACCCCTCACATTCCAGGGCTACAAGCTGCAGCCCCTCATCGCAGCACTGCCTAGCTCGCAGGCCAACAGTAGGCTATGAAGTAACCCCAGGGGTGTCTGCTGCCTTTTCTCCCCCAAACACTTACACCAGCACAGTTGCTCCCCAGCCAACAGCCTTGGAGGCAGAAATCAGCCCCTCCGTCCACCGGGAATTTCTGGCGTAAAACTCCTTGGGGGATGCTGCTCCCTAGATGAGAAGAGGAGTGAGATCTAAGCATTGCCAGGAATAGCTGAAGAATAGTTCATTCTGTCTCTCTCAATTGCCACCAGAAGCTCTGTGAGCTTCAGCCTGAAAGTGGAGTGGCAGCTGCCTTATACCAGGTTAACCCTTGGTGCACCTTGCTCAGTATTGCCTGCCCTTACCAGCCTTCAGCTAGCCAGGGCTTCCAGGCAGGGAGTCTTTCCCAGCTCTGCATGTGAATTCAGGATCTTGTGCATGCAAATCAGGTGCTCCACCACTAAGCCACAGCCTTTCCTGGGGTGTGCAGAGAGGTAAGAGCCACCATACAGACCACCTTTAGATTTTCCAGAACCTGGTGGTGTTCACTGGAGAACAAACAACCAGCTTTCTGTTTTACTCTTCTCCCTCCCTCCTCTCTCTCTTGCCTATGTTCTGAGGTTAGGTAAAAGGCTCTGAAAAGGGTATCTTGATCCCAAAGGGAACTCTGGACACAAACATTCCCTCAGAATGAACAGGCAAGAATATATGTGAGTTATGAACTCTCCTTCTAACGAGTTACCAAGTGATGTAGCATCTGGACCTGCACCCTGACTGATGTCAAAAAACTGTTTCATTGGCAAGGTGGGAGCTGCATGTACCCTCTGTAAGAGTGACCATGGGATGCCCAGCTATGCTCCACTTGCCACACCTGTCCCATTTCATCTGAGTTTTAGTTCTGTTTTTTTTGCTATGCAACCCTATTTATCCAGCATTGCACCTTTGAAAGACTGGTGTTTTCAAAATTTTATGTATACTGCTTTGAGAGGCTTGATCTAATAATTACAACACAGTACTCTAAATAAAGCAAATTAGTTTAACTTGCCCAGTAGTGTGAATTGTGTTCATGTGGGCCGATGCTCATACTCCTTTGTTAACTCCACATACATTGATAGCAATGAGAAAACAGAACCCCTGTGTGGGGGTCCCCTATCACCCACCATTCCAGCATCCTATTTAAGAGCTAAAAATCCATCTGTCTCCTAGGCCCCTATTAACACTTGGAAGAGAGGCACGTAAGATAGCGAGAGGCTGCAGCTAGGTCCCAGAAAGCCATCTCATTTTATCATCGTCCATCCAGCTGCCCAAGGGATTGGAGTGCTATTAGCATGAACACAACACACCCCTTCAACAACTCAGGAGCACACTGGAACAATGGCACTTTCCTGCCCCACCTATAATCAAGGAGAGGAGTATGTTTTATGTAAACAACACCACAGACTGACAGCATCTGGGGCACAGCAGTGACAAGAAGGCATGCTGAGTGAGAAGCCCACATTCCCAGCTTGCAAGGCTGACACTGCTGACTCACCCTTCCACTCTCCACAATCTCCCGCTGGAGGTCCTTGGAAGCCTTGACCAGAACCTGGATGGCCTGCATTAAGCCTGTGCAGGAGCCCAGAATCCTGTAAATCACAAAGGGTTGGCTGTGCAGTGTCTGCTTACATCCAAAGCATATGGGCTCCACTGTAAAAGTCCCAGAGGCCCCCTCCCCACATTGTTGAGCAAAAACCACTTGCCAGGTAGAGGAAGCACAGCAGTCAAGGAATGAGCAGGCACCCTTCTCTGGCTCCGAGATGATAGCAGACTAACCCTTTCTTTTGAGGACAGACAGCCTTCACCAACCTGGTGCCACCAGGCAGCTGTAGTGGCTGGGACTGATGGGAGTTGTAGTTCAAAACAGCTGGAAGGTGCCAGCTTGGCCACGGCTGCTCTAAGCATGCTGTCCTGAAAACGGTGTGTCGGAGTGGGGTGGGGAGGAAGAGGTGTGCCAATGGTGCCCAGAAAAAAATCCAGGCAGGAAGGAGGGAAAGGCAGCTGGTGCCAGGCTTCCATACCAACCTCTCGTTGACCTCAAGCTTGGCTCCAGTGTCTCCCGCCCGTGACTTGCTCAGCATCTCCTGTGTTGACAAGGGTGGTGGGGAGAGAGTGGGGTGGGTGTCAGAGCTACAGGATGAACAGCGTTAGCCCACTGTCACTTATACAGCAAAGCTGAGAACCAGCCACCCCTAGCATGGCACGGAACTGGAACTGAAATCTAATCCCCTGCCCTGAAAAAGAAAACATTATTCCTCCTTCTTTTTGAAGGAATCCCACTGGGCAAACAGGAAGCCGATCCTCCTCTCTCTCATCTCACCTCAATTCTGGAAGCTGCCATCTCAATTGCTGCTGCTGTGGCTGCCAACTCCTTGTCCACCAAATCCCCGAGTTCCTCCTGCTTGATGTCCAGGCCCTTGGGGCGCAGGTCCTGCAACAGAGCAGAGGGTGACCTACAAAGTTGCTGCCTTCTCTTGTATCCCCCACTGCCTCATATCAACTTCATCTTCAGAGGAGCTCACTAGGTGTAGGGAACAGGATCCTTCCATTTGTCGCTGTCAACCGCATTCTGTCGCCTGGTACCAGCGGCATCACATGAACTGCTTTTGCCTGCGTGGATGGTCAGTTGATCCCTGCAATCCCCTTTTGAGGCCAGCAGCATCTTTCCCTGCCCTGCACAATGTGGGCAGGTGGGTGTGGCTTGGCCTGGACAAATGAGGAGGTCTGACAGGCCTACAGAGGCCTGTGGGGTAGAGGTTCCCCACCACTATCCTGGTTCTATACTTTGGGAGGAGCCAGCAACATGGACTCACTGAGCAGAGTTGGAAGGGACCCCAAGGGTCAACTAGTTCAACCCCATGCAATGCAGGAAAAGGTTCCTTGGAGGAGATCCACTCTGGGCTTGCAACCCCAACCAATGGCAGCCAATGTGCTGTAGTGCTTAAGAGTGTTGGGGCTAGAACCTGGGAGACCAGGGTTCAAATCCCTGCTTGGCCACAAAGCTCAATGGGTGATGTTGGGGGTAACTCAGTCTCCCAGCCTAACCCAACTCACAGGTTGTTGTGAGGATAAGGGAGAGAACCACACCTTGACAAAAAGGTGGGATTACAAATGCAACAAACAAAGAAACAAACAAACAAACAAACAAACAAACAAACAAACCTTTTGCCTTCCCCAAACCATACAGCAACTCACCTCTCCAATGGCAGTGATCCGCCCAAGACAGTTCCTGACGGCTGCGCAGTTGGCACTCTCCAAAGAGGCTTTGTCCTTCAGGGTGCCCAAGTAGCACAAGGCCTCACTGCCACACTGCCTGCAGGCTTCCAACAGCACTGGAAACATGCAAAGGGAAAAGGCTCCACTCAGGCCCTGCATGACCTAGGAAGGCACCTGTTTCTGTCCTACCCTTTTCCTGGCCAGAGGCAGGTACTCACTGTCTGCAGCCTCCATGGGGGCCATGTGTGAAGTGGCGCTTGCCTGGACGATGGTGTCGCCAACCAGGTGGCCAAAGAGAGCCACGTGTGACAACAAGCTGCTCACATCTAGGAAGGGAGAAGAGAACACATGAGACCAAGCACAGGTGATCCTCCCAGGCTCATTGAGATCTTCTAAGAGAAATACCGCCAAGTGCTTCTGCCACAATGCCCACCTTTTACTTTTCCAAAGCAGAGTGGAAAAGAAAATGCCACTGACAAATGGGTGCAGCTGCTGACATGAGGGGGGTGGCTCTCAGGGTGTCCCACTTCCATGCTGCTTGTCCTACATGGGGTCTGTTGCCTGGGCAGCTGGAAACAGCTCCAAGTTTCTTACCTGACTGGTTGGAGAGGTACTGGGTGCATGCCTCCTGCAGCCGCTCTACACACTCGGATGCCGCAGAGGTCCTGGATAGAAGGTAATCTACACAGCACACAAAATAAAGGAAGCATTGAGTACAACTCTATTAGGAAGTGCAACTGGAAGAAGGCCTTAAAAGCTGATTATGTACAACCCAGCAATGAGGGTTGTTTTGACTTCCTCCTTGGCCTGGGCTTCTCCTTTTCAGAATTCATTTTAGTTTATAACCTGCCTTTAAATTATTATCCCCCCCCCAAAAAAAAGAAATAAAGAACTTAAGAAGAGTCTGCTGGGTAAGACCAAAGTGGGCCCATCTAGTCCAGCATCCTGTTCTCACAGTGGCCAACAAGATGCTTCTATTGGGAAACTCACAAGCAGGATTTGAGCACAAAAGCAACCACTCTTGTGGTTTCCAGCACCTGGTATTCAGAAGAATAACTGCCTCCAACTGGGCAGGCAGATCATAGCCAGTATGCCTAATAGCCATCAATGGCCCTCTCCTTCTCCTCCTTGAATTTGTCTAATCATCTTTTAAAGTACTCTAAACTGGTGGCCATCACTGCCTCCCGTAGGAGGGAGTTCCATAGTTTAATGACTGATTGATTGAAGGGAGGTGCAGAGTGACTAGAAATTATTCTGTCTCTGGTAACTGAAGCCATGGCTTCTCCAACTTCAGCAGGAACTGCCCACAGTTGCAAGTTGCTGAGCAAGTCTAAGGTGTCCCCTGGAAGCATGAGGGTCAGAAGCAAGCTTTGGTTGCAAGCGGGCTCTGACCACGGAAATCTCTGCTGAAGGAAGGGGGTGAGGGGCCCCAGGCCTGCTTGGCTGACCTGCGGAGCTCGTGCAGCTGACATGTGTGGGGTCCTCGATTCGGTTCAGGGCATCCTGCACCATCTGCTCAGCTTCCCTTGTGGCGCACTGCAGGAGGGCAAACTGCTTGTCCAGGAGCTGCTGCTGGAGGGCCTGTGTGTTGCTCTCCTGAGGGCAGAGGAAGAGAGGCTAGACTTCCGCTCTTGGTCTACTCGTGGAGCAGCGGAAGAAGAGCCTGGGGTTGCCCTCCATGAACCCCTACCACACAAAGAGCCTCTTGGGCTGTTCCTGGCTAATCACCACCATCTCACCTCCAATCCACACCTTACCCTTTCCTCCAGAGAGCTCTGTAGCTCCTCTACTGCTTTGCCGCTGTCCTCCTTCTCTCTCTGCAGAGTGGCTTTCAGCTGCTGCACTTCGGCCTGCAAATCAGTCAGCTGCTGGTCACGCTGGGCCACAGTCTCATTGAGGGTGGCTGTCTCCAGCTGCAGGCTGGCCAGCTGAGTGCTGTGCGCTGCTTCGACCTAGCCAGCAGGTAGACCAAAAAAAAAAAAAAAGTAAAGAAAAAAGAAAGGAAGAGAAAAGGAGAGGTGAGGTGAGGGCTTCTCAACTTTGCCTAAACTGCACCAGTCCTGCAGGAACCTTCTGCGTCCCCAGGGCACCCAGGGGATGTATCAGTCCTGCCTTCCACCCACAACTGGGCCAACCCAGCCTCTTGCTCCCCTCCTTCTCCCAACTGCCTTTTCTGCTTCCACTTCTGTTGCTTGTGGTGGCTGCAGCCCCAACAGCTGGTGTTCCCTGTGCCATTATGGCAAAGCGAGGAGAAGTCATACAGAAGACTTGTTGTGTGTGTGTGTGTGTGTGTGTGTATACACACACACACACACACACACACACACACACACACACAACTTCCGCCGGGGCCTCTGAGGAAGAGGCCAGGCTGGAGAGTCTCACCTGTGTGCTGGACTCAATGGTGCTTCGGAGGGTCTGGAGTTCCTGTTTGCTGACAATGAGCTCCCTCCTCAATGCTTCCAAGACTTCCACCTGCTCCTGAGTCTGTGGAAAGAAAAGAAGAATGTTGATGCCCTTTCCTATCAGGTTTCTCCAACAGACATTCTGAACTCCCTTTCTCTTCTCCCTCAGCTGAAGCTCCCCCCTCTGCCCCCCTGCTCACCTTCCGCTGGGCCTGCTCACTCAGCCGCTGGAAGGAGTCCTCCAGCTCTTTCTTATCCCGCTCCACGTCACCTTGGACCTGCCTGGCCACTGTCACCTGCTTGGTCACCTCAGCATTCTAAGGAACAGGAAGAGGGAGGCAAAGGAAGAAAAGGACGTGGGTTCAGCCACTTGGGCTCATGGGAGTAACTGTCCCTCCTTCCCATCTTCAGTGGCACCAGTGAATTTCCCTTGCCCCCTCCCTCTAAGTCTTATGCAGTGGAAGCACATTGCAGCAAATCCCCCGCTGGGCCCAGTCTCCATCTTTGCCGAGAGGGTTATGCTGTTGACTTGGCTCCTCAGCCACTGACTGACTTTCGAGAGATTCATCAAATTCCTTTCTCATTCCAGGTAAAACTGTGAATTTTGCTCAGTACAACGCAGAAACATACCAAAGTGCTCTCTCTCTCTCTTCCTAGCTACTGGTTTCCTAGGTAGTGCTGAAGAGAAATGATAAAAGCTGTAAGTGGAAATCTAAGCAAATGCATAGATAGCTGATCCAGAAAGGGTGTGGAAATCCTAACAAAAGGAAGGCAGTGGTTCACAGCTACTGAATCTTAACTGACTTAACAGGGCCATCGTTAGGGTGCTTCAGCAGATGCAATCCCATCTTGTTGCATGAAGTCAGAGGAAGTGACACCCCTCAACTCTCTAGTACCAAGAAGTGAAGGAAGAACAATGCAGGGTTACCTTGCGCAGGAGGTCTGCGTGGTTCTGCACCAGCTCGCTGTACTTTTCCTTCAGCTTTGTGTATCGCTGCTCTGTAGCTTGTGCTTTCCCTGTAGCAGAAACAGACAAGGGCGATGACTTGGTGGCCAGGGTGAATTAGCCATGTATTTTTGCAGGAAGGGATCAATTTCTTATGTTATTAGCCCACTTGATTTTCATACCAGAGCCAGGGCTTTTTCGGCTGTGGCTCCAATCTGGTGGAACGCTAGGGCCCTGCGGGACTTGACATCTTTCCGCAGGGCCTGCAAGACAGAGCTGTTCCACCAGGCCTTTGGCCAGGGCACAGCCTGACTCCCTCCTTTGGCAATCTTCACAGAACTCTAGCCCAATGGTTGCCATCAATTTGATTTGAATTAATTTTATAATGAAATGATTTTAGAATGTTGTATTATTTTATTGTTGTTAGCCGCCCTGAGCCCAGCTTCGGCTGGGGAGGGCGGGATATAAATAAAATTTATTATTATTATTATTATTATTAATTATTATTATTATTATATTATTATTATTATTATTATTATTATTATACAAGTTTCGAACTGTTACAGACAGAAACTGGAACCCAGGTTAGCTAGGCTAAATGAACCGACATATTCTTTCACGGCTGTTATGAAGACATAGTTTTAATTGACTTGTGGTGTGTTAATTCTTGCTCATTTTAATCGCCCATGTGTTTGTGCTTGCAAGTTGCTATCCACCCTGAGCCTTCAGGATCAGAAGCAAAGCAAACGGGCACCCATATGCCCAATTGCAGCTGATAACATTTTGACTTGGTAGGGCTACAATTCTTAACTTTGCTGTTTTCATGACAATAGGACTTGTACAGCACTTATTTAGGAAATAAGGAAACAACACAAATCCTAAAAATGAAGGGGGAAAAAAAAGCTCCTTAAAGCAGGAAACACTCCCTGTTGGTCCTTTGGCTTTCAGGACCAACTCTGAACATGCTCAGAAAGAATGTATGGTTCCTCTAGGCCAGTTGGCTGTTTTTGAAGCAGTCCTTCCATATCAGCTATAGTGACTGTGCTGGACAGGCCTCATAGCAACAAATGGAATGAGCGCTTTCCTACTAGGGTTGACTTTCTGGCCATCCAGAATGGTGCCTCTGGGGCTGGTCAGGGGGTGCTGGTTGCCAGGAGCTGAGGCGGCCTCGGAGTAAGCAAGCAAGCAGACGAGGGAGCCCAGCCAGTCCACCAGCCCTTGAAGTTGGTAGTGGACAGAAAAGTCCCAGGCCCCTGTGGGGAGGTGTGAGGAAGCACCTCTCTTTGGAGGCGGGGGGGGGGGGGGCAACTCAGAGACCAGTGGCGGCAGCAGTGGCTGCCCAGAGGACTTCCACCCAGCCGCCCAGAATGGCTGGGGAAACTCAGCCAGATGGGCGGGGTATAAATAATAAATTATTATTATTATTATTCCAATGAGAGGGGAGAGGAGGCTGAGAGAACACTCTCCAAGGGAAGGTGTTCGAAAAAGGGTGAGAGGCAAGGGGTGACATAAATGGGCTCCTGAACCCCACAGCGATGTCGCAGAAAGAATGCTGTTGGTCAAGGGAGCCGTGGACTCAAAAAGGTTGAAAACCTCTGACTTAAAGAGACACACAGGAGGGACTTTTTGTTGCCATAGTTAAACTTTTGGGTGAGGATTGGCTGATTGCTGACTGACCAGAGAACAGGAGACTGACATAAACGTCTCTTTAAGTTCAGCATGTGTGTGGGAAAGGAAAGAGTGTGTGGTTTTGAGATTTTCAGGATTTTTTAAAATAAAAAAACTGCTTGACATTTTCAGCAGGAGGGCTATGCCCCGGTGTACCAGCCCCCACAGCCCCAGATGGGAGACTTGGTGCTGGGGCTGCCATTCAGCCCTCTGCCTGCTCACTCTCTATCTCCGTGAGGCTGCGCTGGGCTTTCTCCGTGTCCTCGTGCCGCTTTTTCAACTCGTCCAGCTCTGTGCGCAGGAAGTCGCTCTCGTCCAGGGCCTGTTGCTTCAGGTGCTGCTGCTCTGCCAGCTCCGCCTCCAGCTCGTTGATGCGCCCCTTCAGTTGCTGCACCAGGCGGTGGCTCTGCAGGGCCCACAATGGAGAGGGGAGGGGATTAGGGGACCCGCTGACAAGATTTGTGGGGGGTCAGGAGAGGGTACACAGTCTTGGCTGGGGAGGCCAAGTGAAGCAGGTCACAGAGCACCCCCAAAACAAATTAAACAAGGACTGCACATCAGACGGAAGGGGCACCCCTGAGTTTGGGACATCTCCACATTCAGAAAATGCCTCCCCTATAATTGTGATCAGCTGAGGTGCATGTGTACACACACATGTGTGTTTACAATGTTAAATGGCTACAACCCCCAACAACACATCTGTTTCTTAGTCTTGGGCTGTGAGCTGCAAGTGCTGTCCTCACAGTCCAGTAGCCTGGACCATCCTGACTATTGATCACTCCTGCCCTCCCCCCCCAAAAAAACACTTGCTGATGGATGGACACTCCCTGCAACCTGCTGCCCTCCAGGAGCTGATGTGAGTTGTAGTCCAAAACATCTGGAGGGCACCAGGTTGGGGAAGGCCAGCATGCTGTTTTTCCTCTGTTCCCAGTGACATTTAGCAGATTTGTCTGCCCATTATTTGAGGTAACCCAAACAAGAGACAGAGAAGAGAGGCAGGAACTGACAGAGGTAGTGGTGGCCACATGGAGCTTGGCTCTGGGTTGCTCTTGTGTCTGCAAAAAGAGACTTTCATTTCCCCAGGTCTTGCTGATGCAGCATTTTGGACTTGTGAAACCCTTTACAACTTTTGCCTTGATATTAAAAGCAGTGGAGGCTATGTGTGCAATTGTCCTACCCCACCTTCTGGGATTCTCCTGTTTTGCCCTGCAAACCTCCCTTCCTGAGAGCTGGGCTCTGGCCCAGAGATAGGTGCCAGTCTGAAAGGCACCTTTCATGCGTTACCAACAGCAACGGGGACATTTCATTCACCTCGGCCTTGAAGTTCTTCAGCTCATCCTTGAGGGTGCTGATCTCCCTGTGCAGCTGCTCAATTAGCCGGTCCCTGGAAAAAGGGAGAGATAGGTTGGTGTCGTGTTTTCAATCTGTCAGGAGGACAGATAGCATTCATTTAAAAAAGCCCCTCACTCAGGACCATGGGAGCAGACTCAAATCTAGAAGAGATGGGGGCATTCCATGACCCACCAAACCCCCAGACTGATCATCTAAGCCATTAACACACAAACACAGTGTACCTTGGATGCAATTAAAGCGTGCAATGATGATGAAAGCCTCTAACAAAGGAAGGAAGGGCATTCAGAGAAGAACCCTCACTCACTTGTCATCCTTGGTCATCCCATTCTGGCTGTTAAAGTTGAACGGATCATTGCTGAATGAACTGCCAAAGAGGTCATCAAACTTATTGTCAAAGAGACTCTGAAAGAGGAAGAAGAGATGGAGGCTGTTAGCTCCATTCAAGAGCTGGAAGGGTCTTTGCTAGGGTCCTTAGAAGGTGGCAATAATTGCAATATTGAAAGGATGCAGCTTTAACAATGTTCTGACCTCCCTCTCTCCTGTATTGTCAGAGCAGAGGCTGCTTGCTGAAGGAAAAGACTGGAGCGAAAGGGAAGGGAAACACCTGGGAGACTTCAGCTTGTGTCCTGAGCTTGTGCTTGCTCCTCCCACTGCTCAGGTATTTAGCTGGGAGCCACCAGCCAGTGGCATGAGAGCTAAAAGGTTCTCAGCTAGTGGATCAGCCAGCAGCTGAAAAATCCCTGTTGGCCCTTCGCTCCCTACAAGAATTTTTTGACCTCAACCTAAGTGAAGAAAGAGGTTTAAGTGTAGTGTGGGATGCCAGCAAGGCAGCAATGTGAAGTTTTTTAATTCAGCAAGGTGCTTTTCATAAAAGGGAAAGGAGAAAAAAGAAGCAGGAGATATCACATGCCTTATTGAAGAAGGAGAAGGAGTTAATCGCAAAACCAAAGGATAAAGATATATCTCAAGCGATTAAACTCCAGCAAGCACAATTTTTATGTTAGTTAATAAAGAGATTGAGCTGAAAATTAAATTAATGAAACAGAAAAAAAATTGAATTTGCTAATAAACCTGGTAAACTGCTAGCATGACAACTTTAAAAAGAAAAGAATAAGACAATAAATAATATTGTAGATGAGGATAAGCATCTGACTACCTCAAAAGAGATAAGGAAAGCGTTTGACAAATTTTATACTTGACTATACTGCTGTGAGAAAGAGGACTTTGAGAAAATGGACTGTAGCATATCCTGAGTATCTAAGGAAAACTGTCAAAGTCTGAATGCACCCATACTGATATCGGAATCGCAAATGGCTATAAACAGAATGATGGGAAAAGCACAGGGGCCAGATGGACTTACTGCAATTTATTATAAAAAGTTCCAGGATGCACTTGTAGAACCACTTAAGGACATCATGAATACAATTTTGGAGACTGGAGTAATCTCAGTGTCATGGAAGGATGCATTCATTACCTTGATCCCCAAACAAGATAATGACTTAACAAAGACTAAAAATTACAGACCTTTTTCATTACTGAACTATGATTATAAACTATTTCCTACAATTTTAGCTAATAGACCGAAAAGGACACTAACTGAGTCAGTCCACAGAGACCAAGCCAGGTTTTTACCAGGCTGACAAACGAAGGACAATATAAGAAATAAGAAATGTAATTAATTTAGTAGAGTATTTGGAAGTAAGAAATGAAAAACAGGCTGCTCTAATCTTTCTAGAGGCGGAGAAAGCCTTCAATAACATTTCATGTTCATTCGTGATCAAGGTTTTAGAGAAAATGGAAATAGGTAACTCTTTCCTAGCAGGAATTAAAGCAATCTATACTGATCAATCCGTAAATATTAATACAGTGGTGCCTCGCAAGACGAAATTAATCTGTTCCATGAGTCTCTTCGTCTTGCGGTTTTTTCGTCTTGCAAAGCACGGCTATTAGCGGCTTAGCGGCTATTAGCGGCTTAGCGGCTATTAACGGCTTAGCGGCTATTAACGGCTTAGCGGCTTTAAGAAAAAGGAAACAAACTCGCAAGAACTCACAAGACGTTTCGTCTTGCGAAGCAAGCCCATAGGGAAATTCGTCTTGCGGAACGACTCAAAAAACGCAAAACCCTTTCGTCTAGTGAGTTTTTCGTCTTGCGAGGCATTCGTCTTGCGGGGCACCACTGTAAATAATATTATTTCAGACAAATGTCCAATAGAAAAAGGAACAAGACAAAGCTGTCCCCTGTCTCCCCTGTTGTTTATGGCATCAGAAATATTGCTTCAGAATATAAGGAGAAATAGGGAAATTAAAAGGATTGAGGTGGGACATAGAGTTTAAAAAATCAAGGGCATTTGCTGCTGATGTGGTATTGACACTTTGGAGAGCATTCCCAAAGCATTAGAAGAAATTAAAAGGTTTGGAAAACTGGTGGGTTTTAAAGTAAATTCAGATAAAACCAAAATGTTGGTCAAAAACATGGATGAGCAGTCAATTTTTAAATATTTTTTTAGAAAGGATGTCTGGTCTGCAAATAGGTAAAAAAGTTAGATATTTGGGAATTTGGCTGTCAATAAGAAATCTCAACCTATTTGAAAATAATATTAAATTGTGGAAAGAGGTTAAGAAAGAGTTGGAGATATGGGGGGATGAAACTCCCTGTTAGGTAGAATTTCAGCCATTAAAATGAATTTATTGCCTAGGATGTTGTTCAAAGAATGGAAAAAATATATTTCTAAATTCATCTGGCAGGGGGAAAAGCCAAGAATTAAACATAAAATTATGACAGATATAAAAGAAAGAGGAGGTTTTGCTCTGCCAGACTTGCAAATGTACTATGAGGCAGCTTGTTTGTGTTAGTTAAAAGAATGGATTGTAATTAACAATGCAGACATCCTAGATTTAGAGGATCATGATTTAGAATTTGGCTGGCATGCATATCTTTGGTACGGGAAGGCTAAAATCTGTAAGAGTTTTATGAACCACATTCTTAGGAAGAATCTGTATAGAGTTTGGGAGAAATATAAAAATCTGCTGGAAAGAAAAACACTTTTATGGCTATTACTCATTGAAGCAATTACAATTAAGAGATTTAATATGGATAGACAATGGGCAACTTACAGGGAACTCCTGAATTTTACAGTGTGTGTGTGGGGGGAGGGGAACCCAAACTGAAATCAATGGAAAGCCTAGGGATCCAAGTTACTGATTGGTTGCAATATCACCAGTTACATGATAAATTACAGAGAAAGAATGGATTTTTGGACCAAAGCTCACAATTTGAAAAAGCTGTTTCAAAATAAGGATAAACTTCTGTCTAAAATGTATAATCTTCTATTAGCATGGGAAACAAAAGACGAGCTTGTTAAAGCTTCAATGACACACTGGGCAATTGATATAGGACACAATAGAGATCTCAACATCTGGGAGAAACTCTGGAAAAGCGACCTGAAATTTACAGCATGCTATTCATTGAAAGAGAACTATTTGAAAATGATGCTGAGTAGGTTGTCTAAGATTTATAAGATAGAATCAGATAAATGTTGGAAGTATAAAGAAATGGCAGGAACCTTCTTCCACATGTGGTGGACATGTTAAAAGGTAAAAGGAAATGATTTATAATGAACTGAAAAAAAAAATGTTCAAAATTACTTTTCTCCAAAAAACCAGAGTCCTTTTTGCTGGGGATTACCTAAACTGAAATTCCCAGGTGTCAGAAAAAGTTATTTATGTATGCAACAACTGCGGCTTGTGTGTTGCTAGCCCCCAAATGGAAATTGAGTGAGGTCCCAACTAAAGAGGGCTGACAACTTAAGTTGACAGAATATGCACAACTTGCTGATTTAACATATAGAATAAGAAAGTAAGAAGAACATATGTTTAAAGAAGACTGGAAAACATTTATTGAATATATGGAAAATAACTGTGTACAGCTGAAAAAGCTGGCAGCTTTAAGATAAATTCAACAGAGTAAATCATTTTTAATGGATGTAAAAGTGGAAAATTGATTTGAATGGTTATAGTAATATATGTAGGGGTGTTTGATATGTAACCATGGAAAGAGAAGAAGGGAAGTCAATGGATATTTTAAAGTTTGTAAAATATTTATTTGAAATTGTAAAACAAAAAATTGTAAAACAAAAGATAAATCCCTGTTGGCCCTAAACTGTGAAGGGCAGATTCCTCCTTCACAAGCAAGACAAAGAACAGCTGGGCTTCTGCAATCTGTTTTCACCAGCGAGCCCCACCCCTGAGGGGCTCCTGGAGATGCCCCAGTGGTTTCCGACAGAGACATTCAGCAGCAGTGATAGGCGTTCTGATAGACAGTTATTAAGAAAACAGAAGGGAGCAATTTGGTGCATAAGGCAGTGTTGATTGGCCGGCACTGGACTTGACACCAAGCCTGAGAGTGTGTTTCAGGATGGGGAGAGAAAAGCCATGTATACTGCAGGGAGCTCAGTCATGGGCCAACGGCAGTGGGGGCCACCCTGAGGGGGGAAATACCAAAGGTAATTACCCCTCTGGTGTCTCTCCTTCTGGATGGACGAAGGGGGTGGATAGTGGAAGGACCCCGAGAGATAGGAGGGAAGTGAAGATCCCCCAGGATGAGAGACAGGGACAGGAAAGGAAAGGAAAGCTCTCAGGTGAGAGCTGGGAGGATCTGTCATTTTTTGTGGGGTTTGAGATTAAGAATTACCTTTGGCTAGAGAGGAGATTCTGCATTTGCACACTGCTTTTGCAGTTTAGATACCCTGCTGCTGATTTTCTGCTTCATTTTTGTGTGCTGTCGCTTTTACGAAAATCTGTATTTTATTACGCAATTCTTATAAACTGCATTTATATAACTGTTATCATGTCTCTACTACATAAAAATTAAGTTATGTGTTGACATTTGTGTTCTATGCTGCAAACCACCTTGTGGTCTTTTGACAAAACAAATTTAAAAGAGGAGACTATGATCCTACTTTATTTTAACAACAATGCCCCCCAGGGACCAGGTGACACCATTAAGAGAATGGTGGCAAAACGCTCCCTGAATTGTTGTAGTTCAGGTGGCAGGATGATTATTTGAATGCAACAGATTCCCTGTACATTTTCAACATGCTGTGGAGAAATCTCAGCTGACCCCTTCACCTTTTTTTTTTACATACATGCAAAGCCAGCACTGTCTCCAAGCTGAAGTGTGCAGTCCAGGAAAATATTTTAACATAAGAACATAATAAAGGCCAGTTGGACCAAGTCAATGGCCCATCTAGCCCAGAATCCTGGTCTCACGATGGTTACCCAGATGCATCAATGAGAAGCCCACAAGCAGGACCCAAGAGCAAAATCACTCTCTCCCTTTCTGCTGTTTCCCGCAACTGGTATTCAGAACCATTGCTGCTATGGAGGCAGAGCATGGCCTTTGTAGCTAATATTCATTGACAGCCCTTCCCTCCATGCATTGATCTAATCCTCTCTTAAAGACATCCTATCTTAAAGACATCCGAGACCATATAACACCGGTCTTGAAAGACCTACATTGGCTCCCAATACGTTTCCGAGCACAATTCAAAGTGTTGGTGCTGACCTTTAAAGCCCTAAATGGCCTCGGTCCAGTATATCTGAAGAAGCGTCTCCACCCCCATCATTCTACCTGGACACTGAGGTCCAGCACCGAGGGCCTTCTGGCAGTTCCCTCACTGCGAGAAGCCAAGTTACAGGGAACCAGGCAGAGGGCCTTCTCGGTAGTGGCGCCCTCCCTGTGGAATGCCCTCCCACCAGATGTCAAAGAGAACAACAACTACCAGACTTTTAGAAGACATCTGAAGGCAGCCCTGTTTAGGGAAACTTTTAATGTTTTATGTAGTACAGTATTTTAATATTTTTTTTGGAAGCCGCCCAGAGTGGCTGGGGAAGCCCAGCCAGATGGGCGGGGTATAAATTAATAATAATAATAATAATAATAATAATAATAATAATAATAATAATAATTTTATTATTATTTGGTGGCCATCATTGCCTCCTGTGGGAGTTCCTTTTTTCATTTTTCATAACATTTTATTAAGGCTTTTTCATAAAAAACCTAATCTAAATGAAGACACACACAGAAAAGGAAAGGGAAAAGAAAACACAAAGTCCCCTCTCAAAGGTAGAGCTTAACTCTTGTGGACTCTCCCAGCTCCCACATGAGAGCTTCCTTTTCTTCTCCCAATCTCCCACCCTGGGAGCTCTTCTCTTCCCTGTCTCTCAAACAGGGTACCTCACCAACCATCCTTCACCTCCAGGTGTGTATAATCCCAATAGTGGCCCAGAGTAGAGGACACAAGGAGAAGAAAAGAGAGAGAAAAGGAGGAAAATAAAAATAGGAGAAGAAAAAAAGATATAAAAAGGACTTCTGATTTTCCATCTTTCAGTTACATACAAGTAGATCATTCAAAGTTTTCACTCTGAGGATGACAACCAGCTGTTCTTCCTTGTGCTAAGCAATATTTCCCCAATCTTCAGACCCAAATGTCTCAAATTCATTCATTTTCCTTTCCACACAAAATTCTAAAAGGGGTTCTCTATTTATTCATCTTTGTTCGCACAACGGTCTCTCTGCATGAATAAGTCCTTTTGCATTGGGCTCTGCTGACGGTATGAGCAGGCTCATTCAGGAGAACACAACAAGGCTGGAAACTGGTGAAGAGTTTGTTTAGTTGAAATTAGTTGAAATAATGTTCTGCAGAACAGTAGCCTGTGGAGTGGTGCATAGAGAGATATTCCCTGAAAACAGAACACGGCTGCCCTCCCCTCCTCTCGTGGGCCAGGTCCAGATTCTCACTTGAGGAGTTCTGCCCCTCCACTCACCTTCTGAGAAGACGTTTCCATCTCCACAAGGTCCATGATGGGCTCACTGTCGGGGGATGAGGCTTCCACTGGGATGACAACCACAGGGCTGATGTGCTCGGAGAGCGCTGAGGCCCGCAGGAAGTTGGGTGGATTCTGGTGATGGAAAGAAGGGTGAAGCTGGGAAACTCGAGAACTGCAACACTGAGTAGAGGCACACGATGCAGGACGGAGTAATCCTGCCCTGCACATCTTCCACCTTGGGAGTTCAAAAGGCACAGCAGTAGCAGCCCCTCCACTTAAATGCTAGTACAAGGGAACCTGTGGGTGGCATTTGTTGAAGGCCCACAAGGGTCTTACCTCAGGCAGCTGTGGGATCTGAATAAGCCGCTTGAAGTACTGAAGGTTGCTGGAGCGATAGAACAGATCCTTCAGCCTGCAGAGCACAAGAGCAAAGGCAATCAAGTCCATGAACACATCCTGAGTGGGCCTCTGGATAGTCGGGGGGGGGGGGTCTGCCAGCCTCAAGAGTGAAGCAAAGCTTTATTGGCCCTATCTGTGTTTTTAACTATGATTGCATTTGTATATTCATTTTTAAAAATTGGTTTGTGGATTTTCGCATTCATACACCGCTTGGAGAGCTCTTCGATCTAACGGTTTTAAAATCTCAACAAATAAATGTGAAATTCCGAGTTGTTACCAGCTCTCAGCCAGGAACTGAGCCATTCACACACTTACTTTTTGAACTGCTCCAGGAAACGGTCCCTGTGGCCTTGGAGTGTGTCAGCTGGGAGACCTGGAGAAGAGATGCCCAGAAAGGGAGTGAGATCAGGGAAAACCTGGATTATGCAGCCAATGCCTTCGGGAGTGGTGATGTTTGTGGGGGTAGGGAGACAGATAGAGGTGCGCACACCAGCAAAATAACCAGCTGAGCAGTCAGCCCTGCTAAGGCACACATGCAGCACCTGCTCCCTCAGGCACTCTGCTCCCTGTATGGAACAGCTGCAGATTCCTGCATTGGAAGGGTCCCTTCCAACTCTGCAATTCTATGATTTTGTCAGGTTGGGCAAAGCAATGATGCACCTCCAGAAACCGTTAAGGGACAGAAGTGCTTGGTCACAGCCTTGTAAGCCTCCCTGAGCTCCTGACCTGAGGTGTGGAAGCTGGTTTAATATTCGGTGATGAGGGAAGGGTACTCTGCGCATGCTCAGGAGTTTCATTGTCTACTCTACCTTGCACATTCCAGGGTACTGGCGTATCACAATGGCCAAGATCATAACTAAATGCCCTTAGGCAAGCCTCTTTCTCCCTGCTCCAATATGGAAATAGTTATATCGGCCGAACTGACAGTGAAATGGTAAAGAACTGCCAAGGTATCTGTAAAGCACTCTTGGCATTTAGGAAAAGTTAAACACTATAAACTGCTACAACATTAAGCAGGACTCTGTTTGCAGCTGCTCTGACATCAAAGATGGAGAAGGGCTGCAGCTCAGTGGGAGAGCACCTGCATTGTTTGCAGAAGGCGCCAGGTTCAATCCCCAATGGCATCTCAAGGGAGGGCTGGGAAAAAGGCTCCTTGCCTGAAGCCCTGGAGAACTGCTGCCGGTCAGTGTAGACAATACTGAGCTAGCTGGACCATTGGTCTGACTCCATATAAGACAGCTTCCTACATGCCTACAATCCTTTCAGCAAGGGAGTGAGGTGTGGGATGTCTCAGCCACCACAACTATCATTGCTGTGATAACTGGAGCACAATGAATGAGAGAGGTGGGGGAAGGGAATCCAAGCCCCCAAGGGGGCAGTCAGATTTGTACTCACAGGAGTGGAGCTTGAAGAGGAGTTTGACTGTGTAGTCGTAGAGGTGGCTGCAGTCAAGGATGACCTGGATTAGTGGGGCCAAGCGGCACTGCCCAGAAGCCGTGACCGACACAGAGCGAGACATGTCCAAGGAGCTGAAGACTGGGAGGGAAGGCGTGCAGGAAAGCAGAAAGGGTTGGATAAGTACTGTATATGTTCCAGTCACAACAAAGATAGGCCATTTCTAAAGATTGTGCCCTAGAACAGCTGGCCAACTAACAAGGGAGGCAACCCCAGACTCAAAAGTGGCACCACAGTGGGTATCAAATGCAGCATATGCCAGTGAAAGTGGAGAATGGTTAAGGAAGCCCAACAGTATCCAAGAGGAGACTTTCTAAAAATGAGATGGTTAAAAATGAAGCATTGTCTGCACAGCCTTCTCCTCCACTTTGTTCAGGAAGACCCTCATGTCTCTTCTAAGAGATACAACCCATTTGTTCCGTGGCTAGCCTAGCCAGGAATCCTGAGCTGTCCCTCTTCCTGATCCTCATTTCACCCAAGCCTTCTTCAACGCAAAAGCTGCTGCCTTTTTGTTTTTTGTGGGCGAACGTGCATCTGGGCACCTAGTGCTCTGCAGGCATCTGGCTAATTTCGTCCACTCTGTTTGTGTGTTTTAAAATGAAGAGAAGCTGAACCTGGGTTATTTCACAGTCTCACTTCAAATCCCCCACCCCTGTTTCCTGGCACGCTTTCTTAGATATGTGGACCTGAATTGCCCTTTTCCTGCAATAATGCTGAATTTGCAGGGAGTAGACAATTCCAGAAGGAAGCGGAAGAATGGTGCATACATAGGAAAGAGAGGAAAATCTGCACCAGGTCAGTGCAGGACTCAGCAGAAGGGAAACAAAAAGAGATAAGCACACGCTGGAACACATGTGCCCCTCAAGGGGAAGATGAGCTCTTCTCCACTCTGCAACCTTCTCTCTAGTCTGAAACTCCCATTTTGTGTGTGTGGTGTTTTTGTTTTCTGTTTGCAAAGGGAGATGCCTTCTGGGGGTCCAGGAACATTCTCTGCCCCAAGGAAAAACAATTTCTTCCTAAGGGAAGGGAAAACATGCTTGCCATCCATAAAGAGTGGGGTAAACTGCCAATGAATTAACCACACCTCCCTGAATTGTGCCTTGCAGAGGTATCTGGCATGCTTTGAACTGTGAAACCTTACCTGTCTGAAATAGGTTCAGTTCACACTCCAGGTAATCGAACATCTCCACAGTGAGTTGGAAACTGAGTGAGAAAGAGAGAGACTGAATGGAAGATGCTGCAACACTGAGAATGTGGAGGCTGTGGTCTTTTACCTGCCACAGGACCATAGCAGAAACTTTGTGGAGTCCCAGAAGCAGCTCATGGCTTCACATAGCAGAGGGAGATCTGCAGCAGGGGAGCCAAGAGACTTGACAGAGCCTCAAACTGTGAGCTGAAAGAAATCTGCCCCACCATTTACCCACCCACCTGGGGCCACCACCAAACAGGCAGCCCACCCTCTTGCCTACCATCATTGCCCTGATCCCAGAAAGGAAAAGCAGCCGCCACCAATGCCCCCCCCGACCCTGACCCCCTGCCAAGAAACACTTACAAGTTATTCACGTCATTCTCGCCCGTCTCGTCAAGCTGCCTGTCTGACATCTGGAGGTTTCCTGGGAACCTGGGGTTCTGTATGAGGGGAGACAGAAAGTCAGGCCAAAGCTGTGGCTCAAGGCAGGTCCAATGAAGTAGGCTCTTCCTGCCAGACCCCCTTCCAGGGCTTTTGCCTCTCCAGCTCCCTGGAGTGGCAGTGCCCAGTGGGAAGAGCAGTGGGGCTGCAGCCAGCGATGGCCCTCAGCAGCTTCCCCTCCATCGTTTGGGCAGGTGATGTTGAACTTCTCTCCCTCTGCTCCCCCAGAATAAGACATGGCCTCTTCTGGGACCCCTTTTGAAGAACAGGGAAGGGTGGCACAGGGGAAATACATCCATCCCTTTAACCACAGCGAGCTGCATCATAAACACCAGCTGAGAAAGGAAAAAGTGAACAGAGGATGTGAAACCAGCCCTGGGAATGTGGCCACAGGATCTCTGAAGAATGGGCTGGGCTAATCCTGGCCACAGTGGTGAAGCCTGGCCACACTTCAGAAGCAGTGGCAATCCCCTGCCCCACCTCGTTCGTCACTGCTCCTTTTCACAAGCACCCTCTGGCCACCAGAGGGGACCATGCTTGGCCTGCAGAAGCAAAGGCCTCCCCGCCTGCCTGCTTGCCTCAGGACTCTGGTTCTGAGCCAAGCTTCCTGGTCCAGTCAGCCGGATTCCATTCTATAAATACCTGCTGCCAGCTCCACTCCCCAAACGGGATGCAGGCGAGACAAATGGGCCTGTCTTGAGCCAATCACAACGCGGGAAGGGAGGCTTGCAAAGGAACGTTCTGGGAGCCAAGGAAGGGCGCAGGCAGGCAGGCAGGGAGGAAGAAAGCTCAAGCTGTTTGTCCCCAGGGAGCAATTTGCATACACGTGTGTGTGTGTGTGTGAGAGAGAGAATACACCCAGGTACATGCCGCCATCCTGCCTGTCTGCTTGAGGCCACCTAGCCCGACCCTTCATATGCCAAGAGGAATTTGCAGACCTCTTATTTATTTATTTATTCATTTAATTTATCTCCCACCTTTTTCTCCAAGGAGTTCAAGGTGGTGCACATGATTCTTTCTCCCCCTCCTCCATTTCATCCTCACATCAACCCTGTGAGGTAGGTTAGGCTGAGAGACAGTGACTGGCCGAGTGAGGGATTTGAACCCTGGTCTGTCCCTGGTCCTAGGGCAGCATTCTAACCACTACACCACTCTGGCTCTCTTCTGCATAGCTATACTGCCCTGTAGTTCTCTGGGTGGTTTCCAAAGTTCCCGCTTCCCAGTCAGGAAAGGGCAAGAAACAGTAAGGAGTGGCTGGCGATGAATAAAAGCAGGGCACAAAAACTGTCTTCCATCTTTTCCCTTCCCAGATTCTTTGGCCGTGTTAAAGCACAAGGGAGGGAAAGGCCAGAGTCAGGTGGAGTCATCCACAGTGCAAAACAGACACACCCGGAAGTATTGTGGTGGGTGGAAAGGGAGCTCCAGATGGTCCTTCCCTTTGGCATGTCCAATCCAGGGGCCCATAAATCAGGGGAGGGTTGTAGCTCATTGGTAGAGCATCTCCCTTTCATGCAGAAGGTCTCAGGGTCTCACCCCAGCAACATCTCCAGGTAGGGCTGAGAGGGTCTGATGCCTGAAGCCCAGCAGAGCCACTGCCCGTCAGCTGGGGCAATACTGAGCTAGATGGATGGATGGTTGGCCTATGTATAAGCAGCCTACTCTGTTCCAGCGCTATCATTCATAGGCAGGGACCCTGAGGATCATCTAGTCCTACCCCCTGCAATGCAGGAATATGCAGCTGTCCCATACAGGGATCGAACCCGTAACCTTGATTATCGGCACCATGCTCCACTCAGCTGAGCTGCCAAGTAAATTTTAAAAGGAGTGATCTACAGATCCACAAGACAATTCAGGTTGTCCCACCTGCATGAGAATTCAGACCCACAATGCCCTGTCGGTGATGGCATCCAGTTCCCAGGTGGGGCTAAATTCTGCATCCCCGAGGGAGGCTGTTGCCGCCACCTCTGGCCTTTTTGTTCCTCTGCCCAGCCAGAGATCCCTTGGGTACCCAGAGTGCTTTGCAGATGACTGAAGGGGCAAACAGCCCCACTTACTTTTGTGTGGAACTCCATTTTGGTTCTCAGCAGTTTGAGGTAGATGCTGCACAGCTGCCCGTAGCCCTCGCTCAGGTGGCCCTAAGGGGGAGAAGGGGGCAGGAGAGAGTGAGGGCCAGGGCTGCCAGGAGGAGTTCTCTCCTTCCTGGGAATAAATAAGCATTTTCCACTGGGAGCTTTTACAGGGACACTGACAGAGCATCTGCTTGGCATGCAGGAGGCATGCCCCAAGTCCAGCATCTCTAGCTGGAGCTGGGAAGTGTCTCCTGCCTGAAGCCACGGAGTCTCTGTCATTCTGTGCAGAAAATATGGAGCTAGATGGACAAAGGGTCTGACTCAGCATAAGACAGCTTCCTATGTTCCTATGAGAATAAGGGGCACCTGCTAAGCTACAGCCCTGAAGACACATGTGGAGAATCTCCAAAGCTCAAGAGAACTCTAATGCTGCTCTGGCACACAGATTTGCATGAGCTGGCCTGTATCAGGGGTGAGAAGGAGGGAGGGAGGGAAGGAGAGCCTGTGTGTGCCTGGGCGCTATTTTATTTTATTTATTCAGGATATATTTATTTATTTATGTATTTATTTGTAAAAATATTTTTATCTTGCTGTATCATAAAAAAAAATTAAAGTGGTTTGCAGCAATGAAACCAGAAAGCCATAAAATAACAACCTGGAAAATGTTTGAAAACATCCATCCATTAACTATTGGAAAGATGAATTCTGAATTGCCTGCATAGGCCTGGCGGAATAGAAAAGTTTTCAGCTGGCATTTAGAAGTTGGCACAGAAGGTGTCTGTCAAATATCTAGTGGCATAGTGTTCCACAGGGCTGGGCCGATGACACTGAAGGCTTGGTTCCTTGTTTTTGTCAAATGAGCCTTGCCAACTCAGGGAACAACCAACGAAGCTCCTGAAGACCTCAGTGACTGACCTGGGATATCAGGCTTCAAGCGGTACCACAGGTACCTGGACCTAAGGCATTCAGGTCTTTGTAAATTCATACAAGGACCTTGGAACAGGCTCAGTAGTAGATGTCTCTGTCTTACAACCAGTATCAAGCCAACTCACAGCTTCCAGGATGTGCAATGCCTTCCCTCGCCCGCATTCTCATTCAGAGACTCTTGGGCAGGGAGACCAGCTTTCAAAAGGCTGGATCTCCTTCTCCACTGGTGCCTGCCCTCCAGAGACTGGCAATTAGCAAGAGTCTGAACTGGAGCATGTCTGGAAAGGCAGACTGGTGGGTGTGAAGAACTATTAGCAGCATATGCCAAGTGGGTGTGTGGAACACCCATCCACCCACAACCCTTTGCCTTCCCAAGAGCCCTGAAGTCAACTCAGAAGGGCAACAGACAGGTGGGGAAGGAGAAGGGGCTGATAAGAGTAGCAGCAGCAGCAACAACAGAAACACCAGCCGACTGTTCAGAATTGAACATGCTTGGCCAGCTGGCTCAAGGAATAGGGAATTTGGCAGGGAGCTCGGGAGGCGGGGGTGGTATGATCCAAATTTGGTTTATTGAATGGGGAGTCATGTGTGCCTCAGAGCTTCTGAAAAAACATGTGCCATTACCAAGCGGACTTCCACACTTCTCTGCCCTCCTGATCCAAAGGGGAGGCATCTAGCTGGCTCCCTGACTCAGGAATTTGTCAGCAGATGATGGGACTCTCTCCAGGCCCAGCCAGCACTTACCCACATACGGCTGGTGTCGCTGAGCTCGCTCTTGTACCTCACAGAATCCTTCAAGACCTGCCGGAGAAAAGGAGACAAGGATTTTGATAAAATCTTCAGGTACTGGATACCAGCGACGCATCTGTATAACCTGTATCGGGCTTGTGGTGGCAAAGCCTCCCATGCTGTTTGGCTGAGCTGGTGAGGTGGGACTGAATACTCAGCTGCATGGAGAACTACAGGCAGTTTGCAGTCCAGCGTCTGTGAGGGAAAGGACAGCTGGAAGTCTGGCTGGGAATAAAACCTCACACAGGGGCAGCAGTATCCTAGGAAGGAGTCCTGGGACATGGGAAGTTTAGGGGACCAAGCAGCCCTGAGGTGAGGAAGCTGAAGGAAAGGTGCAGGGTAGGCACTGAACCCTAAAACTGGAGGCTGAAGGAAGGGGAGGTGGACGAGGTTTGAGAAAAATGGTGCAGATGGCAGAGAATTGACACCATCAGAAAGGGACTCTGGAGCGCCCAGGAGGCTGTTTAAAAGAAAGGGTGGCTCAAGGAAGCAATATGATGAAGGCAGTAGACTGGGAAGCGGGACCCTATCTCAGCAATGGGTAGCAACAGGACCACATGGAGCAGGTAGGGAGTTGTCATGCCTAGCACTGACCTGGGACCAGATTTCGACTCCTCAGGGTATGAGCCAGACACCCCACAGGTCTAGGAGTAGGCAGGGCCCCTGGAACCAGTGCTGAGGATCCCCTTGAAGGGGTCAATGAACTCAGATGTCTGGGAAACCCTGGGGTGGCCCTTGCAGTGGGTACCACTTTATGATCCTACTTTGGGGGGGGGGGGTAAATCCATCTTTAAATAAATCTCAAAGACTTTTGCAACTTAAAAAAAATGATATAGGGTTAGAGCACTATTATAATGCTATAATTAAGCATATATTTATCTCAGATTTCCTTACGGGTTATCACCATTAGATATGTTACTAAATTGTTGGTGACCAAAAATGATTTATTTTTATTTTTTAAAAGTAACATTATACTATTTCAGTATTGTGGAACTCCTGCCCTGGAGGCTTGTCAGGCTGTTTCTTTATTAATGTCTACTGAAAACTGGTTTCAACAAGGCTTTAGGTCTTCAGCTGTTACCTTTCACTGCTGGCTTTTAAAGCCGCTCTGCTTCCTGAAACCTGGATCTGGATTGAATCTGATCTGCTGCTGCCTTAAACGATTTGTTTTTATAATGACAAGCAATTCCTTGATCATTTCTAAACCTTGTAAGCTGCTTAGTGTGTCCGCGGACAGAGAAGTAGGATAAAAGTAATGAATCAAAAGAGGGCATTGGTCCTAGTCGGCCCCCGAAAGAAAAGAGGTGGAATCCTGTCTCCCCTGCCCCCATGCTCTGCCCCCAGCCTCTAAATGAAGGCCTTTCATTGGCTCCATCTCAACATGGATTTCAAGGCAGGTAGGAGGGGAAATGGTACTGGCATCACCCGCCCTGCATCCCAGCACCCGAGTTCCACAAGCAGAAACAGGAAGCTGGTCAGTTCAAGACCTCCAGAGCAGAGAGGGGCTTTGGGAGAAGAGGCTGCTGCCCTTACATTTGGATGTCCATCACGGAGGAGCTTGTGGAAGACGTGGCAAAATTTCCAGCAGAGGACGGCATTGCTGGAGAGGGGCAGCCGGCTCACGACGGCCCAGAAGGTGTGGGCTCCTTTCTCGTGGTGCGTCCCCAGGATGCATGGTGAGAGATGCAGGCTAAGGAAAGAACTCCAAGGAAAGGAGCATGGAGAATATAGGGCAGTGCTTTCGGGCAACAAGCAGGCTCAAAGCCCAGCATCTACACGCACAGAACACACACACACACACAACCACAGACAGACAGACAGACAGACACACACACACACACACACACACACACAATCCTAACACAGGTGCTTTGTTCCAGCTCAGCTTGGCCAGGCCACGATGGGCATTTTGCCCCAGTAAGGCAGACGCAGCCTCTGCCTCCACCTTCCCCCAAAGCTGCCAAATTCCAAAAGGATATTTCTGGCGTGTTTCTCTTTGACGGCAACTTCCTGAGCATTAATGGCCTTGTTGATGCTGACAGTCTAAAAAAGAAAGGAGAGGAGGGAGGAAAGCATTAGTAGGTTGCAATTGCAGAGAAAGGTAATCCCCCTTCCCACAACGCTGCTATCACCATGTCAATCCCCACGCCCATCTCTGAGAAGATTCTGATGGGTTTCTCGCACTCAGCAGTTGCCAAGAATTGTCCCCCTTGGCACAGTGGTGAGGCCAATGAGATGGGCCAAGGGATGCTGAAATCAGCCCAAGTGTCCTGAACATAGGCTGACTGCGGATTGGCTGCAATAATTCAGAGACAGAGTTTTCGTCCAGTGGAGGCTGGAATGTACAAACCCTGAAGGAACCTGGAAGCCTCAGGACATCTTCCTCCAGGCACAACAATTCAGGGCGAATTTCTCAGACCCCCTCCAATTTTCCACTCACTACTCCTCATTCCACGGGTCCATTAGCTTGAATAAAAAACTCCTGTGCCTCTGAAGAAGCCCTTAGTGGGACAAAGCACAGCAGCATCTGACTCCCAAGATGGTCCCCCACCCCCCGACTGGTACACGGTTCTTGGAAGCAGGCCTGCAGTTGGGCATCACGGCCTGACAGCGAAAGATTTAGAATCATAGAACTGTAGCGTTGGAAGGGGGCTCAATCCCCTGCAATGCAGGAACCTCAGCTCAAGCATCCATGACTTCCAGGCACCAGTTCTGGCAACTAGGAATGGCACAGTTAGATGGGAGGTTGCACCAGCCTGGCTGTCTGCCAAAGTCTACAGGGAGATCCTACCTACAGCTTTCTCTATGAGCAATGATGCACTTCAGCAAGAACTCAGTGTATGTCTGGATGTGATAGAGGATGTGTCTGTCTTGCTTGCAGACAAATCACCAGTGGTGGTTGAGGGAGGGGGCTATGTGGTGAGGCTAAGATCTGGGCTGCCCTTGGGGGAAAAAAAACCCTTATCCTGACAGATCCCTAGTTATCCTCTAGCATAGTAGTTTTCAGGCCACTGTCCCTTTGGTCCCATAAACTCAACCCTAGTGCTCGCTGTCCTACCCTATAAAATGTATTATTCACAATAGCGGTTTGCATGAGCCACTAAGAAATATAATAACACAATAATATTCAGAACGGTAACAATTAAATGCACATTTATTCAAAATCCAATTAAAACTATTTAGTTCAATTCCACAAAGCTGATGAACTTGACCCAGTGATACCAGCTTTTCAAAGTCTGATAGTCATTTACTCCCCCAGTAACCCCCCCCCGGGAGGGGCAGTACCACCCACTTTCAGAACTGCTGGTCTAGCAGTTACCCTTATTAAAAAGCCACCTGCAGAAGACCCTGGCTAGGTCTGCTTCTCCTACCAACACTATCTCACTTTACAGTGAAGTGATGTGAAGTGGATCTCTAATGTTTCCAAACTATGTGTCGTGACCTGTTAGTAGTGTGTAAGTGTGTCGTGTGACCGCTCCCTGCGCTCCTCCCAGGGCTGGAAAGGAGTTAGTTTAACCTCTGGTGTGCTAGTAAAGTTGAATTACTCTGTCACAAAATGATGCATGTCTAAAAACTTTGTCACCAACATGAAAAGTTTGGAAAGCTCTGTACTACAGAAATGAAATATTTAGTATACCGTTATCCGCAATCTGTATTTTTTCGATGGGTCTTATGACCATAACAAAAGATAACTTACATGAAACATGAAATAGCTTTTAGAGAGCTGCAAAGGGTGTCACAATCATAGCTATTCCATGTACGGCACAGCGCACTACTCAGGAACATTCTGATATATAGAGAACATTTCCTAGCACAGCCCCTAGAGAGGGTTTAAAGTACACACTGGAGGTTTGTACAATTAAAGTGAATGAGAGTGCTCTATAGTGACAAATCCACCTAAAGAAGATGATGGACTTTTGAGGTTAGGAAAGTGATGAGGAAATGTACTGAAAGGTGTGCGATAAACAAATAATTAACTGGAAGGAAAAACAAATAAGAACAAATGCTCAGCAAGGACTGGACATGGTCTGGCCCCCGCATAAGCTTTGTACAAACAGATCTGGATGAAAGATTAATAAAGTGGTCACCCAGAAGAGTACAAGGACAGAGTGGCACAACTTTCCCATCTGTGGTCTGCTCTAGATGAGATAAACAAGTGTCAGAAGCTCAGCACGGAAGCAGCCTCACATTTCCCTGCCTGCGCTTCTCATCCTGACTGAGTAAACTGAGGAAATCTTACAGAGTGACTCAGCACTGCCTATCACCAAGCTCCATATTTGGATATCTTAAAGGTAAATCGAGATTTGCTCTTGCCCTCTGCCAGGACTCACTAGTCCTGTCTTAAAGATCTCTCCAAAAAGCTGTGACTTTGCTTCGTCATACAACCTAATTTAGGGCAGCACAGAAGCTCACTAGCCTCAGTATTTGCCTCTGCTAAACAAGAGCAAACCTACCACCCACCCCAATATCAATTCAAGTTACAAAGGGCTGGCTCAAGGCCTTCAAGTCCAGGTACTGAAAGTGGGCCTTTCTACCTTTGGATGCTCTGAAGGGAATCAACACTCGAGTACCAAAAGCAGATCAAGGCATGCCATGCCCCTGGTGCCTCTTGGTGCAAGGCAGATGTTAAAATCAGTAGCCAGTCAAGCAAACGGAACATACAGCATCACCATAACATACCATGGTCCCCAACAGCTTAACTTGGGATGGGGCTCATCTTGTTACAGCTCAGATCAGTTCAGTCAAACCTCTCAGTCAGATCTCCCCAAAGCAAACTTCTGTAGAAGTCCACCCAACTCTGAGTCCCCTGTAACCATGAAGACACGTCACAGGACGCAGGGAAAGACCCAACATTTTAGGAAGGTCCTTCTAAGACTGCGTATAAACCTTCTGGGGGAGGTCAGAAAACTTCCAGGAAGCATCAAAACACGGATGCTTTTCTCTTGAAATCTGTCATTCCTTTGGGGCTGTGCAGTGCCTTGCCCCTGAGAACTGGATTTTGCCTCCAAGCATGCAATCTGGAGTGCTAGATTCAAATGTGTACTGAACATTCTGTGGAGAGTCACTGTTCTCTCTTCAAAACCACAGGGATCCCATGACTTTCTATGAGGTGTTTATGCACCCCCTCTCCTCCCACAAAATAATTTCATCATCTGGGGGTGGGGAGAAAAGGAAGCCTTGCACTCCTGCTGAGCTGACAGCTGCAGTGTCACTCTGAAAAGGCTTCACCCAGCAGGGATTCCAGGCCCAGCTGCAGAATCATGAATGAGGCTTCTCTGGCTGAGTTTGGGGGGTGGGGTGGGGGAAATGGTTAGGAAGGTGCAAGGCAACATTCTGGGGCCCTGTCTCCTCCCCCCTGCATCAGATCACCATCCCTTTCCTGGAAGGTTTATACACTGGAATCAAAACCCTCAGGGCTGAGGGTTTCCTGGACCCACAGAGGGAAATGGTCAAGGCTCAGCTGAAAGGGTGGCATTGTCTAGCACTTCCTGCTCCAGCAGCTCTGTATGCAGCAAGTTCTGTAAAGGCAACGTGCAGGAAAATGCCAGCTTCATTCCACACCCGCCTGCCCCATGCATAGCAACAGGAAGCTACAGCCAAGGCAGGAGAGGCACCAGATGGGCTCACTGCTACTCCCCAGCTGATATCACAACTGGCATGAGATCAAGAAAGAAGCCACAGCACTTATGAGCTCCTGGTCCAAAATTATCCATGGAAATCCCAGAAACCCAACTCTTCCTTATCATAGCAATTTGTGGATATTAAGCTGTTTTTGTCTGGTAAGGTCTAAACAAGGATAATGGCTTCTTCAAAGCAGTTTCCATCCCTCAAATTGGGTTCACGTTTGGTGCTTTAGTGATTGATTTGCAGATGTGGTGCTTAAGATGCACCACTAAACCCTGCCATCAAGAGAACACCAATCCCAGTGTTAGAAACTCAGATATAAGCTAGGAGCACCTTGGATCTAGGTTTTGGTCACCACAACGGAAAGTCTATTTGCCAGGGGATTGGACGAGATGACACTTGGGGTACCTTCCAATTCCACAATTGTATGATCTCAACTACATTGCTTGACTGTAACTTGTTCTTACAAGAATTCATTTGTCCCAGTATGCAAGAAGAAGAAACACACGCAGGGGTAACTAGACCCATGTCAGTAGCAAAATGCTCCTGGGGAATTCTGAACACCTGGATCACCCTCGTTTCCCCTGAATCCAGGGCTTCCCTCTTGTCTCTGAGTGCTTCACTGATGACCTCAAAGTTGGTGTCCAGTGACAAATTGAGCTAGGACCTGCCAGGAGGGGGGTGGAATGTCCACTGCTGGCCCTATGGGAACCTCAGCACTGCAGCAAACCCACCAGTGATTATTCTGGGCAAAGCTGAAAGCTGGGAGGCGGCCACTCTGGGCAGACCAGCAGCATCTGCCGAGGGTGCTCTGGGGCTCTGAGATCAGAAGGGGGGAGACCCGCAGCTCAAATGTTAAGGCCACAAGTCACATGCACCAAGCACAGCTCTGGCTCTTGCAGTGAGCCTTTGGCACAAAGCCTACTGAGAATGGACAGACCTACCTTAGCCCTACTTTTTCTCAACAAAATCCAGGTCTTTCCTGCCTGCCCTGCAACTGCCCTTATAGGAAGCTGGAACTACAAACTGCCCTGAATCCAAGAAGCAAGTGGCAGTTTCCAAGCCCTGCAAGAGGGAGGACTGCCCTGTGCCCTTCCATCACTCCCAGAGTTATGACAGGGCACAGGAAGCTGGCCAAGCATCAGTTTACCAGTGTGCTCTGCCAAGGGCTTTTATCAGTAAAGAGCCTTTGAAGATGCTCCCCCCCCCCTTGCAAGCAGGCCTTCGTAGAGTTTTGGGGAGGGGCCACAGCTCAGTGGCAGAGTGTCTGCTCTGCCTTGCAAGCCGAAGGTTCAATCCCTGGCATCTCCAGGTAGGAGTAAGAGGGACTCCTGCATGAAATCCTGGAGAGCTGCTGCCAGTCAGTGTAGACAATACTAAGATAGATGGACCAATGGTCTGACTTGGTATAAGGAAGCTTCCTATGTTACTGTGGAAGACAGAATAAGCAAACTGATTTGAAACATATCATCATCATCATTTTTCTTATTTATTGAATTTGTTCATTGCTTTATCTTGCCCAGGGCAACCCAAAGTGATTTATGACCAACCTGGTTGTAGACAAAAGTTTTTGCCTGGTGCCTAAAGATATAACAATGGTGCTAGGTGAAACTCCCTGGGGGGAGAATTCCACAAATGGAGAGCACTGCAGAAAAGGCCGGTTCTCGTGTTGTCACTCTCTGGACCTCTTGTGGAAGGGGCACACAAAGAAGGACCCCAGATAATGATCACAGAGTCCAGGTCAGTTAATATGGGGAGAGGCAGGCCTTGAGGTCTCTTGAACCATTTGAGGATTTATATGTCAAAATCAGCACTTTGGATTTGGCACGGAAACTAATTGGCGGCCAATACAGTTAGGCCAGGATTGGCGCTATATACTACACCATCTTGCCCCAGTAAGCAACCTGCTCAATGAATTCTGCACCAGCTGAAGTTTCCAAACGCCTTCAGAGGCAGCCCCAAGTATAACACATTGCAATAATCTAATGTAGAGGATACCAGAGCAGAGACTACAGTAGTTAGGCTATCCCTGTCCAGATAGGGGTGCAGCTGGGCCACTAGCCAAAGCTGATGGAAGGCACTCCAAGCCACCAAGGCCACCTGAGCCTCAAGTGACAGCACAGGATCCCGAAGTACCACCAAGATACATACCTGCTCCTTCAGAGGGAGTGGAACCCCATCAAGAGCAGGCAACCTCCAATCCACCCAGTCTAGGGAACCACCCACTAACAGTGCCTCAGTCTTATCTGAATTGAGCTTCAGTTTATTGGCTCTCATCCAGCCCATTACTGGGTCCAGCACATCCACTGCACATCTATCCCAGAATAAGATTTCCAGGGGAGATCCTCTTTTTCAAGAGATCTATAGAAAAACCCTAACGCTGCATTCAAATGAATGCATACCATTTAAATGGCGACAAAGCAGGACTTGAGGAATATGTAGAATAGCCACGGAAGGAAGCTTTACAAATAATGTGCTCTCTGTTTACACAGCGCCCACCCCCCAACGCAGTCACACGCAAGGTCTGAGCACTGGCACCTTCTTCACACTCCAGGGCCAATGGGGTCGCTAGGGTCCCCAGTAACAGGTGCTTGAAATATCTGGGAATTTTGTTATTTCTTTAGAGTGAGCCTAAACCACTTCATGCTCTTACAACTACAGAGTCAACAGTCCTGTGAGGTTTCACCTCCTTCCATTTGCCTCTTAAAATATATATACAGTACATTTAGTTCGGTAAGCAATCAGATGTCTGATTTACCCAGTGAAACGGCTCAACACCTAAGCTACTTTCTACCCCAACTTCTCAAAACAGGATATGAAAACAATTTAGCATTTTGCCTGTATCATGAATTCCATTGTTTGTGGTTATACAACTCCAAGGACATGTAGTGACCCCCCTCCCGTTTTTATCATTCTCCACCCCCACCAATAAATTCTTGTGTTTCTCTTCCCCTCCCCAGATAAGACTTCATTACGAAGCACCCCAGTGGTTCATGGGTCCACAGGATTAAATTTCACCCTAAATTCTGAACTCTATTGGCTTCACCTACACACTGGAATTTACACTCATAGTGCAACCTTGAAACACAGATTTCAGACATGTATGTTCTCTTTCTTTCAAACCCTATTAAGCTGTTTGGGTACATTGGATCTGCCTCCACTACAATCAGAAAGTGAGGCTTTGGTGGTGAAGTTACTGCTAGGTGTCACCCGTTTGGCGCTGACTCACGACAGGGCCTTTTCAGTAGTCACTCCCTAGTAGTGGAATGGACTTCCTAATGAGGTGCACTTGTTTCCATCTTTATTACGTTGCAGGAGGTATTTGAAAACATTCCTATTTATCCAGATGTTTGGTGGCTGAAGAATACTGTTCTAGGCAACCATAAGATCAACGGATTGAAAAATGTTTATAACTTTTAGATTTTTTTTTTTAATGTAACTTATTTCAGTTGTATTTAACTGTAATTTTTTAAAAAAATTTTTACTGCTTTAAAAATTTTGCCTTTTTTTTGTTTTAAATGATACACTCATTTGGTGCCTGGGACATCTTGGGGAAGGATGGGATATAAATTTGATAAATAAGTATTTGCTCAGAGCCTGGTATTTCACCTCTGCATCTTCTGTTTTCTTCTCCAGAGCTTTCCAAAAGCCAAGTGAAGGATTTAAGTTAACATAGTGGGATCTAATAGCGTCTGTGACATACTATTTTATTCGGAATACAATGCCAATTTTTAAAAAAACCTGTCAGAGTTGTATTCAACTAAGTCCCATTCAGAGTAGGCCTGCTGAAAATAATAAACCTGTTAGTCATGTTCATCAACTTCAATGGGTCTACTCTGAGGAAGACTAGCATGGATAACCTCTTACCCTTTAACCTAGAATCATTTTGAAATCAACCATTAACTTTTTTTTTTGCAGTTAGAACTTCAAGGGGCTTGTTGGTTTATGCTGTCATGTGTAAAACATGTTGCAGAAGAGTCTAGGAAATGTTCTGGAGGGAGAGTGATCAAGGAGCTCAAGCAGCCACTGGGGTAGGGTGGCTTACAGGAGCCACCACAAGCTTCCTTTCCAAAGAACTGCTTGCATTACTTCCCCATTCCAGACAGCCTCACAGCGGCTTGGAAAGAGAAGGGAAACCAAGGCTTGTCAGCTCCAGGGCAGGAGGGCTGTGTTGCCCCAGGAAACAGGGTGAGGAGCCCCAGAATTTCCATAGTGGCAAGAGAGACTCCCCTATGAAGAAAGATTTGCACAATTTGGGACTTTTTCATTTAGAGAAAAAGCAAGTAAGAGCAGACATGATAAACATCTGTAAAATTAGGCTCTTATGCTCAGGTTCTCCTTCCTGGTTTCCTGCTCAAGTGAGCTTTTGTGGCTGAGTGTGGATTTGAACCCAGGTCCCCCAGGTCCGACTCTGAAATTCTAACCACTACACCACAATGATTCTCTTATGCTAAGGGGCCCTCCCCAAAGCAGAGACAGCATCTGCCAGATCAAAAAGAGTCCTGTGAGGAAAATGTAACAAGGCCCAGTGCAAAGAGGGATGACAGTGGCGGCAACAGCCTGCTAAGCACCAGAGTGGCATGGCTCTTTCCACAAGAGGAAGCACAGAGAAGTAGTGAAGGTGTTTATCAAAGGCTGGCATATGCACCCTTTCAAGAAGCAAATGCACACACAGGATTCCAATTTTCAATCAGGCATATCAGCTTCGTTATCTCCCACAATTAGGTTTTGTGCTACAAATTTTGCACCAAGTTAGGGGGGGGAACCTCTGCTGGCGCCACCCCACAGCTGCATCAAGAGTCTATCCTGAAGAACTAGGCTGTGCTTCTCCTGATTCAAAATGGCATCCAACAGTATCCAAATGTAAGCCCAAACCCGCTGCTCCATCTCAGGAACCGTCACACCAAACTAACTGGGAGACAATATTCTCAGAAGCATTCAAATCAGTGCTAGTAAACCTAAAGCACTTCTACGGGCTCATTTGGATAACCCAAAGACCACCCCCACCCCTCTGTACAAAACAACAGCACTACCTCTCCCATTCCCATTTGGAGTGGGAAGGCCACACCTTTCTAGTCCCCCAGACAGAATTCAAGCAAGCTCTAAGCACACAGTGACTTTGAGACAGGGACACTCCCCCTTACCATGAAGGCAATTCAGGCACTGAAATGAAGAGCAATAGGGTTATTTGATGGCAGAAAAGAAGCAGAAAGGAGATTGACTGTTCCCTTCCAGGTTCCTCAAGAGGCAGATTTCACTTGCCCCAAACAAGGAAGAGGTAGGTCATTTACAAGAGGATGTGTGTGTGTAACTGAAACATCCCTTAATAATCTGAATACACTTACCCTTCCACCATCAGTTAACATTTGGAGTGATCAATTTCTCTTATTTGAGGGGGTAACCCATCATTTTAAACCAGCAGCTCACCCTCAGCTTCTTTCAGAGGCTGCTGCAGCATATCTCAAGGGTGGCTTCCCTGCCAATAGATCAGCATCAACCTCATTCTACCCTTCAAAGCTTGCTGCTCCTAGCTTGAGCCATGAAAGTCTTTAGCCCTGCACTCCAGGTGCATCTGCCCTCTCTGACAGCTCAGAAGATGCTGCTCCCAGCAGCCCTTCAGACTGTGATGAGTTGCCCCTCTCTCAGAGTGGAAGTCCTGGACTGGAGCTAGGAAGCCCGGAATACTTGTGTGTGTGTGTGTGCTTTCTCCCTCATGTCACTCTCAAGTCAACAGCTCTCACACACCCTCTTGCCTCTAGGAATGTAGGAAGAAGCTTTATACCAAGAAATATAGTGGTCTAGTTCAGGACTGTCTGCACTGACTGAGAGCAGTTCTCCAGGGTCTCTCCCAGCCCTACCTGGAGATGCCATCAGGGGTGGCACCTTCAGCATGCAACACAGTTGTTCTGCCACTGAACTACAGCAGCCCCCATGCCCTTCAGTGTGTCAAATTCAGACAGGAAGGAATGAAAAATGCAATGCCTCCTCTTGAATGTATTACTCCCTTCCCCCCTTGCGCAACCGTCTTATACCTTGCAATCTTTTTGTTTAAGCAGCTGGGGTTAAGCACACTGGTGGAATCATGACTATTACTTTGAGCTGCATTCCTTATATCAGATCATTTAAGTGTTGGGCTCGTTCTTAGCTCTTGCCTCCTCTTCAACCACCTGCCATTTTCCTGACGGAGCCTACCTGTGGTTGCTGGTCCAGCAAGTACCCCTTAGTTTGGCTCCCCTCAAGGCATTATCACCATGCTCCAGAAACCCGCTACTCTTAAAGCACGAATTAGGGATGGAGGGGGAATTGTCTAGGTAGCATGATGTCACTGGCAGCCAATCAGTAGCTCGCAGCCCCCCCCACGAGGTGGGCTAACTCCCCCCACCAAAGCCTGCCCCTTTTTGCTGCTTGAAAACAGCTCCTTTTCCCGGCTCTGTAGGGTTCAACTGCTGTGACTGCAGGAGGCAAACACCAACACGCCTCCCCCTCCCCGCCCCAAGGCAACGGAGTCTCCGGCGGGAGTCCTTCAAAGCCTTTCCTGCTGCTTCCGAAAGGCAGCCCTGGGGAACTCTCTGTTGCACAGAACCAACTTGACCCTTTTCGAGGTCGCGCCCTGCCCCCTTCGGCCCAGATCCACCCGCAAAAGGAGGAAGGGAGGGATGGTGGTCCAGGACGCGCCCACAATGCCGGCTGCGAGTGTTTCGCTCAGTCGGAGACAGGTGGCGGCTGCTCTCTCCCTACCGCAACAAAGCAGAGCCTGGCTCTGCGCGCTTCCCCGCTAGGTATGTCCTAACCCAGGCTGGGTAGACGCCGGAAGGAGACTCCCGAGATGGGGAAAGCGGGTGGAGGCTCCCGAGCCCTGCAAGGCTCGATAGATGGAGGCAACCGGGGACAACGGAGGCAGCAACAAGCGCCTCCCTCCAACTCTCCTCTCGAGGAAATGGGAGGAGGGAGAGAAGGCGAGCCCCACCTCGAGCAAGCCGGTGTCCAAGGCTTGGGGTGGGGGAGGACCACCCCGTCCTCCGGCGCTGGACCTCCTCCAGTGCCAAGTCTCTGGAGCCGAGCGCCCCGAGGGTTCTCCTGCAAGCGGCGGCTGGGCACACAATGCGCTGGATTACCGCCCGGCCAGCCGCTCCTCTCCCTTCTTGAAACCCCACCCGGGGCTGGTGACAAGCCCGGCAACCCCGGAGAGAGAGAGTATCCGCGCCCCCATGCCGCCTGCCTCCTGCCGGGGAGCATCCCGGGCGCCGCCCCTCTCACAAAGCCGGGCGCCATCTGCCCTCCGCGGCTCCCGTCCGCCTGGGTTCGTGGTGCCCTGCCCTTACCATCTTGCCCACCTCCATGGTCGGAGGCTGCTGCTACTGCTGCTGGGGCCGCCGCCGGTGGCGGCGACGGGGCGGGTCTCTCCCGCCCTCCTCTCCTCCCTGCTCCAGCTACGGTGAGATGCCCATGCCCGGGGCGGCGCTCCTTCCAAGAGAGAGGACCAGACGAGGGGGTGGCGGCGATGGTGGCGACCCCACGGCCGCCCCTCCCCGGCGGTGGGATTGCGCCGCCCGCCGCGCCCAGGCGCAGCGCCGGAGTGAGCGAGCAAGCGAGCGAGCGCGGACGCGTCTGCGTGTGTGCTCGGAATGACAAAAGGCCGCCGCCGCCGGCGCTCGCTCGCGCCCGCCCAGCTCTCCCCTCCCCTCCCCGGAAGGGCAGCAGGAGGGAAGCAGGCAGGCAGGGCTTCTCCCCCCCCCCCCCCGCTCAGGCGGCACAAAGGAAGACACCGTGCAGAAGCAGCGGCCGCCCGCCGGGCCAGGCCCGGCACAGACCCAGCCAAGGCGGCGGGAAGGAGGAGTTTGCGCGGCAGCGCCCACGCGGGTAGAGACCCTCCTGCTGCCTGGAGGGGTCACCAGAGCGCCGGCCAGGCAGCTTCACCGCCCCCCGGAGGATCGCCACTTTGCATAGAGATGGCGAGGAGAGGAGCGAAACTCCCAAGCAGCAGTCCCCCCCCCCCCCGGACTGCCTGGAAAGGATAGCCTGAGGTTAGGAGGATTGGGATGATGGGAGGACCAGCCCCCACCCCACATTCGCACCAGTCCTCTATCCACCACCGTCTCTCATCCCCCAACTCCATCACCTCCACTCTCTGCATGTCATGGTTGGTTTAGAGAATCTTTAGGCTGCCCATCAATTGCTTACTCAGTTCTTATAGGCAGCCTTGTTTAGGGAAGTTTTTAATGTTTGAAGTTTTATTCTGTTTTTAGTGTTCTGCTGGGAGCCGCCCAGAGTGGCTGGGGACCAGCCAGATGGGTGGGATATAAATAATAATAATAATAATAATAATAATAATAATAATAATTTCATCTGGGGAAATAGAATCATACAATTGTAGAGTTGGAAGGGACCCTGAGGGTCATCTAGTCCAACCCCTTGCAATGCAGGAATCTCAGCTAAAGCATCCATGGCAGATGGCCATCCAACCTCTGCTTAAAAACATCCAGTGAAGGAGAGGCCATCACCTCTCATGGGAGGCTGTTCCACTGTCCATGTGACAGCCCTTGAGATATGGCTATCATATCTCCTCTCAGTCTCTTCTTCTTCAGGCTAAACATACCCAGCTCCTTCAGCCATTCCTCCTAAAGCTTGGTTTCCAGACCCTTGATCATCTTGGTTGCTCTCCACTGTACATGCTCCAGATTGTCAACATCCTTCTTAAACTGTGGCATCCAGAATTGGACATGGTATTCCAGGTGCGGGCTGCCAGGCCCCTGGGTCCATATAGCTCACTACTGGCTGGCAACAGCTCTAACCAAGGTTTTCAGCAGGGACCTTTGCTGAGGATTGAGCCTGGGCCCTTCTGTGGACAAAGCAGGCACCCTTCTCTCATTAACCCCTCTCAGATTAATGTTCCCCTAGCAGCACCTCCTATTGCTCCTCACAAGTGTTGGATGGAAAAGAAGACACAGGTGTTCATCCTTTGCGGTGCTAGCAGCTCAAATGAAACCATATCTGCACTGAAGCCACCACAAAGAACAAAAGATGGCCCAGCACAACACTCCCTATAACAATAAGACCACATTGTTACAGTAGCCTCTGAAAGAATGATGTAGAAAGATGGGATAGAAAATTTTTGATAAAGAAAGCAGGGCTGGTTTTGTTTCCGTGAACTCTGGCACTCTTCACATGCTCCTTTCCCTCACAACCTGCATTCAAAAGCAAAAGCTTCCATAAACTTGACCTTTGGCCTTTTCCTCCCTGCCTCTCCTTTAAAATTTTGTGGAAGGGGACAACAAGAGCCTTCTGGCCCCTTCCTCTGAAAAGCCTGGACCATATCACCACTGAATAGAAACAAAGGAACTCGCGGGGCTTGTCCCACAACAGCCCACCAGTATTAGCCTTTATCATATTACATCTTTATGTGGATTTAACTGTAAGCCAACTTGGAAACTGGTCTTAAAACACACACCAAGTTGCAGGATGAGATCTGAAGTGCAGACAAGCTGAGGTGGGGTCAAAAGAAGAATTGAGGGCAAAAGTCACCTGAGTGGAAGAAGCAAGCCTTGGCACAGTGACTGTGTATGAAAACAGGAAGAGTCCTGCTGGACCAGGCCAGTGGCCCTTGTGGCCCAGCAGCCTCTTCTCACAGTGGCCAACCAGATGCCCAGTTGGGGAAACCCACAAGCAGGACCTGAGCACAACAAGAACCCTCCTATGGTTTCCAGAAATGGGTGTTCAAAAGCATTATTGCTTCCACAATGGCAGAACATAGCTACTGTAGCTAGTTAGCCATCAATAGCCATTTCCTCCATGAATTTGTCTAATCCTCATTCACAGCCATCTAGGTTGGTGGCTCTACACAGTCTGCACTGTAAGGAGACTCCCAGGGACTTGGTACCACAAGGTCTGCTCTTTCTATCCGACAGAAGCCTACATGAGCACTGTAATGACAAGCTCAATACTGCAGTCACTTCCCCACCACACTCTCCCAGCCATTAGCACACACACTGCCCATCTGATTGCAAAATGCAGTCCTGCAAAACTGCACATTGCTGATTTCCGGTTCTCTTTGTGTTTCCCACCCCAAGCGCTAAGTCATTTCCCCTCTGAGAGACCTGGAAGTGACAGGAAAGGACACAAAGCCTAAGAAGGATATTAGCTCCTTTTTGCATAGCAGGATAGCAGAATCAGTGCAGTCCATACACTTAAATACTTGGACTTTAATTGATATTTTCGCCTAACTCGTTTTTGAGTGGCGTGTGATTGTTAAAAACATGATAATTTGCCACACAGTGTCAGTCAAAGAATTGGTTGACTCCAGCCCTCTGCATCCAACTGTGGCCCACCAGGAGCTACAGGAAAGCTCACAGAGGCAGGGCAAGATGGGCAAGAACCCCTTTGGTTTCCAATACCCCATAATTGAAGCTATCCCGATTCTAAATAAAGAGGCTTTGCTCTGAGCTATTATGGCCAACAATATAGTCATAATGTCTATTAATGTTTCTTACTGTTCTTTGAAAGCTATCACAATGTACTGTGGTAATGAAATCTACAGGAGTTTTTTCCCCCACCCAACAGGCTGCAAACCTTTGGAATTTCATACATGCAGTCGAGAACAAAGCCACTTAAAGATGACAGATTGAAGTTTTAAAAAGGAATTTAAGATCATGATTTGCCTTTTAGGTTCTTGGAGGCAACACAGCACACACTTCAGTCAGTTATAAAAACTGATGGGACACTGCCTTCTAAGAACAGAGGCGGAACCAGGAAGCCAAGCAAGGTGACAGCCACCAATACCTGGCTATATCCAATTAATGAAAGCCAATAAGGGGGATGGTTGGGGTTAGCACCCCTGCAGAGACCCAGCTTAGCTACCAAAGGCCTGAGTTTAAAAAAGTGTCCTAGCCTCTGTCTCAAACCTGAGGGTGGCACCAGGCATATTTCCCTGGGAAGAGCATTCCACAGATGGGGCACTATTTAAAAGGCCCATTCTCATGTTTTACATTTCTTTTTTGGGGGATGGTTTCTGAGCATTGCTAGTTTTTCCTTCTGTCAAATAGGAACTGTGTAACTTCTTACATTTCCAAATGTGTACCTGGGCCCCCTAACCTACTTGCAGTTCACATTCAGAAACATATGCATCATAGGTTAGGCAAGAAAAGTGGAAGTTTGCCTCAGGAGGGATGTAAACTACAATTCCTCAAGCTGAGAGCAGAGCAAAAGGCAGCTCCAGCAGCTTTAGAATCAACCAGCTGAATTGTGTGGGGTGCTTTTTTTCCATATAAAAAGAGGTGTCAGACAGCTTCTGCTTCATTATTGCAACTGAAGTATTGGGGGATGCTCAGCAACACCCGCTGCCTCAAGCATCTTAAGAAAAAGCAGTGCTGCTACTGCTTATTGTGGCTTCCAGCTAACAGGAACAAATTGTCCAAGTAGCACAGAACAAGAGCAAAAGCTCCCACGCCAAGCTGGGCTAAATGAGGGTTTGGGTGGAAATGCAGTTTCCTTTGCTGTGAAATCCCAAGTGGGCCAACAGCCAGCTTCTCCCTAAGCAGGCGGTGCAAAAAATAAATAAATCATAGAATCATAGAATCATAGAATCATAGAATCATAGAGTTGGAAGAGACCACAAGGGCCATCGAGTCCAACCCCCTGCCAAGCAGGAAACACCATCAGAGCACTCCTGACATATGGTTGTCAAGACTCTGCTTAAAGACCTCCAAAGAAGGAGACTCCACCACACTCCTTGGCAGCAAATTCCACTGTCGAACAGCTCTTACTGTCAGGAAGTTCTTCCTAATGTTTAGGTGGAATCTTCTTTCTTGTAGTTTGGATCCATTGCTCCGTGTCCGCTTCTCTGGAGCAGCAGAAAACAACCTTTCTCCCTCCTCTATGTGACATCCTTTATATATTTGAACATGGCTATCATATCACCCCTTAACCTCCTCTTCTCCAGGCTAAACATGCCCAGCTCCCTTAGCCGTTCCTCATAAGGCATCGTTTCCAGGCCTTTGACCATTTTGGTTGCCCTCCTCTGGACACGTTCCAGTTTGTCAATGTCCTTCTTGAACTGTGGTGCCCAGAACTGGACACAGTACTCCAGGTGAGGTCTGACCAGAGCAGAATACAGTGGCACTATTACTTCCCTTGATCTAGATGCTATACTCCTATTGATGCAGCCCAGAATTGCATTGGCTTTTTAGCTGCCGCGTCACACTGTTGGCTCATGTCAAGTTTGTGGTCAACCAAGACTCCTAGATCCTTTTCACATGTACTGCTCTCAAGCCAGGTGTCCCCCATCTTGTATTTGTGCCTCTCATTTTTTTGCCCAAGTGCAATACTTTACATTTCTCCCTGTTAAAATTCATCTTGTTTGTTTTGGCCCAGTTCTCTAATCTGTCAAGGTCGTTTTGAAGTGTGATCCTGTCCTCTGGGGTGTTAGCCACCCCTCCCAATTTGGTGTCATCTGCAAATTTGATCAGGATGCCCTTGAGTCCATCATCCAAGTCATTGATAAAGATGTTGAATAAGACCGGGCCCAAGACAGAACCCTGTGGCACCCCACTAGTCACTCTTCTCCAGGATGAAGAGGAACCATTGATGAGCACCCTTTGGGTTCGGTCAGTCAGCCAGTTACAAATCCACTGAGTGGTAGCATAGTCAATCCCGTTTCAGTGCAGCCTTGGGCAAGACGTTATGTAGGAGGCTTGTTTTAGAAGACAGAGGCCCCTCCCCAATTTTGCTCAAGCAGCCTATGGAGCTGCACAACCTGGCTCCCATACCCAACAGTGATGGAAAACATCCTCATTAACAGCCACAGTGGTGAAGCACCCCTGCACCTTGCCACTAGGCTTGGGAGGTGGGGGAAACATTTCTCATTCCCAGGGGCCAGCCTTGTAGATGGGCTGTGTAACGTTTCTAGATTTCAAGGCATTTGCCTCAGGAGAATTGTTTGAAGACACAGGATACCATTTGACTGCTGGCTAGGCAGGGTTGCTTCTAGCAGCTGCCTGGAGATCACATGCCAGCTTCTATGAGGAAAAACAGGTGGCTCACCTGTCATTGAGGTGCATGAATTGTGGTTGTCTTTGCAGCCATACATATAGCTCCTGCGTCTACTGCATGGGTATTGTTTTGGAACCTTCTGGAGCTGGGCCCGCATTTTGGTGGGCCACTCTCCCTCACCCTCCATGTTTATTCTCAAGAGGGCATGGCTGCTGCCTCTGAAACCACATGAAGCAGCTATGTAAAAAGTACCCTTGTCAACAAGCCCACAAAAGTTACTAGCCTGCAAAAATGCCTACTAGCCTGCTGGAGCACTGGCAGAGGAGGGATAGGGGACTCCGTTCCTCTCCTAGCATCCTACTGCACAGTGGTGCCTCGCAAGACGAAATTAATTCGTTCTGCGAGTTTTTTCGTCTTGCGGTTTTTTTCGTCTTGTGAAGCACGGTGTCGGAAAAGTTTTGGAAAAGCTTCAAAAATCACCAAAGTCTTCAAAAACCTCAAAAAAGGCTACCACACCGCATGCTATGAGTTGCTCCTCGAAGTCAAGTCGCAACTGTATTAACGGTTTTAAGAAAAGGAAACAAACTTGCAAGACGTTTCCGTCTTGCGAAGCAAGCCCATAGGGAAAATCGTCTTGCGAAGCAACTCAAAAAACCAAAAACCCTTTCGTTTTGCAAGTTTTCCGTCTTGCGAGGCATTCGTCTTGCGAGGTACCACTGCATTCTTATTCTGGGTGCAAAGGAAGGGCCTTCACTTTTTCTGGCAAAGCCACTTAGGTTTCTGTACTGGGGACAGAAGGAGGACTGAATGCTCTGCTGCCTTCCGCCAGCTCACTCACTTGCCTACATGGAATTACTTGTCACCTATGATTACCCGGTAGGCGTGTAAATACGAAGCTTTGACCAAGAGCAGGCTAAGGTAGCAAGCACAGCAGGGATGGAGGGTGGATTGTGAGATTACAGAGATGACCATGCAAATAATTACAGTTACATGAAAGAAACCAGTTCTTTTCCTTTGAGGTCACACACATGGAGCTCAGCACTGCCCTTTCAAAGGAAAAATCCACCCTTAGATGAGCATCAAAGCTGTAGTGGTGGATAAAGGCTACTCTTTAGCATTCCCATTGGAGATATAAGCAACCATTAAAGTGTTATCCAACACCTGCTGATAGATTTGGGCTGGAGTGGCTACTACAGGCAATGGAGTATCCAGCAGACTTTGAATGGAGTGGGGGGTGGATGGGTTGGAACAGGGGCTGATTAGTTTACTAGTCTGTTGATAGTATGCTGCATTAACACCTTGTACTATTACCTGGGACAGTATCCATGTCTGGTGGACTCAGTCTCACTAAGAAGGAACAAACAAATAATATTGAGCAGTACACTTATTAGCGAAGACACAGGCACTTTCCCAAAATACTAGGGAAAGCCTCTTCTGTGTCAAACTGCTTTTTTCTCCCGATGCCTCTGTTTTTAGGTGGCAACAAAGGAGGGCTCTACCATATTTCAAAAGGGGAAATGTTCTGGCTGGACACCCTCTGGCAGCTCTGAGGCAACAGATGCAGAACCACATGCAGAGATCTGAGGACCAAGAGGGGGAGGACCAAACACCAAGATCCAGGTTTTTCTGAGCTAGGGAAATTGAAAAAGTCATGAAAAAGATGAACGTAGGGAGAGGAAGTAGTCAATCAGAGCAGTGGTGAAAGGGTCACAAGAGGAACAGAGAGAAGAGGTCCCTGCAGGCTCACACTTTCATGCTTGAACAGAGAAGGGGCAACTACTTTAAGCCCCATGACCACACTAACTTTCTGCGGCTGCCTCACAGCTTTCTCCTGCCATCATACAGCCTTGGGAGTGTAGGTGGGTGAGCAAGGTTTGGATCAACTGTGGAGGCAAGGAAGTGCCCTCTGCCCTCAAGCAATTCTATCCTGGCTCAGATGACAAAGAGAAGCAGCAGCTGCATAACAACAACTCAGTGAAGAGCTGCCAGTCCTTCCTTTCCCCTCACAGCCCTTCCCCAAGCAGCTGCTCCTCCTTCAGCACATCTGTTCTCTCCAGCAATTGAAGTTCACTGCATCATTCTCAGGACAGATGGGATACCAACTCTTTGGTGAAGAAAAAGGACAGCACCCTACACATCACGGTCAAGGCTTCCTAGGAGGAACTCATGCCAAGCACACAAATAACTAGTGGGTGAGTTGGAGAAAGCAGAGAAGCCTCCACTCATCGGCTTTGCTCATTTAGCACTTGGGGCTGCATCCCATGCTAGTCCTACTCAGAATAGACTCATAAAAAATAATGGACATTACTAAGTTGGGTTCATTCATTTCAATGAGCCTGCTCATCTAATCATAGAATCATAGAATCATAGAATCATAGAGTTGGAAGAGACCACAAGGGCTATCGAGTCCAACCCCCTGCCAAGCAGGAACACCATCAGAATAATCCTTGGCTTCTGCATCTCAGCTCACAATATGCAGTCTCTCAATTCATTCTGATACTTAAAGGTCACCTTTTTGGGGGGGGATTAACCTTCCCAAGGCAGCTCACAACACATTAAAAACATAAAAATTAATTCATAGCCTAATTGTAAACCATAAAACCACAATATATCAGACATCTAGAGATGTTTTTAAAAGCAGTAGTAAAGCAGTATCAGTATAAAAAATAGGAAAACAAGCAGAAAACCATTAAATAGTTTTTGAAAAGCAGCTGTTAAATGCAAAACTGCCAAGGAATCAAGTAAAACCAGCTTAGGACAAAATGGTATTCTGGGCCCATTTAAAAGTCATCAGTGTCAGGTCACATGCACCTACTGAGGGAAAGGGTGACAAAAGCAAGGATCCACCATCTAACACCCATCGATCCAACAGTTCCTGATGGCAAGCCCACCAGCAGGACCTTCGAGGCTGATCTTAAGGCAGGTTTGATACAGATGTAGGTGACCCTGAAAATAACCTGATTGAGCAGCACTGAGGAGATTAAAATATCTAGAACATTAAACTGAGCTTTGAAGCAAATGGTCAACCTGCACTGCCAATACACAGTTCATGTTATATGCTCCAATTGTCTGGCCCCCACAAGCAACTAGTCTGCTGCATTCTGTACCACTTGATGTTGATGATGTTATTTATTACTATTACTAATATTTATATCCTGCCCTTCATTCCAAAAGAGCTCAGCATGGCAAACCCACAAGTGATAAAACAATTTATATGAAAACAATTCCAATAGAGATGCAGACAAGCTGGTAGTCCCATTCTAAGCACATTGCAGTAGTCTGGATGTGACCAGAGCATGTATAGCTCTTTCCCCCACATCCCATTTTCACAATAACCACTTTTAGACACTGATGGTGCTGTCCACATAAACAATAAGTTGAAGGATGATGCTGTCTGCAATTAAGGGACTGGTAATGTTTATCCTGGAGAAGATGGGGGCGGGGGCAGAATATGATAGCACTCTTCAAATACCGGTACTTTAAGAGTGTTCACATGGAAGTAGAGGCTAGGCAGCTTCCTGCATCATGCAGCGGGTTGGACTACAAAGCCTACAAGCCTTCCCCCCCCCCAAAAAAAAACCCTCTATGGCAATAATGGGGCCTAGCAGAGAGTTTCACTTGCTTTACAGATGTGCACAACAGTGGAATCTTGGGTTTGGAGGCAGATTGCGATATGTACTGCTGAAAATACCTGAAAGGGGTAAATCACTGGGGCCTAGAATCAATTTGTTCAACCCAGGATGAAGAGCACTGGGCGCCCTTCTCTCTGTGCCAGGGAGTGTGGGCAATGAGCCCAGTCTTAGGTTAGGAGAGCATTACAGGAATCTGCCTCACTTGCTCTGTGAAATATACATATTGCCTCTTTTTTTTCCCCAAGGAAGGAGAAATGGAGGCAGAGGTCTCATGCTGTAATTATTGATCTGACTATTTTTAGTCTCCGTTTGCCCAGCCTGTTCTTGTCAAGCAGCCACGAGGCAAGCTTTGCACAGGATCATTGCAAAGACGGCAATGCCTAATCCAGATGCTCGCTTGGACAATTTCTTTGGAAAATATTAAGTGAAGAGGCAACAGAAAGCAAAGAAATCGTAGGCAGATGCTGGTACTCCTCTTCCTCCACACCATTTCACTGCTTCAGATTTATAAGCAGAGCACCAGTTTCCCCCTCTGGATTGGTTGATACAGAGAGTCAAGCAAGAGACATGGGGAGGTGGGGGTGGGGTCATGGTGTGAGCCAGTGATTTGTGTTAAGTAGGGCAGCCAGGAAGATTTATTCTGAAACCTTCCATTCCACTAGCAGGAGATGGCTGGTCTAGTTAGTGCTCCTTGCAACACACTTTCTTTGGCGCCAGGCACTGGTCCAATGCTTTCTGCAACAAAACGAGATTCTAGAACTCAAGCTAGCCTCAAAAATGGCTTCAGAGTACAAATGTGGTTACTTAGCTATGAGGAAAGAAGGCCTGAGATGTTTGGATATGTTTTTCCAGCCAACCTGCAAGCACATTCCTAGTTGATACACAATATGGGAGATGTGGGCTAGAGGCATCTGAAACAGATTTGAGGCCCGCTATCAGAAAAGGGAAGTGGGTGGGTGGAAGTATGTGCCCTTCCAGCTACCGCAGGGTGGTTAGAGGACTTGCGTGAATGCACAAGAGGCTGCTGTATTGGTGGAAGGGAGGCTGTTTAGGGACCTTGCCAGGGTTTGGCCTGGAACATGTGTGGACTCAGAGCCTGGTCCAAAGCTAGCTAATCAGGGCTGTGAATCCGGTGCTTCCCAGCCAACACCCAACATGCTAACTACTACTTTGCCAGTTTACTATTTGATCACTGTCAGTTGATCCAAGCACATTGTGTATTATGCTGTGTAATGCTGTTGGTGTGTAATATAAAATAAATAACAGATCAACATAGCTGACTGCATTTTTTACTGTCTTTGGGGGTGTGCCTATGGGAGCTGACATGATGAGCCTTTACATTTCACAATGCATCATTACAGGATGGCATATTAATTTGGCATCCCTCCCCATCTGGGACAAGAGCTTAGCATGAATTCACCATTCTGTCCCTCTGAGATCAATTTGTTGCCATTCCTCTTCCTTCCCTAATAGGATTAGAGCAAATGTCTTTATTAATATTCATGAAATCCCTGAAACTTAAGGGGAGCTTAGCTGTCTCCGGAAGCACAGGATACTGCTAGAGGCAACAGGCTGGACTGGGGCACCCAGGCCAAGGAGAGTACACACATCACTAGGAAGCCATGGCAATATACTGAGTGCTCTTTGGAGGACGATGTGCTTATTGAGAACAAACAGGGACTGCATTTCTAAGAAATAAGCAACATGGCCTCAGGATAGTGCTTCCTCTGTTAGCTGATTCATGCAGATTTCAGCTGGGCAATGCAGCTAGGCAGAAGCAATTCTTCACAGGAAGGGAGGCCAAGGAGTTCCAGTTCTGGAATCAGGAATATTTCTCGACTTTCCTGAAGAAGGTGCATGTCACAGCTTACTGGGCTATTTATAGTGCTATTTATAACCCACCTTCAACCTGAAGGTTCTCACAGTGGGATACAATATTTCATTAAAATATGTCACAACATATGCAGCATAAAAACCTCCTAACAACACTGTGCATGCATAGATCTTGAGGCAGGGCCTCACTGACCATTACTCAGGGTTAGCAACATATAACATGTCTGAGAAACAACGAAAACAAATTCACAGGAAACTGAAGCAAGGGTGGAATGAATGCAATTTGAACTAGTAATTTCCTAAACCCATTCCCACCCAAAGCAGAGCTGGCTGAGGCTGATGGGAGTTGTAATCTGAAACATCTGGAGGGCACCAGTTTGAAGAAGGCTGACAATGAATGGTAGAATCATATACAGCACAAGAATTGCAATAAAAATAATTTTTAAGTAAAGCTTTGAATATTTTTGCATGTAACAATTTAAGGCTGCAATGGGTCATTCCATATCAAGTGGTACAATTTTTGATGATTTGTTTTACTACATGTCATCCAATTTTCTTAAAATTTTGTACACTTGTTAAATGATCAGAACAAATCTAATCTAAAAGTTTTAATCTAAAAGTCCATCATGTGCCATATCATATTAAAGCTCATGAAGTTATGAAGAGATTGGTATTTTTAGTTTTGGAATATCTCAATTCTGGGCTGTGTTTAGGTCTTTGTGTAGTCTGGCAAGACCAAAATTGACATTTAAAATTTTTTTTTAAAACCCTCATAACTCAAAAATGGGAGATAAAAAATTTAAAACTAAGATATGAGACCTTCTATTATACTACTTTTAGGAAACTGAAACGGAAAGCAATATAAAATGGTAAGATAAAAGTCCCTGAATCACTTGACATGGAATGACACCATTGCTAAAGACATTTACAGTGGTACCTCGGGTTAAGTACTTAATTCGTTCCGGGGGTCTGTTCTTAACCTGAAACTGTTCTGAACCTGAAGCACCACTTTAGCTAATGGGGCCTTCTGCTGCTGCTGCGCTGCCAGAGCACGATTTCTGTTTTCATCCTAAAGCAAAGTTCTTAACCCAAGGTACTATTTCTGGGTTAGCGGAGTCTGTAACCTGAAGCGTATGTAACCTGAAGCGTATGTAACCCAAGGTACCACTGTACTAAGGAAATGCATTTCTGAGTAAACATGCATTACATTGCACTGTAAGTGTGCTATATTCAATTTATTGTTATGAATCATTATTTATTGTGTTTATGTCCTGCCCTTTTGTCCAAGGAGCTCAAGCTGGTCCTCCCCCTCCTCAATTAAAGTCCACAACAACTCTGTGAGGTAGGTTAGGCCAAAAGAAGACAGTGACTGGCCCAAGGTCACCCAGTCAGCTTCATGGCCCAGCGGTGACTTCAACCCTGGTCTTTGACCACTGCACCACACTGGATCTAGAACTAAATGTGACATTTCCAATTTCCAATCAAACACTTCAGTTAAACTGACATTGAACTTAACTGTATTTGGCAAGTTTAAAAGTTTTGAGATATTTATACAGAACATAAAAATTCTGATACAGTAGCAAAAAAAGTAGTCACTGCTTGGATGCACACCCAAGCATGCTGTAGGCCCCCTGCCCTTCCATGATCCTGTGCAGGTTTCTTGGGAAGCTGCCACATGGCAAGGGTTTTGACCTTCCCCATCATTAGTGAGCCTCTTTCAGAAGGCCAGCTCATTTCACTCCTGACTGCTCCCCTTGGGAAAGACCAATGAAGAGATGGACAATAAAGAAGGGTGGGCTTTTGCCAAGCAGATTCACACAGCCAAAGCTCAAGGAAGCTTCAAATAGGATATTGCATGTGTGCACAGCACAACAGAAAACTTCCTCGCCTCTCTCTGTTGAGTGTGCAGAGCATAAGTTTTGCATACTCCAAACTTCACAGCTGAAGCTTTTCCTTTACCATTTTTCAGAAAGACTACACTTGACATGTTTTATCTGTCATAAATCTTTGCACAAATGAAGGAAGCAAAGCTGGAGGCTGCCCAACTTTTCTCTACAGACGCCTCTGTGTTGCATTTTTTTCTCAGGACACACCTTGAGTAAGGAAAAAGCAGACCTCCTCTCAGCTGGCGAGGAGGAGATGTTCTGAAGGAGCACTAGGTCATCTGAGGAAGCAAGAGGCAGAGATCAGCTTATAAAGGAAACTTTGTTCTTGCAACCTCTGCGGCTGCCCATTTGACAGCATCCAAGCACTGAATTGCCAAGAGCAACCTCCCTCCTCTTACCAGTGGCTGTAGCACCCCCTTCCTGTCATCCAACCTTTTTCTTAGATTTAAAACTACCTAGTCCAAAATGTACAGAAGGGGCACAGTTCTGCTTACAAATAACAAAAACAGGAAGTCATCGGACAGCAGCTTATGGAAGAAACATGCAGTCACGCCCTTTGCTTCTCAGTACTGGTATATTTACCCAATATGGATCCTCTCCAAGTACATCATTAGCTCTATTTTGTTTCTTTTACATAAATTTTTAATGAGATTTTCAAATACAGTATGACAAACAAGACACCAACCTAAAATACATAACAGAAACCATCATAAAGGCAAGAGTAAAAATACAAGCTAATAAGAAATAAAACTTAAAAAGCCTGAATAGCACAAAATATATTCCTTGGTTGGAAACAGGGATCATATTAATGCAAAATATGTCAAGAATTCATACATGTTGCCAAATAAAATCATATTTAGCAGGATTGTGCCAGCCATGAGATTGTTTGATCATATAAATCACAAACAGCTCCCAAACAGAAGCAAAGTTAGAGGGGTCTACATTGCCCCTGGCAGAACGTAACTTATGAGCCAGTTTTTCAGAGATGGCAATAAACATGACTTTTAAAAACCACAGGTCCAAAGAGTAACAAGATGCATTCTTCCATCCTTGAGAGATCACTAAATGAGTGGCGACCAGCAGACAGAGAATTGTTTGCAAACTTGATCAGCATTAGCACCATCAAAAATGGATCTTCAATTTCTGATTCAAGTCTATGTTGTGCTGTAGACAAAAATGGCACCCCAGAACACACAAAAGGGAAGGATTGGCAAACTGAAGATTGGCAGTTACTCAGAAACCCTTGTAGGGATAAAAACTCTAAGAAGGAAAACCTCAGGTACAGTCCAATAAGAATTAAACAGCATGGAATGTTGACTGGCTGAGTGGGAAAGAAAACTGACAGCCAGGTGGGAGGGGGAATGGAAGGGCGTTGCTGGAAAGAGAGGAAGAGGCACAGACATCTAAAAATCGCAGAAACAACTATCACATTGTCTGAACAGGTCCTTTTCTGAATCATACTAAAAAAACTACTATAACATGTACCCAGGGAAGTGAGCTGCACACAGAAAACAACAGAGAAATGAAATATTTCAATGTAGACAGGACTGGGCGCAAGAGTGTTGTTCACCCCCATCCAAAACGGAGACCAAGGTAGGGTGAGGAAAAACAAAAGGTGCTCAATGAGGGCTAGACATGCTCAGTGGAGACGGATGGCTGGCTGACCACTAGGAGGTGAAAAAAAAAGGGGAAACCAAGTTTGAGGGAGGAGTATGGATTCTCTGGAACTCTGAACAGAAGTGCTCCGCGCTACAGGGCTACTGTTGCAGAAGACTAACACCATTCTGAAAGAACAGCTGCTTAAAACCACACAAGTCTGAGCATGCCACAAACACATGAATCCAGAGGTTGAAAACCCCCAAAACTGCTGTGAAAGGCCAGTGAAGGGACATTTTGTTATCAGCGGCAAAAACTGGTGCTAACCCCCCCCCCCCCGCATTGTTCATCTCAGGCAGGTTAGTAATCCCTGGCAGGCTTCTGTACATCGACAGTGGTCTGTATTCAGCTGGACAGCAGTTTAATTGCACAACTGCTGATAGGAGTCTCCGAACACAACCTCTCTGGCAGGATAACAAGCCAACACAACTTGGTATGAGGAACGGATTACTGTGAATTAGGATGCATCTGTGTAGAAGTAGGTTAACATACTATCTTCCCATCAGTTGTGCTGGGAGTCCAGGGCAGTGCTTCTTAATGTGAAAGTCCCAACATCTTCCTGGGTGGGTTGCATAATGAGGGGCTTTTGTTCCAGGGGCTTTGACCACTAGCACACCATTACTGTTGAGACCCTTTTAAAAGAAGGTTTGTAGAAGGCTTGAAAGGCATTGATGAAAGGCGTTGATGGTTTACAAGTGGGTCCTGAAAGGTTCAGTAAGTTTGCAGGTAGGTTCCACTTCAAAATGTTTGTGAAGCACTTATCTAGGGTGATGCCACAACAACCACCTCTCCCAGGGCAGCTAACCCAACAGCACTCTGCAGAGCACAGGTGTTTGACAAAGCTGTTTTCAGAGTGAGCCTGATCAATATTTACTCTCAAACAGCAGTGGAAATCCAGAAGGGACTCTGCTAGGCTTGCTTCTGGAACCCCCCAAAGACTCTAGACAGAGGCTTCACCCTGAAGATGTAAATCATAAGTCACCAGTGAATCCCTGAAAAACAACTATTCCTCTTCAGTGCGCACTGTGAATATTTTGGGTTTCTATGCTGGGTCCCTCCTTCCTCAGCCAGCCTGAATGCAATTCCTTGTTGCCTGTGGCTGCCATGCAAGGAATTAAATACAAGGATGGGCTAATATGCACTCATATCCACTTTATTTAATAACAAACTAGTTATCATTTAATAGTATTTACATGTTCGATTTGCATGATTCCCCTTCCCTAGCGCTCATTTCTGCTTTCAAGAAGCACAGCTTCCATACAAGCGCTAGGAGCCCTTCTGGACAGTACAGCAAAAAAAGGAAATCTAAACTAATATGAACACAGTAGCTGGGGAAGTTGGACAGTGTAAGGAATAGGTTTCATACCAAGCCCACCAGGAGCTTTCCTTGCCCCCCACCCCCCGCAAATGGCATCCTATGTGTCTTCATGAGTTTCAGGATTACCAGTTGCTCCCAACTTACTACTTTTGAGCCTAAATTCAGTTATGTTCTGTTGCCATTCCAGAAAACCCCAGAGTTCAGGATTATCTGGCCCTCCTCAACCTGGGATCATCAGCAGCAATCACTTATTGCCTTCTACTGGTGAAAAGCAGAATGGCACAAATAAATAAGAGGAAGTTTGTGGATGGAAGAGAAGATGATTGTAACACCTGCACAGGGGCTTACTCAAATCATCACGACCCATTAACAGCCATTCAGAAAAGAAGTACCATGTTCTGTACCATGTTCAAGGGAGGGAAAAAGTCCTTAACAAAGTCTAATTATGAAAGAGCAAAGGATTCCATCAGTGAAGCCTCCTATAGGACTTGCTGTGGTACAAGTGACTTCTGGTAGGCCAATGTCACAGAAAGACTCCACTGGATAGCTCCCACCATCCACTCTTACCTCCAAGGGTATGAACAGCTTCTTAAGGAGGGAGATCCTCTGACAAGGGCCAAGGTTTAACAGTCCCACTATCTTGGACAAAGACATTTCCCATATGATTCAGAGCCATATGTTTTTCAAATTCCCAGCAGCCCAACACAATTTTTGGCAGAAGTATTGCCAGTTTTGGCTCCATGTGGCAGGCAACATCATGGATTTTGGCAGAAGCAGTGCCAGTTTTGGCAGAAGCAGTGCCAGTTTGGGCTCCATGTGGCAGGCAACATCATGGATCTGGGCTGTGGGCAGATTGGAAAAAACCAAGGTGGCTAAATTTAGAACTGTTAGCTTAAGAACGCATACTATGATCCTCACCAGCCAATCCTCTAAAACATAAAGGAAACATTCAGATGCCACAAGGAAAGAAAGAGAAAGATTTGTCTTATGCACCCCTCACACACGGCCTATAAATTGTCTGTGTGCAATTATCAAGTTGGCTGCAGCGACACCTGTTCCAAGCAGTCACGTTAACCACAAAACACCAATATACGGAGTCAAAAGAGAAAAAAATAAAATCCTTTCAACATTACATGAAGCGGTAAGGAAAGCAAGTCCAATCACTATTCCCAATGGACACAACTACCCTGAGCCACAGCTTAAGCCTTTGCGTGTATCCTGAGTATGACAAACTTCTAATTTGCAGCCATCTAGACAATGTGCCAGTAACCCACAGCTACTCATGCCCTGAGGCCATCATGGCCATTAAGCAATGAACCCTCTCAAGGCAAAGAGTGTGAGCTGCTAGTGGCCAAGGTCCAGGCTGCCTTTTAGGTGCAGTTAATCAGCTTTTCCAGAACTGAATTTTTACAAGTCTCACTGTTTTCAAGCCACTCTGAGAAGGTAAAAACCAGATAAATGTTGCGCTTTTTTTTGAGAACACAGAGTTGCTCACAACTGCAGTGCAAACACTTTTTAAACGAGAGGAAGTTGCTCTCCCAAACCCCAGAGCAAATTCCCAACCCCCTAATAGATCCTTTGTTTGTTGCCAGTTGCGTCATTTCTGTATGGTAAATATTTAATATGCCATCTTCTGCCGTGCAGGAATTGATAGCTGCCTACACCAGCTGCCAGAATAATGGAGCTATTTGCAGAGCAGCTTACAGCTTGGTCTTTCAGGGGATGCAGCCTCTTCACTACAAAGGAATTAGGTCATCCTGCAAAAGCAAGCACCAGGCTGTGAAATCGGCATGCTGGGAAGGGACCCTGAGGGACAGGAAATGAGAATGCCACTGTGGGGTTGGTACTGCTGACCCTCCATGCTTAAGGTTCATCTCAGCTGCCTTTCCACTGAAGTCTTAACACGCCTGCACAATCAGACAGCATCACTCAGAACCTATCCAAACAACCGAGCTAGCTCTTATTTCCTTACCCCAAACTGTTTTCTGCACCAAAATCCTCTCTTTCCCTTTGTAGACAGCCTAACAAATTCATATTTTGTATACCTAAGCAGAAGCAAGAGTTGGTCTTGGGTGGCCCACCTTTTGATAGGGCACATTTGTGGAAGAGGCAAGATGAAGAGACTTGCTCTACTGAATCACCTCAGACCTCCGGTTGTTCACTGGGGTCGGTGGCCAATGCAAGCAATATCACACATACAGCACCTCCAGGAATGTACTTCCCACCCCATGTTCAACGGGATAGTAGCCGATGCCACCCAAGCCCAGTGGACATTTCCACCTGAGTTCACAGAAGCCATCACTCCCAGCTACAGCAAACGTAACTAGACCAGAAAGAGCGCACACATATTAACTAGCTCTCCTTATGTGGAAAGGGATCTTTATAGGCAGTGAGAGACATAGTTCACCTGTGTATCTCCAACATAGATGAAAGCCAGCCCCAGCAGAATCTAAGCCACCTTCATTTTCCAGTAATGGCCTCAGCCGGTTTCATTCTCCAAACTGCAGTTGCTCAAAACTACAACCTAAAGGAAGGCTCCCTCCTGCAGTCAAACTAGGCTTCTGACTAGCCCATAATGAAGACCATTAATGTCTTCCCTCTTTCACCTTTGGAGGAATCAGAGCTTCAAGCTCAACTCCCTCCCCCACCCTTGTTCTGAAGCCTTTCTCTCAAACATTTTACTCTTGTCATTTATCTGTGGCTCTGTCCTTCAGCCACCAAATTAAGAACATTTCAAAGTACAGTGGTACCTCAGGTTAAGTACTTAATTCGTTCTGGAGGTCTGTATTTAACCTGAAACTGTTCTTAACCTGAAGCACCACTTTAGCTAATGGGGCCTCCTGCTGCTGCCGCGCCGCCGGAGACCGATTTCTGTTCTCATCTTGAAGCAAAGTTCTTAACCTGAAGCACTACTTCTGGGTTAGCGGAGTCTGTAACCTGAAGCGTATGTAACCTGAGATACCACTGTACTGAAACGGTTCCTTTGCTGGGTACTCAGGGCTTGAAATGTGTAGAAAGGAATGCTGAACTCAAAGCTAAACTATTTGCAAACTGCTGTGAGAAGAGCACTAAAAATACACAGTCCAGCAAAAGTCAGGATAAGAAATTGATTATTATGTAGAGTCGCCCTCACAATGCATCTTGTTTCAGAGGATGTGTGCTTGCACCTCTGTCAACCAATGTAATCTTCTTCTTTGGCGATCACTCGTAGCCGAGTAAGATTGTCTTCCATGAACATGGTCTTAACAGTGAGTCCGTAAGTGACTGTGGAGGCCAATTTTGGATCCACACATCCTTCCACAGTGGGGACACATGTTTCTGGGTGGGAGTTGATCATGGTGAAGTTTTGCCAAGCGTGCCTTCCTCTTAGCATGTTTCTCCCTTTTGTCCTCAGTTTGAGCATCTTCAAAGTCCATGACACCTTTGGTAAAGGCTGTTCTCCAGCTAGAGCACTAGCAAGCCAGTGTTTCCCAATTGTCAGTGTTTATACTACATTTTTAAAGATTTGCCTTACCTCTTTTGTTGACCACCAGCATTATGCTTCTCATTTTTAAGTTCAGAATAGAGTAGCTGCTTTGGATAATCAAGTACTCAAACATGACCAGTTCCTACCATCCTCCAATCTCTGAAGACAGTACCCAGTACTTGAAGTAGAACAGGGAGTACTCCAGTAACTAAAGAGATTAATTCCACACTTTAATACCAAGTGAACAATGAAGTTCACCTGCATATCTGTGGCTCCCAATTCCCTAGGATACTGCAAGGTGACATATTTGATCCATTAAATGCATCCTGCTTCATTCACCATATTTCTTCAACACCAATTTGTGCAATGGAAAGCAGGAAAGCATGCATATCCTGAGATTAAGGAATAGGGCTTCACAGGCTTAGGAAACAGCCTCAATTTACTGAACATACCCTGAAGGATGTTACAATGAAGTGCTTTTACAAAAATATGCATGTACAAAGGGGAAGGCTTCTAATGGTGTCAAGATATGACAGCCAAAGTGCAACCTCCACATCAAGAGAGAATGCTCTCACCATGTCACCCTCTTTGTGAGCTTCCACCAAGCATCTAACTGGTTACAAATAAAATACACAATGCACAGCTGGATGGACATCTGATCTGAGCCTGCAGGGCAATTTTTATGGTCCATAATCTCATAGATCAAATTGCTTGGCCTGGCCCAGCACTTGCAAGAATAGTCAGATTTGTGGGGGAAACTCTTCCCATGAAATTAAGCATAGGTATTTAGCACCTTATGCCAGATCCACACAGCTCTTCAGAGCAGGGGTGGGAAACCTCAAGACTAGGAGCCACATGCAGTCCTTCAGACCCCCTCTATCTGGCCCTCAGAACTTGCCAATGGTCACACTTCACACCAAGTGATTTTGTCTGGGTGGAATGTGTCACTGAATTCTGATAGTGCCTCTTGCTTGCCTAGATGGAGAATACAGAGGGATGTGTGTATATGTGTAGATGGTAAAGACTGATAAACTAATCCCGCAGTAGCCAAACTGAAAAAATGGGCATGCTTCTGGCTTCTTCTCATGTTATCACCTGCCAATGACAAAAGCACTTGCTTTTTTTGGTCTGTCTGTACTGATGTCAATTCTTTAAATAGCTGTTCAGAACAGAGATAATTTTTTATATATAGCAACACTGCGGCAATTTCAGAGAACCCAGTTTCCTGTGTACAAATTTAACTTCTTAGCAAAACTGGTGGATGGCTCAAATTTCAAAAAGGAGTAAAGAGCAGGTGGTTTGGGGTTTTAATGCTTTTATTAGTAAGTCAGTATTTAGATAAAACTAACAAATCCTGTTTAATCCATGCATGGCCTTTGCAGTGCTGAATTGGCATGGGGCTCATACAAGGCACGAGCCAGGAATAATGCGCATAAGAGCAAATAAGAAGCAACGAACAACCAGCTCTCCAGGACATTATGAGAAGCATATATTGGGTGTAGCCAACTAAGTTCTAAGACCCACTGAAATGAATGGACATGACTAAATTTGGTCCACTAAATTAGACCTACTCAGAGTAGAATTTTGTTTGATACAATGCACTGTGTCTGAAGGAAAATGAACATTTCCCACTACCATTCAACTTTGCGCATGTTACCTGTGGAAAGCAAACTTACGGTACTTAAGCGTTTTGATTTCTATTGTGATACAACAGGGCAGGAAAGATTCCTTCGTTCAGTTTGCCTTGTCTGTATGTGTGGGCTTTTCCTTCTTCCATATAGTGTTTGTCCCACCCCATACTGAGACCACACAAGTGCTATGGTCTTTGCAGAATGACTTAAAACAGATACGAGGCCCAAGAACTTGCTGTGCTTTTAATTTCCATTTGTATCTGAAATCCTTTCCTTTTCCTAGTACATCTCTTCAAATACTGGCAAACAACTTCTTCTTCTTCTTTTAAAAATATACATTATAGCACCTTCTAAAGAGAACCAGTTTTCCATCACCTTTCCAGGTTTCCCAGGGGTCAGCATGAAATGATGTGCCTCAAGCATCCACAAGCAAGCCACCTTGTCCTCAAGCCTTTCCCCTACCAATTATCCCTCATATGACAAGTGTCAGTTTGTGGATGGGGACTCTATATGCCTGCCCGCTCAGGGGTTTATTATACACTACCTTCAGCAAGGACGCTACATCTGGGCAGCCAGATATACACAAAAGCAGCACAAGCATCCCCAGCAACAACATTCCAATTGCCAGACTATTCCTAAGAGAGTTGCCTTGCCTTGGTAAAGTCTGAGTGACAGAAGCCACACAACAGTATGTCAACTGTAGGGCACACTGAGCAAATCTGCTTTAAGTTCCCTTCACCTGAGTTACTTGGAATCAACAGCCACTGCTCAAGACCAGTCCATTTTCTGCCCATTTCCAGAAGAGCCAAACTTGCCATAACCCATGTCTTGTTACACGTTTTAGTCAGAGTGATGGTGATGCAAATGCCTGTTAGGTGTGCCACCACCACCATTACCATGGCCTACTTTCCTAGCAGGCTTTTGGGTGAGGGGAGCAGTGGCGGTCAAAAACATGCCACTGCTGTTTTTATTATGAGTTTTATTTAAATAATTATTTGAAGTTCTTGTGTTATTAGGTTGAAAACTACCCTGTGACCTTTTGGCAAAGGGTGGTATACAAATTTCTTAATAATATAAAAGTCTTGTTTATTTCTTGCAGCTATTTTTTAACAGCTTAATCATCAAAGTTTCAAAGCAGTGTATTCAGACAATGAAGAAGCAGGTTACTCATGGGTCTTTTAGTTCACATGTGTGCACAATTGGCTCTTTCCTTCTATATGCCATGTGTTTCCTGCAAGAGAACAGTATTTAATATTTCATCAAGTCCTTTCGTTAGCTGGATAGGAAGGGGCATGCAATGCTTTTACACCTGAAACAGGGAGTTTCAGATAAGCTAATGTGACATTTTCTGGATAAATGCCACATCTGCCTTTGTATGTCTAAGCACTGGTCTCCCGGGTGCATTTATCCATTCTCACTGGTGAACAGATTTCCTAGCATTTAGGGAGTCTCCTCACTGCTTGTGCTTTGCATCTACCCCCATCCCCACATGTCCTTTGCAATCCTGTTCCATCTTCCTGTCACCTTGTTTCTCATCCTCAGCGTTTCATATACAGTTCCTGCCATGCTAGGTAGAAATTCAGTTGTCCCATGGCATGGATCATTCACTGGTTCACCCGCATTGCACTACTCATTGCTTCCTATGGGCAGATGTGGTAGGTGAGCTGGACAAAATCAGGACACAGAAGCCAAGCTGGGCACTTTGCCCTGCCTGTTATTTAACCTTCCAAGGGCTGCATGGTCTATCTACATCTACCAATTGGCAGGCACCCTCGTAAAAAAGGAGAATGTTTTGCAGGTGTCAGGGTTAATCACGTGCTGCAGGGCACGTGCCTTGAATATGTGGGACTTCCAGCTAACTCTCTTTCCCAGTCATCACTGCACTCAGTATTCTAAATATACTGCTGTCTAGCTATAGGAACCAAGTGTCAGAAAACAGAAAATGAAGAAACCGCAAACGACCAAGAACCTACTGATACACCTTACAATAACTTTGGTCAGCCTCTTATTTGCAGGTGCAGTGTTTGTACTAATTTCTAGGAAGGCAGACAGTTTCTGCAGTTTTCCGTAGCTGATTTCCTCCACGTGATAGCTGAAGATGGAATCTGAAGCTGTGCAAAGGAAGAAAAGCAAGCCACACAGTTGCAACTCTCTTTTGGCTGAGCCTCTTTCATTTAACAGAAAGCCCATTAGAACTTGGCATATCACCCAGAATTGGAGGGGGCGGGGGGAGAAGAGATCTGTGTGAAAAAGGGCAATATGGATTTCATAACTATTATAGTCTTTTCAGGAGATAACTCCAAATACTCTCTTACCTAAAGGAAGGAAAAGAATAGCAACTACACAAAGCCCTTTCCCTCACCTTCACACCACAGCCTAATAACCTTTCACTTTCCACTGGGAAGCAAGCAGCAAGGTCACTTTCAATTTTCTGCCTAGCTGCTGTCTTCTCTCTAGTCTCTGTTAGTTTGTCACCTTTAGCTGGAGGCCATCTGTGGACTGAAGCTGGTCTTCCTTTATCTACCTCCCCACAACCATTATTTATTTGCTCTGTAAGCATTTGCCTGCTGCTGACACAGAACACTAAATAAAGAGATAAAGCAAAGTGCAATAAGCAATGCAACAAATATATGCACTTCCCTTGTGGAAAATGTCAAATCCCCAGACTGTATAAATGGGAAGTTGGACTTACTGTGAATTTCCTTTCTTTTCATCCTTGTAGGAGGCCAGAAAGCAAGGGTTTTAAATGTGTTTTCTTTCTTTTGCTAGGAAGCCCTAAAAAGTCTTCCCCTTTTCTTTCTTTCTTTTTTTGGACTAGTCAAGATGGCTCAGAAATGTTTAACCTCAAACATATTGCAACAAAAAGCTAAATTAATTGTAAATAATGTTGTGACGGAAGAACTAAAAATTGAAAAAGGGACACGACAAGGTTGCCCTATTTCCCCACTTCTTTTTATTTCGGTTCTGGAGGTTTTGCTGAATATGATTAGAAGGGACCAGTCGGTTAAAGGTATACAGGTCGGAATGAAACAGTACAAATTGAGAGCGTTTGCAGATGACTTAGTATTGACGTTACAGGAGCCAGAATCTAGTACTAAAAGGGTTTTAGAACTGATTCAGGAATTTGGTCAAGTGGCAGGATTTAAATTGAACAAGTCAAAAACCAAGGTTTTAGAGAAAAATCTAACACTGTTTGAAAGAGAGAGGTTTCAGAATGAGACAGGTTTAACAGTGGTTAAGAAAGTTAAATACCTGGGGATTAACATGACAGCAAAAAATGGGAATCTATTTAAAGATAACTATGAAAAATGTTGGTCCGAAGTGAAAAAAGATTTAGAAATTTGGTCAAATTTGAAGCTTTCACTGCTAGGCCGTATTGCTGCGATAAAAATGAATGTATTGCCTAGAATGTTGTTTTTGTTCCAAACTTTGCAGATTGTGGACAAAATGGATTGTTTCAAGAGGTGGCAGAAAGATATTTCTAAATTTGGCTGGCAGGGCAAGAAGCCCAGAATAAAATTTAAAATACTAACGGATGCAAAGGAAAGAGGTGGATTTGCCCTGCCAGACCTTAAACTTTACTATGAATCAGCAGCTTTTTGCTGGTTGAAAGAATGGCTACTTCTTGAAAACACTGACATTTTGGACTTGGAAGGTTTTAATAATGTATTTGGATGGCATGCATATTTGTGGTACGATAAGGTCAAGGCACATAAAGCATTTAGAAACCACCTTGTCAGGAAAGCGCTATTTAATGTTTGGATAAGATATAAGGATTTGCTCGAAAACAAAACCCCAAGGTGGCTGTCACCAATGGAAGCGAAAGCCTTGAAAAGGTCAATATGGAGGTCAAATGGCCGAAATATTGGGAAATTTTGGAACAAGACGGAGATAGACTGAAATTGCAGAGTTTTGAGAAACTAAAAAACCAAGTGCGAGACTGGCTTCATTATTATCAGATAATGGAGGCATTTAAATTGGACAGAAAAATTGGCTTCCAGGTGGAAAGATCAAAATTAGAAACAGAACTGTTAGAACCCAAAACTAAGAATTTGTCAAGAATGTATAACTTGCTGCTGAAATGGAATACTCAGGATGAAACGGTAAAATCGGCTATGATTAAATGGGCACAGGATGTTGGACATAACATTATGTTTGCTGACTGGGAACAGTTGTGGACCACAGGTATGAAATTTACGGCATGTAATGCCTTAAGAGAGAATATTATGAAAATGATATACAGGTGGTACATAACCCCAGTCAAGCTTGCAAAAATTTATCACTTGCCCAATAACAAATGTTGGAAATGTAAAGAAACTGAATGTACATTTTTTCACCTTTGGTGGACGTGCCCAAAGATTAAGGCTTTCTGGGAAATGATATATAATGAATTAAAAAAGGTATTTAAGTATACCTTTCCTAAGAAACCAGAGGCCTTTCTCCTGGGCATAGTCGGCCAAATGGTGCTAAAAAAGGATAGAACTTTCTTTATGTACGCAACAACAGCAGCAAGAATACTCATCGCAAAACATTGGAAGACACAAGAACTTCCCACGCTGGAGGAATGGCAGATGAAACTTATGGACTATATGGAACTGGCGGAAATGACTGGTAGAATCCGTGACCAGGGAGAAGAGTCGGTGGAGGAAGATTGGAAGAAATTCAAAGACTATTGTCAGGGAACTGCCATCGGAAGGAAGGGAGGTGAAAGGACTCAGACAGGTTGGAAGAGATTCAGCAGCTGAAGAGGGAACCAGCAAGGGGAGAGAAGCTGAACTGAGGGAGGTGAAAGGGCTCAGACAGGTTGGAAGAGACTCAGCAGCGGAAGAGGAAACCAGCAGGGGGAGACAAGCTGAACTGAGGGAAAGGGAGCTGGGGGGATGGCTCAGAGATACTTCCAGCGAAAACAGTGGTGAGGGTTCCGGACCTCCTGTAGCGACACCCACTCCTCGCCGGAAACTGTCACGCAGAGAGTCCAGAAGACGTGTTTCCGTTAAGGAGCTTTTATGTTGGAAGCGATTACGAAAGCAACCACTGTCGGAATCTTCTAGTGACTAAGAGGAGCCATGTCAGAGGGGCTCAGTCACAGACAGAGGTTTGTGGACTTGAACAAACTCTGAGGGAATACGATTTTACGCACAAGCAGCTCATAATCCCATCACAGCATTCCGACAGTCTTTGAACGCAGCTTGTGCAGGAGACGGCATAATAATGAGCAACCCAGCAGGAACCGGAGAAGCAGGGGCTGGAGCGGGTCCAAGCCTGGAAGAAAGGTACCGGGTGTTAGAGGTCCAGCTGGCGCTGCAGACGGCGAGGCTGGAGGAGAGGAGGGCTCAAGATGCAGACAAAGGGAGAAAGCCACCCAGCTCGCCAGAAAGGTACCAGGATTGGTGCAAAATTTGGGGGAGCCCAAAGACTATCATAGCTTTCGGACAGAAATGCAATATGCCCTCAATCTGCAGTTTGATGATTTCCTGATGAGGAATCACGAGTGGCTTTTGTGATTGGGCATCTTGAAAAGGGGGCGAGAGACTGGGTTAGACCCCTGATGGCAGCGAATAGTGACGTCTTAAAAGACACGATGAAGTTCTTTCGCGCCATGGATCTGATGTTTTCCAGCGATATTGAAAAGGGAGTGGTGCGCAGACAGTTAATGGCTTGCAAACAGGGGAGCCGATCTGTACGTGAGTACTGGACTGAGTTCACCATGCTGATACACAGATTGGGGTGGGACTTATCGGCGGAACCCATTCAAATGCTCTTTGAAGAAGGGCTTTCTTCGGCTGTGAAAGATGAACTTTCCCGGGCGCCCAGGGCGGAGTCTATGGACCAGCTGACCAAATCAGCGCTGGCCATAGGAGCGCGCCAGGAGGCGAGAGCATTGGAGAGGCGGGAAGGGAAAGGGGAACGTTGGAAGGAGTTCCGCATTCCAGACATTCCAGAGCCAACTGTCCCGCCGGCAGAGCCGATGGAAATCGGAACAGCGCGCGCGCGCGCAGTTTCAAAGCCCAGTGAGGGGGGAAAGAAGGATGGAAAAGGCGCCCGGAAATGCTATCTCTGCCAACAGCCAGGGCACTTTGCCAGAGTCTGCCCTCAGAGGAAGGAATGGCAAGGGATGGTGGGAGCTGTGGAGGGAAGAGAGGAAAAAATACCGGAGCAACTAAAAGCCAACGCCTGGCTGCCATTGTCGGGGCACAGCAGCCAGGCCAAAGAGCAGTGAAAGTGCCCACTCCAGAACCTCCTAAACCCGCCCTAGTGATAGAAGTGACACTAGAGCTCCCAAACGGACACCCTCTAAAGATAAAGGCGCTGTTGGACTCAGGCAGCTCCTGCAATTTCATGAGCAAAGAGTTTGCAGCTGAACACCAGATACAGACGCCCCTTTAAGCAACCCCCTGCAGGTAACCACGATCGATGGCAGGGAGCTGTTGGGAGGAGAAGTCAGCTTGCAGACCGTCCCAATGATAATGAAGGTGGCAAGGCACACTGAACTGATAGCTTTTAATGTGGCCACCTTGGGAGGAGCTCCCATTATATTGGGGATGAGCTGGCTAGCGTTACATGATCCGCTGGTGGGCTGGCATCAGAGAGTGGTTTCTTTTGGGTCAGCACATTGCTTAGAACATTGCAAAGAGGGAAAGGTTTTGGCAGGGGCCCAAGCCACCCTAGCAGGGACTGAAGTGAAGGAGAACGTGAAGGTACCACGACAATACGCAGATCTCCGCGACGTCTTCAGCGAAAGGGAAGCTGACCAACTACCACCGCATAGAGCCTTTGACTGTCAAATCAATTTGCTCCCTGGGGCACAGCTCCCTGTGGGCAAGCTGTACGCCATGTCAGACAGAGAGATGCAGGAGCTAAGAGAGTTCATTGACAAGAACCTGAAGAGAGGGTTCATCAGAGAGTCCAGGGCGGTGGGGCAGCCCAGTGTTTTTGTGGACAAAAAACACGAACAAGCCGAGACTGGTGTGTGACTTCAGGGCCTTAAATGCAGTGTCAGAACCAGTGGCCTTCCCGATGCCCAGGATTGACGACATTTTGACAAGGGTGCGAAAGGGAAAGATTTTCACCAAGCTGGATCTAAGGGGGCGTACAACCTGATACGAATAAGGAAGGGGGATGAATGGAAAACCACCATGTTCACCCCTTTAGGGGCATTTGAATACTTAGTTATGCCCTTCGGTCTACAAGCAGGCTCCGCAACATTTCAATCGTTTATGAACCACGTCCTGGGGCCGTTGCTTTACAAGAATTGTGTGGCCTTCTTAGACGACGTGTTGGTGTATTCTGAGAATGAGGAGCAGCATGTGAGAGACGTCAGAGAAGTGTTGAGCAGGCTGCAAGCCAACCAGCTGTGGGTGAAACTGGAGAAGTGTCAGTTTCATACCAAGGAGGTGGAATTCCTGGGGTATCGCCTGTCTGACAAGGGGGTGGCCATGGATCCCGGCAAGGTCCAGGCGGTACTGGAATGGAAAACACCCAAAACAAGGAAGGATGTGCAGAGGTTTTTAGGGTTTGGGAACTTCTATCGTAAGTTCATCCCAAACTTTGCCCACCTGACGGCGCCCATTACGGACTGTCTCAGCAGTAAGAAGAAGTTCGTTTGGACGGAGGAGGCGGAGCAAGCATTTGAGGAACTAAAAAGGGCCTTCGCCTCGGAACAACAGCTCCTGCATGTGGATTTACAAAAACCGATGAGAGTGGAAACTGACGCATCAGACAGAGCGGTTGGGGCGGTGCTTCTCCAGCCAGGGAAGGAGGAGTCAGAGTGGAGACCGTGTGCTTTTTTTCGCGAAAGCTGAACAAATCCGAGAGGAACTACACGGTGTATGACCGAGAACTACTAGCCATTCATGAGGCGTTCCGGAGATGGAGGCACCTGCTAATTGGCGCACAACATAAGGTGCAAGTGTGCACTGACCACAAGAACCTAGAGTATTGGAGGACGGCACGAGTGCTCAACCAACGGCAAGTGAGATGGGCCCAGGAATTCTCCAAATTTAACTTTGAGATTTGTTACGTGCCAGGCCCAGAGAACATTAGGGCGGACGCTCTCTCACGCAAACCTGAATATTGGGAGGGGGAGGGAGCACCCGAAGAGAGACATGTCATTCCAGAGGACCGCTGGGTGTGTGGGGCGGCATTGGTGGGACAAAGAGAACTGGTAGAAGAAACAGAGAATGATGAATACGCCCAGAATAAGCTCAGAGGTCTTAGGGATGAGGGAGAGGAATCAAGGGGTTTCGAGGAAAGAAATGGAGCTTTGTATTACAAAGGGGCACTGTATATCCCTGAAGGAGACTTAAGGGGGAGGGTACTCAAGCAGTTGCATGACAGCCCCACGGCGGGGCATTTTGGGCAACACAAAACCATGTGGTTGGTCACCAGGGAATTTTGGTGGCCTAAGGTGAGGGAGGATGTACGTGAGTATGTAAGAGGGTGCGAGCAGTGCCAGCGAGCCAAAGGGGAAAGGCGGGCGCCGGCGGGGCTATTAGAACCCTTACCAACACCAGAACGACCTTGGGAGGCAGTGTCGATAGATTTTATGACTGATCTGCCGAAGTCCAAAGGGAAAACAGCCATCATGGTGGTGGTAGACCTACTAACAAAGATGTGCCACTTTGTAGCTTGCTCGCATGCAGTCACGGCGGAAGAGACAGCGAAGTTATTTGTAGAACACATTTTTAGGTTGCACGGGGTGCCATTGAGGGTGGTCTCAGACCGAGGAAAACAATTTACTTCCAGGTTCTGGAGGAAGCTCATGAGCTTACTGCAGGTGGAGGTCAACTTTTCGACTGCCCGGCACCCTGAAACCAACGGGCAGGCGGAAAGAGCAAACGGTGTCCTCCAGCAATACCTGAGGTGTTATGTCAATGACAGAGAGAATGACTGGGTAGAAAAGTTGGCGCTGGCGGAATTTGCCTACAACAATGCCGAGAATGTGTCCACAGGGATGAGCCCCTTCTTGGCTAATTATGGGTGTCATCCCAGGGCTTTCCCAGGGGGAGAAGGGGAGAGATGGAGCGAACCGGCAGCCGAGCATTTTGTAGAAGAAATGGAAGCAATCCACCGTCAGCTCCAACTCAACTTAGAAAGGGCGAAGGAAGAATACAAGAGGCAGGCAGACAAGAACCGAAGGGAAGGTGAAACCATAAGGGTTGGAGATAGGGTGTGGCTGTCAACCCGAGGGCTGCCGCTCAAAGGAGGTTGTAAGAAATTACGACCCAGGAGGTTGGGTCCCTTTGAGGTCATTCAACAGGTCAACCCAGTGGCTTTCAGGCTCCGGTTACCCAACCACATGAAACTGCACCCAGTATTTCACAGGTCGTTACTGTCACCGTACGAGGGGGGACGAGAAGGGATGGACACTCGGGACCGGTCATAGAAGAAAGAGAATGCAGCAGTCATGTGGCAGAAATCCTTGATGCCAGGTGGAAGGGGAATCAGGTGGAGTATTTGGTAGCGTGGGAAGGAGAACCGGAGTCAGAAAACACGTGGGTAATGGCCAAAGATATCAATGACGAGGTATTGATAGAAATGTTCCATCAAAGGTTCCCGCGGAAACCTCAGCCTGTGGAGAGGTTCCGGAGGGAATACTTTGGGACCACTGAGGAGGAGGAGGAGTTGGAAGGATTCCCAGAATCGGAAGGGGAAGGGGAGATGGACTCGGAGGAGGAGGAGTGCTTCGAGACCAGGAACCGCAACAGGTGGAGAGAAGTGTTCGAGACATCGGAAGATGAAGGAAGTTCATTCCAGGTTTGCCTCCTCACCGCCCGTAGAGGAGGGGGCGAGAGGGGGTGAAGGGGGCCCTGGAGGGGAGGTGGATGTCAGGGAACTGCCATCGGAAGGAAGGGAGGTGAAAGGACTCAGACAGGTTGGAAGAGATTCAGCAGCTGAAGAGGGAACCAGCAAGGGGAGAGAAGCTGAACTGAGGGAGGTGAAAGGGCTCAGACAGGTTGGAAGAGACTCAGCAGCGGAAGAGGAAACCAGCAGGGGAGACAAGCTGAACTGAGGGAAAGGGAGCTGGGGGATGGCTCAGAGATACTTCCAGCGAAAACAGTGGTGAGGTTTCCGGACCTCCTGTAGCGACACCCACTCCGCCGGAAACTGTCACGCAGAGAGTCCAGAAGACGTGTTTCCGTTAAGGAGCTTTTATGTTGGAAGCGATTACGAAAGCAACCACTGTCGGAATCTTCTAGTGACTAAGAGGAGCCATGTCAGAGGGGCTCAGTCACAGACAGAGGTTTGTGGACTTGAACAAACTCTGAGGGAATACGATTTTACGCACAAGCAGCTCATAATCCCATCACAACTATCTTCAGAAACATTGCAAAATTAAAGAATGTTAGAGTGATGTTGGACTGAGAATAAGCGGTTTCCAGCTGTACAGGTTAAAGTTGATGATAGACTAAGATTAAGATTAGGATTAAAGATGTTTAAAGAAATGGAAATTTGACAATTAAGAGGGAAAATTTTAAGGTTATATTATATTATACTAAGATTAAAGATCAGGTTTAAAGAAGTTGAAGTTATATATTACAATATTATATTAAAGTTAAAGATTGGGATTAAAAAAGTTGAAAAGAAATTGCTGGACAAACGATTTGGATTGGAATACAAAAGAGGGAGGTATGAGGAAGTCCAGAAAATAAGTAAATTAAAAAAACGGAAATGGAAAAGAGATATTGTTTTTAATGGTTATGTTTTTTGTTTTTTATTGTTGAATTGTGTTTTTGTAATCACTTTTTTAAAAAAAAATTCTTTTTCCCCCCGAGATATGTATTGTGTATGTTCTTTTTTTTCTTTCTTCGTTGTTTAAAACTTAAATAAAAATTATTTATAAAAAAAACAAAAAAACATATTGCAACAAAAGCATATCATACACCAAAATGCTCAGGAAAACGAGCCGTATCACAAACAAAAAGTCACCCAGATTTGTCCCCTGCTCCTGCAGAAAAGTAAGATCCTTGCTGGATCAGACTAAATGCTCATCTAGCCCAACATGTGTTCTCACCGTAACTCCAGATACTCTTTGAGGTTAAGTACAAAGTGAACACACAGATAGAGCTGCAGTTTCTATTTCCCTGGGCTGCTGTGTTTTACAATGAGAACATTAATTTAATAAGATACAGTACCCATGTCCATCCCTTCCTTATGTTGGGAGGGCTCTCTCCCTGAGATATCCAAACAGCACAACAGTAAGTACCGTATTTCAGCACCCAGGCTTCTCTTCCTGAACCTAAGAATAGCCCTGCAGCTGATTTAGGCCAGTGGCCCAGCTAGTGCAGCATCCTGTTTTCACAGTAGTCAAGCTATTTGTTCTGTCAAGCTTTTCACTTCCATTTCACACCTTCATCTACAGAGCTGAGACTGACGCAGCTTAAAAGAGCAGACAACTTGATATGCCTTTGTCAGGGAACTGCCATCAGTGCCGGAGGGAGAGAGCAAAATCCAAAGGGATTCCAGAGAGCGTCCCGGGATTGGGAGAGGCAGCCCATCTTCTGGGGAAGAGAATCAGCGTAGCACCAGTGGAGAAGGGGAGCAGATGGGGGAAGCGGCAAGGCAGTCCCATGACTCCTTGCCGGGGACCAGCGGGAGAGTAGGGTCCTCCGCTGCCTACGCCTCCTTGCGCAGAAGGCTTTCGCGCAGAGAGAGTAGGAGGAGACTAGGCGTCAAAGAGCTTCTTTGCTGGAAGAAGTTTAAGAAACGCCCACTGATGGATTCTGCCAGCGATTGAGACAGCCACGGGTGAGTGGCTGTCCGGACAGAAAAGGTTCACTCAGGCAACCCAGCCAGGTGTTTGCACCGGCTTACGCACGAGCAACCCCTAGAACCATTACAGCCTTGTAGAAGTTTGATCATGTTATCTAGGAATTTAAAAAACCCTATCCAACCCTGCCACCTCACATCCAGAACACTTCTTCCAGGTCATCACAAGACTCTTTGTTTGCACTCCATTTAACATTTATGGTATCATTTTGCAAAGCAAACCCAAATAATCTAACAAAGCAAATCAATATCAGAACAGCTTATTGCTCAGAAGAAAATTTGATTCCTGCTAGTATTGCCTCCTTTGGGGGGGGCAGCCTGTTTGAATTTTAAGAGCGCTAAACTCACATACTGGATAATTTCAAGTTAAATGGGGAACACATTGCAATTTAGATGCTTGTATAATCTATTCAGACAGATAGTGTTGAGTTCAAGTATCACAGGGTGCCTTACGGTTTTGCTGAAAGGACATGTCTCCATATAAATGAATTACCCTTCTATCCCTTTCTCTTCTCCTTTTGGTTTTGTGTTTATTTATTTATTTACATTCGATTCTTATCTTATCTTGTTCAGATTAGGCTGCTCAGGGCAAACGTGTAGTAAAACAGATCATTCTTAGTGCAACAGCAGCTGCAAGATGCAGCTACAAGGGAACTGATTAGCCTCTGGTTCACTTTGCCATGTCATGAGAGCCCAATTGACCCAGCAAAGAACTGCTCCCAGCTCTCTGCCAAACCAAGAAACAATGCACGGTACCCCTCCACAACCTAGAGAAGTAGAGAGCAAGTGACATTCTGAACTCCTATTGGTTTGTTATACAGCACAGCCAAATCTCTGTCAGAAAGCTGTTAGTGTAATTATACTGTACAGTGGTACCTCGGGTTACATATGCTTCAGGTTACATACGCTTCAGGTTACAGACTCCGCTAACCCAGAAATAGTGCTTCAGGTTAAGAACTTTGCTTCAGGATGAGAACAGAAATCGTGCTCCGGTGGCGCGGCAGCAGCAGGAGGCCCCATTCGCTAAAGTGGTGCTTCAGGTTAAGAACAGTTTCAGGTTAAGAACGGACCTCCGGAACGAATTAAGTACTTAACCCGAGGTACCACTGTATAAGCATTGGATTTTAAATGCCCATACTGGTCTATAGTGATTTCAGGGCTCCATATAAAGTACTGGTTTCACAATTCAGGTCCCAATGGTTTGGGACCAAATTACCTGAAGGAACATTTTCTTCCTTATGGACACACCTATAGTTTTAACTGAAAGTTTTAAATGAAAAATGTTGGATATTCCAGCCAACTCCTAACCACCATTAGCCCAGGCAGCATAGCCAGAGGACAGGGATGATGTGTGCTGCACTTGGTGTGGTCCATCATGGGATCTCTGTGGTTGTTTGCAGAGGAGTAAAAACATCTTTATGGAATTTGCTCCCACAAGACACAGCGATAGCCACCCACTTGGATGACTTTTAAAAAGAGGATTAGATATGTTCAAGGAAAGGAAGCCTATCCACAGCTACTGGCAACAACGGCTATTTTCTATCTCTGCTAAAGGAAACTACCAATATGCTTCTGAATGCTAGTTGCTGTGATTCAGAAGTGAGGAAAGTGTTGTTACACTCAGTTCCTGCTTGTGGGCTTCGCATTGGTTCGCCTCTGTGAGAACAGGATGCTGGACTAGACCCTTTGGTCTGATCCAGTTGCAGGGCTCTTAGACAGGGGGCTGAGCCCTCTCCCCCCAATGATGATCACATATGCAAAAAAAAATTACTGTCGGAAGTCAAGGCTGATGGATGATCTGGATTTTGTTATGTTTTTACTTTGTTCAATTACAAGGGGGTTCAAGTGCAAGATTGTGATATTGTAAACACTGAACGTGACAACTTTTTTTGTGGCTAGGCCACCTTCCTTTTTCTTTGCATTCCAACAGCACTCAAAAACTTCCTTTTTAATATATATATATAAACAAGCTTTTGAATTTGTTCCTGCTTAAGGTATTGTTAGAGCTTACTTCCTCCTCTACCCTTTTTATTCTGCTATCAGTTTTAGTTTGGATTTTTTGTACGTGTGTTCTTAATGGGTGGATTAGGGTTACTGTTCCATTTCTTTTTCCTACTATGACTATTAAAAAGATCTACATGCCTGATTATTTATTTGCTTTCCAACAGCACTTACGGGGAGGGGGAAGTAAGTGTGTATGAAGTCATGTTATATATATATATATATGGGTTGTTTTTATTTTATTTTATGCTGGTTCTAATGCATATGTTTGTTTGTTTGTTTATATGTTCATTACATAAATTCTAGAGGATGCCGAATTTGCACCTCTTTGTCCCAGCTTCTGACACTTAAGGCGTATATTTTAAGGACCTACCCAACTGCTGTAATTTTAACTTCTTTTAAACAGTTTTTAGGAATGCATTTCAATTGCTGTAACCCGCACTGGGACCTTTGGGTGTGGAGGAGTGCAGGTAATAACAAAAATAAAAAAACTGAAGGTCACTTTGTGTTACTTTGGTAAAAGGAAAAGCAGCTAATACCCGTAACTATAATAACAACTACTGCTTCTGCAGTGGAGGCAGAGCCTGGGCATTGTGGCTAGTAGCCTTTGGCAAGACCTTTCTTCCATGAACTTGCCCGAACTTCTTTTTAAAGCTGGCCAGTCAACTGCCTCCTGTGGGAGAGAGTTCCAGAGTTTAACGCGGCACTGTGGAAATGACTTTTCTCTGCCCCGAATCCTCCACACATTTCAGCTTCACTGGTTGCCCACCAGTTCCAGCGTTAAAAGTTTTAAGCTTCGAGTCACCTCGGCAAGCAGAAATAAAATAAAATAATAAAAAGGGGCGGCGGCCAATACAAATACCAGCAACATAAAGGATTGAGCCTGAGAAGGGTATTCGCCAGGGGAGCTCCTTGGGTCGGCGGCGGCGACCACAGCCCCTCTGGCTCCGCTGCCCCTCTCCGCCCACCGACCCGCCCGCCCTGCCCCACGGGAGGGTACCTGCCCCCTCTCGAAGGCGTCCCGCTCGGCGGCCACGGCGGCGTCCACCATCCCGCCGATAACTCCGGGGGGCCTCAGGAAGTGGGCGGGCGACGCGCCTGAAGGAGCCCCCCGAGCGCCCCGCGGCGGCCTGGAAAGAAGCGAAGGAGGCCCCGGCCGCCCTTCTGACAGGAACGCCACTCGCCCCGCCCGTTGGTCCGCGGCGGCTGCCACTCACCGCCCGAGGCGCCGCGATTGGGCGTCCGCGACGAAAGGGGAGGGGCTTTCTTTCCCGCCCGTTTCCTTCTCTCGCAGACGGAAAGGGAGCATCCCCCGGGCGTCTCCGCGGCAGCCCCGCCTAAAGGAGGGAGAATTCAAGAAAATGCCTCTGCGATTGGATGCTGCTCTAGGCTCCGCCCGTTTCCTCCACGTGCGCCGGCCACCGCCCTTCCACAAAGTTTGGGGCCTTCCGAACGGCCAGGACTGCGACTCCCATCGGCCACAGCTGCAGTTCCCCCCACCGCACTCGCTGGGGCTGATGGGAGTTGTAGTCCAAAACATCTGGAAGGCGGCTGGTTGCCTCCATGCAGGGGTGGGGAGTGTGCGGACCTCCAGAGGTTGTTGCTGGGCTCCAACTCCCCTCAGCCCCAGGCAGCATGGTCCAGTGGTTAGGGATGGTGATGAGGGGACCTGTGGAGTCCAGAAACATCTGTGGAGCTACGACAGGTGGCCCGTCTCGGCTGTGTTAATTATTATAATCCCATAATCGTTATTAATCCCATAATCATTATTAATAAATACTGTGTTAATTCCCAATCCTCTTTTTAAAATGTGACCGGCTTCCAAAATGACTCAGTGCAGGGAAATTCAAATAAATATTAATGCTATAATATGAAAATATGTTGCATTTCTTTTATGAAATTTAACTGCAAAAAAGGGGTTTACCAAAAAACCAGAATTATTAGGAAAATCAATTAAAACAGTCAGAAAATTAAAACCACAATAAACTAAAAACGCTTCTGCAGCAGCACCAGATTTAGGGCAGTGTGGGCAATTCTGCCCCCCCCCCCCAGCACAGAGGTGTGAAGGCACAAAGTAATAATAATAGGAATAAAACTATATTTATACTTACTGAGAAGATGCATTTAAAAGCAACTGCACCAAAATAAATGATTGTGGAAATAAGAAATATTGGGGGGGGGGCAGATTTTGTCCCATATCTCACCCCCCTAAAAAAGAAAGAAAGCAGAGAGAGCTTAGAAGGCTCCCACAACACACTAGCATTATTATTATTGTGTGTGTGTGTGTGTGTGTGTGTGTGTGTATAATTATAGTACAGCTGGCTGCTTTATAAAAATAGAAATAAATACTGACTGGCAGCTCCTAAGGCTTTTTGCAATCAAGCAGTGTACAGATTTTAGGAAATAATAAATAAATAAAACAAATTTATCATTTATTTATCTAGAGTACTGCATTTGCATCCCACTCTTCAGCCAGAAGGCTCCCAGAATAGGTTATATGCAATCAATTAAAGCAAGGCTGGCTCTGCCCTCCGGCTCACAATCTAAAAAAGCACAAGGACAAGGAAGGAAGCAGGGGGAGGAATGAAACTCAGGCACCAATTCTTAAAACAGCTGTTCTTATACTGAGAAGCTGGCAGGGGCAGGAGATGCCTGATGGAGCTGGGCTTTTGGCAAAGGTGATGGAACCAAGCCTCCTGCTTCCCATCTCTCCCTCTGATGACATAGCTACCCCCAACTGGCAGTTGAGGTCCGATGGAGCTGGCTTGTCCCAGAACAGCTGACACCTTTCTGTTATTGCTGCAACACCGTTCCTGGTGTGCAGGCCCACCAGAGCTTAATCCTCAACATGCCCCGCCTGGCATGAGGTGAAGCTGGAAGTGATGCTGCCTTCCGCTCCCTCCCCCTCCCTAATTGCCGCAAGCTCTATCTATCTCCAGTTAGCACAGATGCATCTGATGAGAACCCCCCAAGGGTGGTGCCTTCCCCCCTTCCCCGCCGCCACTTTGCTGCCTCGTCACCTCGTCCTTCTCTAATTCACTTTCTGGAAAGCTGCCCCCCCCTTCATTCGGGGTCTGTTCCAGATGGGGCTAATGGACTTGATGCAGCTGGCTCTCCACAAAGCAAAGGATGAATAATTGAACTGTTGCAAGCCCCCAGGGGAATGGGGGAGATGGGCACACTCAGAATGGTAGGCCAAATTGCTTGATGGCTACCTGGGCAGCCCTGACCCCATAAGTCCTGGCATAGGACAACTCTACCTGTTCTAGATGGGACACCTTTGTAGGGCCACCCTATCCTCACAATCCTTCCAACCTCATAGAACTGTAGGGCTGGGAGGGACCAAATGAGTCATCTAGTCCAACCCCGTGCAATGCAATCTCTCCCCAAAATACAATGATGAAGTGGCTGATGATGACGACGATGACAATAATAATAATAATTTATTATTTATACTCCACCCATCTGGCTGGGTTTCCACTCTGGGTAGCTTCCAAAAAAAGATTAAAAATACATTAAAACATCAGTCATTAAAATCTTCCCTAAACAGGGATGTCGTCTAAACGTCAGATAGTTGTTTATTTCCTTGACATCTGATGGGAGGGCGTTCCACAGGGCGGGCGCCACTACCGAGAAGGCCCTCTGCCTGGTTCCCTGTAACTTGGCTTCTCGCAGTGAGGGAACCACCAGAAGGCCCTCGGCACTGGACCTCAGTGTCCGGGCAGAATGATGGGGGTGGAGACGCTCCTTCAGGTATACTGGACCAAGGCTGTTTAGGGCTTTAAAGGTCAGCACCAACACTTTGAATTGTGCTCGGAAACAATGTAGGTTTTTCAAGACCGATGTTATGTGGTCTTGGCGGCCGCTCCCAGTCACCAATCTAGCTGCCACTTTCTGGATTAGTTGTAGTTTCTGGGTCACCTTCAAAGGTAGCCCCACATAGAGGACATTGCAGTAGCCCAAGCGGGAGATAACTAGAGCATGCACCACTCTTGCAAGACAATCTGCAGGCAGGTAGGGTCTCAGCCTGCGTACCAGATGGAGCTGGTAGAAAGCTGCCTTGGACACAGAATTGACCTGCGCCTCTATGGACAGCTGTGAGTCCAAAATGACTCCCAGGCTGTGCACCTGGTCCTTCAGAGGCACAGTTGCCCCATTCAGGACCGGGGAGTCCACCACACCCGCCCGCCCCCTGTCCCCCAAGAACAGTACTTCTGTCTTGTCAGGATTCAACCTCCATCTGTTAGCCGCCATCCATCCTCCAACCACCTTCTTTACTTGTGTAAAGGTTTGAAACACAGCTCAATCAGAAAACTTTTTAAAAGGACAAATTATATGTCGCTGAAGCCCACAAAAAGCAATGATGATTCCCAACCTTCTTCTGGCCCCTTGATTCCAGTGGCATCTCCAGTGCCCCTACCGTATAAAAAACATTATTCAGAATTGCAGTTTGCAGCAGATAATAACACCATAAAATGCAAAAAAGTTAACAATTAACTGCACATTTATTCAAAATCCAAATAAAACTATGTCGTTGAATTAAGTAAACAAAACTGATGAACTTGAACCCTTTGCAGGGAAAAATGAGATTATAACCGTTGTAAGTAAATAAATTAAATGGAATAGATTTAATTTCACAGGCAAACTCAGGGAGGGGGGGGGATGAGACACAAGCAGTCCCTGCAGGCTACAGTTTGCCCCTGCAACTCACAGAGTTTTCCAATTCTCTGAAATCACAGAACATTTATTAATTCTGGGAGGTGGAGGAGGAGAGAGTGAAATGAAGGGAGGAGGTCTGTGGGCACAACCTTGTTTCTGCTGCCATCTGGTGTCCAGGTTGTGAAGGAGGGTCCTGTGTTCCAAACGCAGGAAGACACTGAGGTTGCCAATTGGGGATGGAAGCACAAGTCTGTGTCTTACTTAGCTACCTAGTCAAACCCAAGGGTGGGCTTGGGAGCAGCCACTCATTACCTCCCCTGGCAGGACGCAAATTTTAAAGACCTCATTTTTAAAATTTCATTTGAGTGACATCTCCCCGCCCTTGCCTTGTCAAGTCTAGACCTGGCGCCAGGCTAAATGGACCCCTGGCAAAATGCCATGGGTAGGTCTACCTGGCATCAACCCACTTGGGCCCCCTTTCCCATCAGGCTTTCCCTTCTCACCTCCCTCTGCAATGATGGCCACCAGCTAAGGTAGCTTCAAAATGGGATTAGACAAAGCCATGGGGGAGAGGGCTATTGATGGCTGCTAGCCACTAGTCAGTGGGAGGCAGCAATGCTTCTGAATTCCAGCTGTTGGAAACTACAGGAGGGGAGAGGGCTCTTGTACCTGAGACCTGCTTATGGGCTTCCCAATGGGGGCACCTGGTTGTCCCCTGTGAGAACAGGATGATCCAGCAGCTGGGCTTTTCTTTTGTTCTTACGGAACTCCCTGCCACTGGAGCCAGTGCACTTGGATGGCTTTGAAATAACCTTCGAGTTTATGAAGTGGATGGGAAATGGAAACATCTCTCTTCATTGCACTCATGTGATAACGATGAAGGCGAGGCCAAACAGCAATCTTTAGTGTGTGTATATAGTTTATCTTTTTCATATGAAATATACCATGTTCTGGTTTTGCTTTTCTACTTCCTTTTGATTTTTGTTGCCATGTTGGAAACTGCCCCCCCCCAATGACTCCAATTCTCACATGCAACCCTGAGGAATGAGAGGCTGGAGGGGATTTTGGGTGGGTGAGATTGCAGAAGGAAGGGCAGATGGGGCTCTGCTTAACCTTTTGTTCCGAGAAAGATGCTCCAGCCACCCTATAGATTTAAATCAGCATCATCCCACTTAAAATGGTCATCATTTCCTCCAAAACATCCTGGGAACTATAGTTTGTTAAGAGTGCTGAGAGTTGTCAGGAGATTCCCCCCTATTCCCTTCCTATAACTACAGTTCCCAGAGTTCCCTGGGAAAGGGGATTGATCGCCAAACCACTCTGAGAATTGTAGCTCTGGGAGAGGAGTAGGGGGTCTCCTAAGAACTCTCTACATACTAATTAAATTAAACT